GGAGGATCAATGATAATGTAACAGTTAAATATCTCTATGGTAAATGTCAGTTTGTAAAGGTCATCATTGAGAGGTTCAGAAAGAGTGGATGTAAATATCTCTATGGTAAAGGTTAATTTGTAAAAGTCATCATTGAGAGGTTCAGAAAGAGTGGATGTAAGTATCTCTATGGTAAATGTCAATTTGTAAAGGTCATCATTGAGAGGTTCAGAAAGAGTGGATGTAAATATCTCTATGGTAAAGGTCAATTTGTAAAGGTCATCATTGAGAGGTTCAGAAAGAGTGGATGTAAATATCTCTGTGGTAAAGGTCAATTTGTAAAGGTCATCATTGAGAGGTTCAGAAAGAGAGGAGGTAAATATCTCTATGGTAAATGTCAATTTGTAAAGGTCCTCATTGAGAGGTTCAGAAAGAATGGATGTAAATATCTCTATGGTAAAGGTCAATTTGTAAAGGTCATCATTGAGAGGTTCAGAAAGAAAGGAGGTAAATATCTCCATGGTAAATGTCAATTTGTAAAGGTCATCATTGAGAGGTTCAGAAAGAGAGGAGGTAAATATCTCTATGGTAAAGGTCAATTTGTAAAGGTCATCATTGAGAGGTTCAGAAAGAGTGGATGTAAATATCTCTATGGTAAAGGTCAATTTGTAAAGGTCATCACTGAGAGGTTAAAAAAGAGTGGATGTAAGTATCTCTATGGTAAAGGTCAATTTGTAAAGGTCATCATTGAGAGGTTCAGAAAGAATGGATGTGAATATCTCTATGGTAAAGGTCAATTTGTAAAGGTCATCATTGAGAGGTTCAGAAAGAAAGGAGGTAAATATCTCTATGGTAAATGTCAATTTGTAAAGGTCATCATTGAGAGGTTCAGAAAGAGTGGATGTAAGTATCTCTATGGTAAAGGTCATCATTGAGAGGTTCAGAAAGAGAGGAGGTAAATATCTCTATGGTAAATGTCAATTTGTAAAGGTCATCATTGAGAGGTTCAGAAAGAGAGGAGGTAAATATCTCTATGGTAAAGGTCAATTTGTAAAGGTCATCATTGAGAGGTTCAGTAAGAGTGGATCTCTATGGTAAAGGTCAATTCGTAAAGGTCATCATTGAGAGGTTCAGTAAGAGAGGAGGTAAATATCTCTATGGTAAATGTCAATTTGTAAAGGTCATCATTGAGAGGTCCAGAAAGAGAGGAGGTAAGTATCTCTATGGTAAAGGTCAATTTGTAAAGGTCATCATTGAGAGGTCCAGAAAGAGAGGAGGTAAATATCTCTATGGTAAAGGTCAATTTGTAAAGGTCATCATTGAGAGGTTCAGTAAGAGTGGAGGTAAATATCTCTATGGTAAAGGTCAATTTGTAAAGGTCATCATTGAGAGGTTCAGTAAGAGTGGAGGTAAATATCTCTATGGTAAAGATTTATTTGTAAAGGTTGTCATTTGTGAGGACCAGTTAGGATAAAGGTAAATTTGACTACAGACATAGATGTTAGATATCTGTCCGGCTTGGCAAGGTGGATTGAGACATTGATGTTCGGTATCTCAGGTTTCGCTAGGTGGCTAGAGACATTGATGTTAGTTATCTCAGGCCTAGCAAGGTGGCTGGGGACATTGATGTTAGTTATCTCAGGCCTAGCAAGGTGGCTGGGGACATTGATGTTAGTTATCTCAGGCCTAGCGAGGTGGCTGGGGACATTGATGTTAGTTATCTCAGGCCTAGCAAGGTGGCTGGGGACATTGATGTTAGTTATCTCAGACCTAGTAAGGTGGCTAGAGACATTGATGTTAGTTATCTCAGACCTAGCAAGGTGGCTAGAGACATTGATGTTAGTTATCTCAGGCCTAGCGAGGTGGCTGGGGACATTGATGTTAGTTATCTCAGGCCTAGCGAGGTGGCTGGGGACATTGATGTTAGTTATCTCAGGCCTAGCAAGGTGGCTGGGGACATTGATGTTAGTTATCTCAGGCCTAGCAAGGTGGCTGGGGACATTGATGTTAGTTATCTCAGGCCTAGCGAGGTGGCTGGGGACATTGATGTTAGTTATCTCAGGCCTAGTAAGGTGGCTGGGGACATTGATGTTAGTTATCTCAGGCCTAGCGAGGTGGCTGGGGACAGTGATGTTAGTTATCTCAGGCTTAGTAAGGTGGCTGGGGACATTGATGTTAGTTATCTCAGGCTTAGTAAGGTGGCTGGGGACATTGATGTTAGTTATCTCAGGCCTAGCAAGGTGGCTGGGGACATTGATGTTAGTTATCTCAGGCCTAGCAAGGTGGCTGGGGACATTGATGTTAGTTATCTCAGGCCTAGCAAGGTGGCTGGGGACATTGATGTTAGTTATCTCAGGCCTAGCAAGGTGGCTGGGGACATTGATGTTAGTTATCTCAGGCCTAGCGAGGTGGCTGGGGACATTAAGGTTGGCTCTCTCTGGATTGGCTAGATGGTTAGAGACATTAAATTTAAATATCTCACACTTGATTATTTGGCTGAAAATGTTGACATTTGAAACTTTTAACTACATGTAGGCTGGATGGTTAGGGTATTGATATTTCAGCTTCCTGGTTGTTTCTACTTCTTTTTTCAACTTCGCTGTGCACATACACACATTATCACTATTAAAATGCTTCCTTTTACAGACCTACCTCACACAAGTGTTAAACACATTAACAGAGAGTGTAGAAGTTTACCAATATCGACTTGTATATATCTCAAACATTATTGAAGCAACAAACTCTTATCAATAACAGCTCTATAAGAAACCCGCAGTGAAGTGACCTATTTTCATTATCATAACAGTAATTCCCTCTTTAAATTTACCATACATGTTTCTTTGCTTTGAACTTTTGTTCATATTTCAACCTCCTTAATTAGCATATGTTCTCCCATGTGACCAATATCTTAAAATGAAGGAATATTTTTGGCTGTTTTATAGGTGCCCTGTGGTTTGTTTCATCTGATATTAAACTTCATTTAATCCTTGAGAAGACAAAATATGTTATGAATGGGTTGATAAAATGTGAATCACAAACTTTGGGGTGTTAGGTAAGAGAAAACTGTTGGTATTTTACATGTGATCAATCAGTTGTTTGACATGATGTAGTGTTAGGTAAACTGTGTGAGACCCCTACAGGTAAAATGCATACTGGCCAATAATTATACGTATCACTTGGTATACTGATATTTATTATACATGTGAGAAACCTGATAAATATATCAGGCAGTGTATAATTGAGATTATGTCTTTCCGGAAGCTCTTTGACCCCTGTAATTTGGGTGCCTTTAATGATCATTGTTTAGGATTTTGTCTACATTCACTTTCATTCTCTTGGCTCCATATTTCAATTGACCCTGTATTACCTTTGGTTATTGTTTGACCCTTTGTTTATTATTTGACCTTGAATGACCTTAGTTTAGTATTTGACCCTGCATATGCAGACCTTAGTTTTAGATTTGATCCTGTATGACTTTAGCTTTGGATTTGACCTTGTATGACCTTAGTTTAAGATTTCACCCTGTATGACCTATGCAGGGCGTTTCCTTGGCAACACATTGATGTAATTGGAAAGAAATTCTATTACATATACATATGTATCTGTATAGTGTATATACTTATGTCATTCTTACCACTGATTAACAGATTAATATTGTCTGATGAGAATGGAAACTTATTGACACAGTTTAAAGAAAGCTGCACATGAATAACATGAAGTAAAAATGTGGAACTTTGAGACAAACTATTTATATAAGTATAATGCAAAGTTTTCTGGAGACCCCAAGTTGATGATGACCAGGTGGTGAACTTGAAATATGGCAGACTCAGAAAACATGGTCTTTATAACCAGGTAGTCTTTTTGATAACATTATTGGTCTTTCTAGCCAGGTAATTTTTCTGAAAACATGATCTTTATAGCCAAGTAATTTTATACCAAACTGGTTTTTACCATGAGGTAAAATTGATGGAAACATGGTCTTTATAGTATTACATTTTACTTTACAGAGACTTTTAGGTCTTCATGCTTTGTCCGTCAGCATACACCATGTGTCGTGCATAAACCTTTTTCTTTAAACACTATGCCTCTTTCATACCTGGATGGATTTCAACCAAATATGGTCTGATGCATCATTGGGTGAGGGTTATCATTTCATACATTCAGAAATCTAATTCAACCCCTAGGGGTCGAGAGATGGGGCCTCAAAGAGGGATGTGCTGAAATTAGATCTAAAACCCTACACCTCCTTTCTGTCTGCGTGGATTTCAACAAGCTTTGGCCTGATTTATCAGTTAGGGTAGACAATTATTTCTTTAATTCAGAAATTTTATTCAACCCCTAATGACTTGAGGGCAGAGTCCCAAAACTGAAGATAAGACAATATTTTGCTTCAAGACACTACTCCTTTTTAATGCTAGAATGGATTGCAACCAAATTTGGTATGAAACATCATTAATAGTGGGAAATTATTTCTTAAATTCAGAAACTTGATTTGACCCCTAGGGACCTGGGGATGGGCAGGGCCCCAAATGGGAATGGTAGTCATTATTTTGCTTCAAAATGCCACTCCTTTTTAAGGCTTAAATGAATTGCAACCAAATTTGGTGTAAAACATCATTGAGAGTGGAGAATCATTTCTTAAATTCAGAAACTTGATTAGACCCCTAGATAATAGGAATGACCTTGATCGGCTTGAAAGGTCACAGGGATCAAATGTGTTGAAATGCTTAAGCAACTTCTTTTCAATAACTGAAACGCCAGGGGTCTTGATGTAGGCAAGCAATATGTCTAGAGTAATGGCAATTTTGTATTGCATGTATCAAGATTAGGATTTCAAGTTTGCAGAAAATGTCTTGATAAACTAACAATGTCTTCTATATAAGCAATAGAGTAGATATGCAATTTATTTCAGGCCTATTTTGCCTCTTTCATATATAGGTCTTTATAGTCATATGACTGTTCAGGTCCATAGGCTTCTTGTTAGTTCTAGTATAACTTTTGAATAATGGTTCTACTTTCAGGATGATATATATGATGATGGCAGCAACATTAAAAATGTCACAGCAGTCAGTCGTATGAGGACACTGTTTGAGGCTCCAGCAGCTAATACAAAACCCTTCAAACCACCACCTAAGTCAGTCATGAGACCAATCCCAGCGGCTGCCAATAGTGGACCATCCACAGTATTCCCAAAGGCTGAAAAAGCTGAAGAGGCTGGGAAAACACCTAATGGGTTGGCAGAAGGAAATGGAAAAGGAACTGATAAAACATCAGATCTCCCATCTTGGAAGAACAGAGTGGAAATGTTTAACAAACCCCAACTACCTTCTCCACCTCCTAAAACAGCAAAACCTGTGTCAAACAGTTCAGCAGGTGCAGAGGAAAGTAAGGATGAAAATTCAAATACTGTGTCGGCAAATCCAGGAAAAAGGTCAAGTAAAGTCAACATTCCATCGGCATTCTCTGGAGAAAAAAACACACCACTGCCTATAGCACCTAAAAAACCTTCCGTGTTCCCAAGATCTTCAGACAAGTCTGAAAAAAAATCTGGGGATGAAGTGCCACCAGTGAAAAATAAACCTTTAGTACCCAGCAGGGGTAAAACGCCTGCAGAAGGAACAACCAATATACATGAAGAATTAAAGAAAAAATTCAGTGGAAAGGATGATGATATCAAGCTAGTCAAACCAGGTGGTGAACAAAAGGACCCAGTGAGACCTGGGAAATTAAACATGAATAGTGTATTAGCATTACAGAAGAAAATGAATGGCTCTAACACAAATGAAGAACCCAATGATGATGAACAGGTCGAGCTCAGACAGAAGTCTGGGTCAAGATTTCCAAACAGAAAGTCAGTGAAGAGAAAATCTTTAACTAGAACTAATGATGGTTCAAAATTTTATGTTGTTGAAATGTCATTAGATAATGAAAAGGAAAAGAAGGAAAGTGAGACTGAACCAGACATTCCTCCTCCACTGGTATACGGTGACCTCCAAAGGTTACACGAGATCATACAAGAGTACAAGGCTGCACTCAGGGAACTAGGTAAATATTTAGCTCTTAGGGAGCCTGGTACTCCCTGGTAAAGAGGTATCTCTCAGGGAACTAGGTAAATATTTAGCTCTTAGGGAGCCTGGTACTCCCTGGTAAAGAGGTATCTCTCAGGGAACTAGGTAATTATTTAGCTCTTAGGGAGCGTGGTACTCCCTGGTAAAGAGGTATCTCTCAGGGAACTAGGTAAATATTTAGCTCTTAGGGAGCGTGGTACTCCCTGGTAAAGAGGTATCTCTCAGGGAACTAGGTAATTATTTAGCTCTTAGGGAGCGTGGTACTCCCTGGTAAAGAGGTATCTCTCAGGGAACTAGGTAAATATTTAGCTCTTAGGGAGCCTGGTAAATAAGTGTCTCTCAGGGAACGATGTTAATAGGAATCTTGGAAAACAGATTAATAAGTAACCTAGAGTAACTTTGTATCATTAGGTAACCACCAGGTAAGTAGTTTGGTGACTTACAGAGAGCTAGGTTAATAGGTAACACTAAGATAATTAGGAATATGAGTAACTCTCAGGTAACTATGTTAACTGGAAATTCTCACGTATCTTTGTTATAGGAAACTCTCAGAGGACTAGGTTAATTTGACACTCAGGTAACGAGGTTAAGGGGGCACTCTCAGAGAACTAAGTTAAATGGAAACTCTCAGGTAACCTGGGTAATAGGAGAATCTGAGGTAACTAGGTTTATAGGAAACTCTCAGGTAAAAAGGTTGATAGGACACTCAGGTAACTAGGTTAATGGGAACTCTTGGGTGACTAGCTTAATGGGAACTCTCAGGTAACTAGGTTTATAGGAAACTCTCAGGTAAAAAGGTTAACAGGACACTCAGGTAACTAGGTTAATGGGAACTCTCAGGTGACTAGGTTAATCGGAACTCTCAGGTAACTAGGTTAATGGGAACTCTCAGGTAAATTGATATCTCTGTGGGAACTTGATAAATATGTTAACTAATGGAGCTTGGTAAAGAGAGAAATTCAGTGAAGTAAGTCAATAGGTAACCCAGAGTAGTGGGTAAAAAGATAAACTACCGAGAAAAGGTACAAGGAACTAGGTCAAAAGATAAACTACAGAGAAAAGGTACAAGGAACTAGGTCAAAAGATAAACTACAGAGAAAAGGTACAAGGAACTAGGTAAAAAGATAAACTACAGAGAAAAGGTACAAGGAACTAGGTAAAAAGATAAACTACAGAGAAAAGGTACCAGGAACTAGGTAAAAAGGTAAACTACAGAGAAAAGGTACAAAGAACTAGGTAAAAAGATAAACTACAGAGAAAGGGTACAAGGAACTAGGTAAAAAGATAAACTACAGAGAAAAGGTACAAGGAACTAGGTAAACTACAGAGAAAAGGTACAAGGAACTAGGTAAAAAGATAAACTACAGGGAAAAGGTACAAAGAACTAGGTCAAAAGATAAACTACAGAAAAAAGGTACAAAGAACTAGGTCAAAAGATAAACTACAGAGAAAAGGTACAAAGAACTAGGTAAAAAGATAAACTACAGAGAAAAAGTACAAAGAACTAGGTAAACTACAGAGAAAAGGTACAAGGAACTAGGTCAAAAGATAAACTACAGAAAAAAGGTACAAGGAACTAGGTAAAAAGATAAACTACAGGGAAAAGGTCAAAAGATAAACTACAGAGAAAAGGTACAAAGAACTAGGTAAAAAGATAAACTACAGAGAAAAGGTACAAGGAACTAGGTCAAAAGATATACTACAGGAAAAAGGTACAAAGGACTAGGTAAAAAGATAAACTACAGAGAAAAAGTACAAAGAACTAGGTAAAAAGATAAACTACAGAAAAAAAGGTACAAAGAACTAGGTCAAAAGATAAACTACAGAGAAAAGGTACAAAGAACTAGGTCAAAAGATAAACTACAGAGAAAAGGTACAAGGAACTAGGTAAAAAGATAAACTACAAGGAAAAGGTACAAGGAACTAGGTAAAAAATAACCTACTTAGAACTATGTACAGAGCACAATAGGCAAAAAGGTAACCAAAACAGAAATGGTAATAAAGGTAAGTTTCAGAGGACTAGGTGAAAAAGTAACCTACAGAGAATTATAGGTAGAAAGGTCACTCTTGAGGAATTAGGTAACTAATATTTTTATTGTGACTGATGTTATTCATGTTAAAGTCTCAAGTCATCCTCTAGGAACTGGGAAAAACTCTTTTTCTCTATTTTGCACAACTTTAGATCAGATTCTGATGTCAAGGTTATTTTGAATGTATTTCTTTAGGAACAAATTGTGGTCTGTAGTTAGGTTATGTTCCGCTATCCAAGTACATTAACAACACAGATTTCTGAAAACTTAAAAAGAAAAACAGCTGTTGAGGAAGTTGAACCCTTAGCCAATCAGTTGACATGCAGTAGCTCTAAGTCACTATCTTACACTATGTGAATAAACAGTATATATACAGTTACCAACACGAGTACACTTAATAGATTTTAAGTGATTGTTACGTGATTAAACAAATTTCTTAATTTTATATGAAGTTACTAGACAAATAGTGTTATATCATTTTATACATAGCACTGTTATCTTCTTTGTATCATATATTCATTGATTTTTTTAGATGTATATATAAACATTTGACAGAAGATAATAACTTGTGTGGGATTTATCATATTCATACTACAGGAATATAATATATACCTGGTAGGTTTTTTTGGTTCGGTCACCTGAGGCAAAGTCCATTGCGATCACAAAAGCTTCGTGGATCCGTAAACAATTTAACATTTTCTACTTCCTCTCATACCTCCAAGCTGATTTCAATGAAATTTTGCAGAAACTTTCCATGGCCTAAGATTAACCAAAATAGTGAATAATAAGGTCCCCACCCCACAGGGGCCTGAGAGGTGGGGCCAAACGGAGTCAAATTAACTCAGATTTGAAAAATCTTCTTCTCAACACCCAGATATTGTAGAATCAAATACTCTTCATGGATTGAAGCATCTTTACCAAAATTGTGAATTTCATGGCCCCTGGGTATTTGATTTCCCCGTTGGGAGGAGGTAAATTTTACTTAAGTTTATAAAGGCAAAATAGAATTTTGAGCATGATTTGTTCAATTTTCATTGATAATTAATTTCCAATTAGGAGTGAAGGATAACAGCTTGATGCTATGCCAATTTTGAACCTGACTGACCCCCCAGGGGCTGGTGGGTGGGGTCAAAAGGGATCAAATTGACTTAAGTTTCAAAGTTCTTCTTCTCAATACCCAGGCATGGTAGAATCAAATGCTCTTCATGATCGAAGTGTCTTAAGGTACTTTAATTACCGAAAGCTACTTACCCTTTAACCTTTGTAGTCATTATTACTTATCTCAGGTGACTGTCAAGGCTGCTAAGGCCTCTTATTGCAAAATAAAGATATATTTTGTATGAGATTTATGAAACAGGTCTGAAGAGTGATAAGTTAAGCATCAGTCTCTAACAAGCTGACTTAGAATCTACTGGTATATGACAAGCTTGTGAGAAATCGAAATTAATTCATGAACATTTTCAAAACATTGCTCCTTTTTTGAAGGACTGCAATAAAGCACATTTTGTCATTTTTTAAGTCCTTTTGGCGCTCAGTGATCCTTTATGTTGTCATAAGGTGAACTATAAGTGTGTGATGTCATTATATGATATGACATCATAATAGGTTGAAACTTGAAGTTTGTTTTGGGGCTACAAAGATGTGTGCAGGTAATGTATTGCGTACCAGTTATGGTAATTATAAATGAAATGAAACTATCACTTTTAAATATACATTGATTATAATATACATCATGTAGATACTGTAATCATTATCAATAGAAATGTTTTCTTTCTAGAGGGTAATCCTACAGAGGATAGCAGTATCGTTGAAGAGATCGAGGATGTGTATGAGGCCATTCCAGCAGATATGGATGAACCACTTCCTCCACCTCATAAAAAATTGTCCAGAGCAGTCTCCTTAATGTAAGTACATCAGGGCAATCTCATTGGTTGATACTTAGTCTTGTTGATGTGAGTACACAAGAGAAATCTCCTGGCTTGATACTCAGGTTTGTTGATGTTAGTACACAAGGGCAGTCTCCTGGGTTGATAATTTGTCTTGTTGATGTGAGTACAGGAGGGCAGTCTCTTTGGTTGATATTCTGTCTTGTTGATGTGAGTACAGGAGGGCAGTCTCCTGGGTTGATAATTTGTCTTGTTGATGTGAGTACAGGAGGGCAGTCTCCTGGGTTGATAACTTGTCTCATTAATATGAGTACATAAGGACAACCTTAGTTGATAGTCTTTCTTATTAATTTGAGTACACGAGGGCAATTTTCTGGTAATAATTCAGATACTCTGTTCCATTGATATGAGAGGAGGACAATCTATTGGTCTGATTAAGATATACTCACTGATTGTCTGGCATAATCAAGGGTTTACTTATAGAAGACTATATTGATGATGGTAGTAATTATTTGTTCATTAAACGACTGACACACTCCCAGTCTTCTATTAGTTTTATATCTATTATCTTTTAAACTTCCCTTTTAAAATGATGTATCATGCTGGGTGACAAATCAAATTTCAACTAGATATTAGATGTTGCAGCTTTCAGACCAGTGAATAAAATATATAAGGCACAGCCATTTTTTTATTCCCAAAGAAAAATTCACTCTCTTTATTTGATGTAATATCATTTCTGTGAGTTCTGTTTTCTGAATGACCGATACATTTTCCTTTCATATATACAAATATACAACCACAAAGTATTTCCTTTAAGGGTTTTAAGTCTGTCAACATAGTAATTGATGTGAATAATGCTTTTTTTCTATTTGATCGTGTGAGTTTACAACTTTTAATAACTTATTTAATCAGAAAAAGTGACACCATTAATATTTCTCACAGTGTTTGTTTGTGATGGCTTGCTGAGTGATAAAATGTTGCTCTATTTCGGGTTATATTTTTAGTGAGGAAGTGAGGAAGTGTTGGTATTTTTCAGTAAGCCAGTGATGGTGTTGGTTTTTTTCAGTAAGCCAGTGATGGTGTTGGTATTTTTCAGTAAGCCAGTGATGGTGTTGGTATTTTTCAGTAAGCCAGTGATGGTGTTGGTATTTTTCAGTAAGCCAGTGATGGTGTTGGTATTTTTCAGTAAGCCAGTGATGGTGTTGGTATTTTTCAGTAAGCCAGTGATGGTGTTGGTATTTTTCAGTAAGCCAGTGATGGTGTTGGTTTTTTTCAGTAAGCCAGTGATGGTGTTGGTTTTTTTCAGTGAGCCAGTGATGGTGTTGGTATTTTTCAGTGAGCCAGTGATGGTGTTGGTATTTTTCAGTAAGCCAGTGATGGTGTTGGTATTTTTCAGTAAGCCAGTGATGGTGTTGGTATTTTTCAGTAAGCCAGTGATGGTGTTGGTTTTTTTCAGTAAGCCAGTGATGGTGTTGGTTTTTATCAGTAAGCCAGTGATGGTGTTGGTTTTTTTCAGTAAGCCAGTGATGGTGTTGGTTTTTTTCAGTAAGCCAGTGATGGTGTTGGTTTTCTTCAGTAAGCCAGTTATGGTGTTGGTATTTTTCAGTAAGCTAGTGATGGTGTTGGTATTTTTCAGTAAGCTAGTTATGGTGTTGGTATTTTTCAGTAAGCCAGTGATGGTGTTGGTATTTTTCAGTAAGCCAGTGATGGTGTTGGTATTTTTCAGTAAGCCAGTGATGGTGTTGGTATTTTTCAGTAAGCCAGTGATGGTGTTGGTTTTTTTCAGTAAGCCAGTGATGGTGTTGGTTTTTTTCAGTAAGCCAGTGATGGTGTTGGTTTTCTTCAGTAAGCCAGTTATGGTGTTGGTATTTTTCAGTAAGCTAGTGATGGTGTTGGTATTTTTCAGTAAGCTAGTTATGGTGTTGGTATTTTTCAGTAAGCCAGTGATGGTGTTGGTATTTTTCAGTAAGCCAGTGATGGTGTTGGTATTTTTCAGTAAGCCAGTGATGGTGTTGGTATTTTTCAGTAAGCCAGTGATGGTGTTGGTATTTTTCAGTAAGCCAGTGATGGTGTTGGTATTTTTCAGTAAGCCAGTGATGGTGTTGGTATTTTTCAGTAAGCCAGTGATGGTGTTGGTATTTTTCAGTAAGCCAGTGATGGTGTTGGTATTTTTCAGTAAGCCAGTGATGGTGTTGGTATTTTTCAGTAAGCCAGTGATGGTGTTGGTATTTTTCGGTATGATGGTGTTGGTATTTTTCAGTAAGCCAGTGATGGTGTTGGTATTTTTCAGTAAGCCAGTGATGGTGTTGGTATTTTTCAGTAAGCCAGTGATGGTGTTGGTTTTTTTCAGTAAGCCTATGTCAGTGGATGAAGAATATGACAGTGATGAACAGGATACCTATGATGATACAAGTAATTATGTTCCCAAAAATCCCACCTCTAATTCCCTTCCTGCTCCACCTGACCTTGACCTCCCAGCTCCTCCTGATGAACTCTTAAAGCCCCCTGTGCCAGAGGGACCTATTCCAACTCGAAGGAAACCCCCTGTGCCACCAGGTAAGTTTATTTCTATTTCCACAGGGTACCTTCACTGATCGAGTGAGGGTTTGTATAATAAATCAGTCAGGATCTATTTTAATTTATTTGTCCATAATAATTTTATCAGCTCTCGCAATTAATTCTCAGAAATCTTATTCATATGATCAGGAAGTTATTTTTATGCTTTTGCAATTTATGTCATTTGTTGTCTTTTTGTTTCTTTGAAAACATTTTATAAAAGCCATTATTAGGCTGTGTGAGGAGATTTTATATAGAGTTATAGTAATGATCTTTGATAATAGTGAGTCTGTACTTGTTTGTAGAGAAGAAGCCTGTAGATGCACCATCTCCACTTGTTCCTCAGGCAGATGATTGGCCAGAGGATGTGTATGATGACTGCGCTACTGAACAGAGTCAGGTAAACTCTCCGTCACACTCGGAAGAAACCAGCCTTGTTATGATATGACAACAAAAAATCAAGGCTGAACTCATATTTTTATGCAGCAAACAAAAAGTAAAGTTACAGGAAGTTGTCAAAAATTAATTTCATTGGTGATCTTGTCAAGGTCAGAAGGACAGTTAATGGTCAAAGTCCAGTTTACTACAGATCTTGTCAATGTGACCATTACAGGTTGTAAAAGTTCAAATCTCTGTCAATCTTGTCAAGGTTAAAGTGATTAAGTTCAGATCTCTGTCAATCTTGTCAAGGTTAAAGTGATTAAGTTCAGCTGTTTATGGTCAAAGTTCAAATCCTTGTCAATTTTATCAAAGTGAAGGTGATTAAGTTCAGATCACTGCCAATTTTGTCAAGGTCAAGGTGACAGCTGTTGGTGGCCAAAGTTCAAAGCACACAATAATCTGTATCTTGATGGTCAAGGTCTTTTGTCAACTAAGCATGATGCTTGTCAGTATCATTGTATTAACCCTTAAACTGTGTATACTGCAAGGTCATGAGTCGGTGTGACTTGAGTTAAATACAGTCTCTGTCACTCAGCTGATGGAGCATGCTTCCTTTGCACAGTCGATAGAGCGGGTTGGTTATCATGCTGGAGACCAGGGTTTGATTCTTGGCCACACCACTTGACAGGAATGTGTATTTTCTCTGTTCTTTACACAAGTTTTATAGGAAGCTTCAGATTTGAAATGATAGCAACATAAAGGACTGATTTGAAGAGAACCATGCATTGCTCTATTCAAGGACTTTCTAACAATTTCGATTGAAATCATTAAGATTTGAAAATAAAAATTACTCTCAACATTTACACCTTACACGTACCGTATAATAACAATAAGATCATTGAATTAAAACTTTTGGTGTTAAATCAAGCATGTGTTTACATATGTTGATAGTGTTTATGAAGTACAGATGTTAACGAAATAGTACAATGAATAAGTTTCATAGAAAAACAAATTCCATAACAGTTATGTATTTATTTTGATGATATTCAACAACTTCGCATGCCAGTCAAGCATGAAATATTTTAAGGCCTCTGAAACCATTGCTGCGAGACTGAAATAAAGATTCTCAAAAATCTGATGAATACCTTCATCAAACTGTAATACCTGTTAGTTCAATAGAAGTTTTATTGTGGTATTTTATCATTGTTCTTAATATCTTTTATAGGTGCATATTAAAATTAAGGATTTTGGCCATTTTGAAATTATAATTTTTTACAAGAATTATTTGTTTTAACATGCTTTGATACTTGATCATCAGTGTAAAATAGTGTAGGTCTGTGTGACATATTCCTTTTAATTTTGTTTTAATATGTCACTATTCTGTTGACTAGGATCAGAGTACAACTGAGGCTGAGCCAGAACAAGACGACGTATATGAAGCCATTCCAGGGTAAGTATGAATAAAGCTTTACAGTGTTTACCTAGTGGGTTTGTCGGGTGGAAAGTTGGGCTGGATGTTGGCAAGGTGAGTGGGTGGAAAGGGGGGCTGGATGTTGGCTAGGTGAGTGGGTGGATGGGTGGGCTGGATGTTGGCTAGGTGAGTGGGTGGATGGGTGGGCTGGATGTTGGCTAGGTGAGTGGGTGGATGGGTGGGCTGGATGTTGGCTAGGTGAGTGGGTGGATGGGTGGGCTGGATGTTGGCAAGGTGAGTGGGTGGAAAGGTGGGCTGGATGTTGGCTAGGTGAGTGGGTGGATGGGTGGGCTGGATGTTGGCTAGGTGAGTGGGTGGAAAGGTGGGCTGGATGTTGGCTAGGTGAGTGGGTGGATGGGTGGGCTGGATGTTGGCTAGGTGAGTGGGTGGATGGGTAGGCTGGGTGTTGGCAAGGTGAGTGGGTGGATGGGTGGGCTGGATGTTGGCTAGGTGAGTGGGAGGATGGGTGGGCTGGATGTTGGCTAGGTGAGTGGGTGGATGGGTGGGCTGGGTGTTGGCAAGGTGAGTGGGTGGATGGGTGGGCTGGATGTTGGCTAGGTGAGTGGGTGGAAAGGTGGGCTGGATGTTGGCTAGGTGAGTGGGTGGATGGGTGGGCTGGATGTTGGCTAGGTTAGTGGGTGGATGGGTGGGCTGGGTGTTGGCAAGGTGAGTGGGTGGATGGGTGGGCTGGATGTTGGCTAGGTGAGTGGGTGGATGGGTGGGCTGGATGTTGGCAAGGTGAGCGGGTGGAAAGGTGGGCTGGATGTTGGCTAGGTGAGTGGGTGGATGGGTGGGCTGGATATTGGCAAGGTGAGTGGGTGGAGGGGTGGGCTGGATGTTGGCTAGGTGAGTGGGTGGAAAGGTGGGCTGGATGTTGGCTAGGTGAGTGGGTGGATGGGCGGGCTGGATGTTGGCTAGGTGAGTGGGTGGATGGGTGGGCTGGATGTTGGCTAGGTGAGTGGGTGGATGGGTGAGCTGGATGTTGGCAAAGTGAGTGGGTGGATGGGTGGGCTGGATGTTGGCTAGGTGAGTGGGTGGATGGGTGAGCTGGATGTTGGCAAGGTGAGTGGGTGGATGGGTGGGCTGGATGTTGGCTAGGTGAGTGGGTGGATGAGTGGGTTGGTTGGGCAGGTTGCAGGGTTGTTGGATGAATGGATGTACAGATGGATTGGTTGGTTGGGTGTTTGATGAAGGGATGTACGGATGGATTGGTTGGTTGGGTGTTTGATGAAGGGATGTATGGATGGATTGGTTTGTTGGTTGTTTGATGAGGGGATGTACGGATGGATTGGTTGGTTGGGTGTTTGATGAAGGGATGTATGGATGGATTGGTTGGTTGGGTGTTTGATGAAGGGATGTATGGATGGATTGGTTGGTTGGGTGTTTGATGAAGGGATGTATGGATGGATTGGTTTGTTGGTTGTTTGATGAAGGGATGTACGGATGGATTGGTTGGTTGGATGTTTGATGAAGGGATGTACGGATGGATTGGTTGGTTGGATGTTTGATGAAGGGATGTACGGATGGATTGGTTGGTTGGTTGTTTGATGAAGGGATGGTTGTTTTTTGCTCTGTCTCTATGACTCTTTCCATTGCTAGATGTGCTATTACCAATAAATGTGGGTATGCTGGCTTTACTGTGCTATTAGTACTGTATTATTATGACTAAAACTTTAGTAGAGGTTATTTTGTTTGTACCACAGTAGATGCAGTTAAATCTACACTTTCATCATCAGTATTGGAAGTTCCTTTCTATGTGATAATTTCTAAATTAGTGAATTGAGAGCTTTCAGTTTGTTTGGATGGTTTAATAGTTTGCTTTCACCAATGGTTTGTAGATATAAATGAGTGACCATTATTCTGACTTTGGTGCGTCATGGCCCTTTCCGTTTGGTATATAGTTAAAGTAGGGCCAGGTTTTTTGGAACAAACTAAAGCACAGCATAATACAAGGGGTCTCTAGGGTTCTGTCAAAGTAGCTGTCTTTGGTTTGATGCTATCACACCGGAGAGAGGTTGTAGAAAAGCAAAGGATGTTTGTATCCAATGACAATATGAAGGAAACTTAAATGTGCAACTTAAAGGTAGTTTTATCACAAACTTTGTGACCTTTCATGCACTTTCACACTCTCACACATTTAGTTCTCTTCACACAGAATATTAGATTAATCACAACTCTTTCTTTGCGTCACAGAGAAGCAGAGAATATTCCTCCGCCAACTCCTGAAAAACCAGAGAAAAAAGAAGAGAAAAAGGAAGAGAAACTTTCAGCAAAGGAGAAAAAGAAAAAAGAAAAAGAAGAGGCAGTGAGTTTTTAAATTTGACATGAGGCAAACTGTAATGGCGTGACTATGTTTGGATGGATAAAGCAACTTCCTAATAAATGACACTAGAACTGAGTGCATATCTTAATTTGATAAAATGAAATCAAAGTAACTTGAAAAATTATTTAATTTGTTCCATTATTTAAAAAATACACTTTTTGTTATAATCAGGAGAGACTAAAAGCGGAAAAGAAGAAACAAGAAGCAGAGAAGAAAAGACAAGACAAAGAAATAAAGGAAATAAAGAAAAATTTCAAGGTATGATTATGAAATCGAAACAAATAATTTCTATTGATTGCATTTTCAAGATCTCGATCTTAATCAAATATTACTATGCTGCTAACTTTATACTAACTGTGAAGTGCTAATTGTGAAGTGTTAACTGTGAAGTGCTGACAATGTAAGTGCCATTTACAGACAGTTTTTATCATGAAATCTTCAGTTTTTGAAAAAGAATTTTTCAGAAAGTTAAGTAACAAAGAGTATTTTTGTTTTTGTGATTAGTAGAAATTCATTTCTTTGAATCTTAAGGAGACATAAGCTTTTTTTTTTTTAATTTAACAATTTTAAGGCATTATTGTAGGGTAGTGAAGCTTCTAACCATTTAAGATGACTGCCAAAAATTGTGACAAATAAGTTTTACTCTTGTTGGCTCGGATGTAAACAAACAAGGCGTCTTTATATTGATGTTGGAGGAAACTAGACTACTTGTCGGAAACATTCTTGCATCTGATAGAGGTATTAAAGCAGGCCACCTTAGTGAAGGCCCACACCACTCAGCACCCTACCTGTATCAATTAAATCTACAGTATTGTACTTGTAGTTGTTACTTTACAGTTGTATTAGTATATATTTACTTTATAGTGCTGAAGGTTGTTCCTAAAGTAATAATTCTATGAAGTCTATTTATCATTGTATTACAGATAGATGCTTCTCAGCTGGACAAGAGTCAAGGGGAGGGATTACTGAAGGAGGATGCAGTACCTTCAGGAGGTAAAACTGCTAAGCTGGAATTAACAGCCAAAAAAGGAACATTCCTCAAGGTGATCCGCCTAGTGGACAACCCCCCTGGAAAGTGGCTGGTCCGACTAACAGAGGACGAGAAGTCAGATAAACCTGTCAACCTGACACAAATAGGTAAGTACCCTATACTTCAAACACAGGAAGGTACTGAATATCACAGTTAAAATATCAAAAGACTTGTTTGATAAGGTACATACCAGAATATATTAACCATTAAATATGCTTTCAGTGTGGTAAGTGACAAAATCTGTTTATTAAATGGAAAGATGAAACCAACATTATTTCTTTATTTTAATATTCCACATATTTTAGTAATGTCAGATACAATAACTTGCTCTCTTGTGTTTTACAGTGGGATATGTGGACGCCAACATCGTTGAGGTAGACAATCAGCAGATTCGCAATGTAAGCTTTTAGCTGCTTCAGCTTTAAACTAATACTTAACATGGTATAGGGGGGAGGGGGAGGGTATCTGCGCCGCACTAAACAGCCTAACTATATACTGCAAACCAAACTTTTTTTTCTTTATCAGCCAAGGATATAATTTTTTAACAGTTTACTTCTCTAATCTAATACTTTACAAGCCTTTTGTACCTCCATCAGTGTAGGACCCTGGATTTCTACATTAACAGTGAGAAAAGTTTGGTTTATGTGCATCGAAGAGAGAGGGGTGATTTGCTAAATATATTATTTTGGTGGACTGAGGTAGTTTATCAGCACAGGTAGTACTTTATAATGAGAGTAGATCAATTGATTATACTGGTAGTTCGTAAGACATTGAATAGGTATGATACTAAGTGTAGTAAAAGGACATGACAACTGACGAAGTATTTGAATCAAGTTGAATGATGTCTGTCACAAGTAATCTGTTCTGAATGAGAGTATAACGCCTGTGAAATACACATTTTATATAACACATTATCATGCTACTGGTTCTAATACCAGGAAGTTGAAATCTAAATCTGAGATTGTTATTGTTTGATAACACAAATATGTACTTCCTGAAGGTGTACTGATATCAGGGGTACATTATGTAGCCAGTTAAACAAACATGAACACCATGAAAGGTTTACTGGTGTTTAGGATACAGTATGTAGTCTATAACACAAACATGAACTCCCTGAAGGTGCACTGATATTTAGAATACAATATGTAGTATTATGAAATGTGTCACTATTTTACAGTACCATTAGATTAGAATTGATGTAAGAATTTACTTCTTGAAATTTATTTTTGAATACAGATTAGTAAATTCTTTTGTTAAGAGACGATCAGATAAGTGAAAAAGTAACGATTACATGGGCTAGTCCTTGCATATAAGTTTGGCTTGATTGTAAAGTGATTCATCATGCTGATTCTTGTCCAAGAATATGATCAAAATATTTCCAACAAAACTCCCCATTTCCATATTGCTTTAGGAGAAATATTTTTACGATATTTTGTATAGGTATATGAGTTTCCGTGAGTATGAACCAGATATACTACACATACACACACAGTAACAGCACTGACAATTCAATCTACCAATCACATAGACACACCCTGCTGATGTTAGGTCCTATCTCACAACCAGTGTGGACCAGGTTAGTGTCTTAAACCTTCACAAACATCAAAGGTCAAACAAATGCTAGGCCCAACACCCTCTTACAACTGTCTTTCACCCCTTACTTCTTCATTCCCAAAAGGCTTAGCACCTTCTGTTTAAAAGTCAAAGTAGCCAATCACTCAAGGGATCGAAGAAGAGTTATTTTTAGAGTAGAGTGAAAATTTACTGTAGATTAGAGTTTTCAAAAACTTCATATATAAAATTACAATGAAAATCTGTTTCTTCTGATACATCAGCTGATTTGTCCGACCATAAATTAAAGCCTATTTGTAATTACCACCTCCATAGTAAGACCACATTAGTACAACCAGTCTATACAGACAACCTCCTTAGTCAGACCACATTAGTATAACCTGTCTATACAGACAACCTCCTTAGTCAGACCACATTAGTACAACCTGTCTATACAGACCACCTCCTAAGTCAAATCACATTAGTAAAACCTGTCTATACAGACCACCTCTTTAGTCAGACCACATTAGTACAACTTTTCTTTACAGACCACCTCCTTAGTCAAATCACATTAGTATAACCTGTCTATACAGACCACCTCCTTAGTCAGATCACATTACTACAACCTGCCTATACAGACCACCTCCTTAGTCAGACCACATTAGCACAACCTTTCTATACAGACCACCTCCATACTCAGATCACATTAGTACCATCTGTCTTCACTTCCCACCTCTGTAGTCAGACCATACAGTCCACCTCCTAAGTCAAGCCACAATACTGATGAAATACACTCATCAGTCCTCATGTGATCAAATTCTTCGTATCAGCCTTTGTTTACTGAATAAGTTTCATTCAGGAATAGTTTTTTATTGAAATATTTTATTTGATAGCCACTTTTAGATGAAGAATTCAACAGACTACTCAGTGTTCAGGTATTAAAGATGCTGGACAAATTATTTGTGTAATTATAACAACATAATGTATAATCCACCTAAATAAATGTGTGTTTCTGGTTCTCACTGACCCTTTTCATAGACTATGTCGTAGGCAAGCATTGTTTAATTCACTTACCTTATTTTTACATTGTATATGGTCTATATAGAATTTCTAACATTTAATAAATAGAGATTACTTTCCGTAGATCTCTAACCTTTAAGGGTGTGAAACAAAAACACACAATTGTTTCCACGCCTTTATAGATACTGTCCATATATAATTGTAGAGCTAGCTTTATATACAATATTTATATTTCTTCGTGCAGTCTTGTAACCTTAAGGTAGTACAGCTGTACAATGTTATTCAATATGTATGCTTTTCTTCATTACTTGTAAAAATATAGTTAAGATGGTGTAAAGCTGTCGTGTTACAAACAGGATTCCCTATTCTGAGAATACATGTATCTGTACTTATGTGACATTCTGACATATCAATGTACTTATAAACCGTAATGAAAATATAATAGAATGATTTCTGTATTCAACTGGCAGTAAGTCCATACATATATACAAATATCCAGTAAACTGTAAACCAATGTTTCTTTATCACCTAGTAATTGGCTGCTCAGTTGACTTCAGGAGAGAAGCATTGTGTTGTAGCCTTGGGTCCAGAAACCAACCCCTGCCTCCACCCATTAGGATGAAGTTATATGTTGGCCCCCTAAGATCCTGTAATTTACCCACCTCCCTCCTTCAGGATGAAGTTATATGTTGGCCCCCTAAGATCCTGTAATTTGCCCACCTCTCTCCTTCAGGATGAAGTTATGTGTTGCCCCTCAGGGATCCTGTTATTTGACCCACCTGCAGACTTCAAGGGAGAACTTATGTGTTGCCCCCCCTCCTCCCCCGCACAGGAGTCTTGTAATTTGACCACTTTCCACCTTCAGGGATGAAGTTATATGTCGTTCCCTGGGCTTGGTGCGGGATAGATATCTTGTATGTAGAAGATACCGCTATGGTAGATGTATAGTATATGTTGTTCCCTGGGTTTGGTGCGGGATAGATATCTTTTATGTAGAAGATGTCGTTCCCTGGGTTTGGTGCAGGATCGATATCTTTTATGTGGAATATACTGCTATAGTTGTTGTGTAGTATATGTTGCCCCCTGGGCTTGGTGCGGGATAGATATCTTTTATGTAGAAGATACCGCTATAGTAGATGTGTAGTATATGTTGTTCCCTGGGCTTGGTGCGGGATAGATATCTTTTATGTAGAAGATACCGCTATAGTAGATGTGTAGTATATGTTGTTCCCTGGGCTTGGTGTGGGACAGATATCTTTTATGTGGAATATACTGCTATAGTTGTTGTGTAGTATATGTTGCCCCCTGGGCTTGGTGCGTGACAGATATCTTGTATGTAGAAGATACCGCTATAGTAGATGTAAAGTATATGTTGTTCCCCGGGCTTGGTGTGGGACAGATATCTTGTATGTAGAAGATACCGCTATAGTTGATGTAAAGTATGTGATATTTAAGGGTTATACAGATTTTTTTAACAACTTCCTAGTAATGACTTACTTCCTCCTCTCACTGGTGACAATTTCCTCCTTTCACCTTCTCTCATTACTCCTTCATATTACGAATTTGGTGTCATTTCTGACCACTTCAAGAGTAGATTCTATAGGAGCCTTAGATGAATACTTGGACGTAAAGAACCTGAGTTGTTGTCCTTTATGTCAAAAACTTGTGATGGAGGGAGTAGAGTGAAAAGTTGTTAGTTTGAATCCCAGCAGGGGCAGGGTGTTTTTCATGGCTCTTTCCTGTTACAAAGCAAGGCATGTTTTTTTCAGTTTTTGTAAAATTCTTGAAATGTTTCTATATCTTTGAAGAAAAAGTTGAACTACAAAAAAATCTTAACTAACCTAATGTAACTCATCAATTCTAGTTTTCTATCACTTCTCTAACATGTTTTTATTACTTACTAATCGGAAATATCTTAATATTACTGGTTTCAGTTTTCCATTTTTGTACTTCTATTTTGTAACATTATGTACCTTATTCAAAGTTACTTTTTTTACTTGACTCTAGTATCTACTGTCACCAGATTCAGTACATGTGAACTAAGTGGATTTAGTACATATGTAATGAATTTGTATGTATATTGAAATGGATTAATACATATGTAATACATTTGTATTATTAAAAAATGGACTTTGATACATATGTGCTACATTTGTATGGAAAAAATGGACTTTAATACATATGTAATACATTTGTATTATTAAAAAATGGACTTAGTACATATGTGCTACATTTGTATGGAAAAAATGGACTTTAATACATATGTAATACATTTGTATGTAACAAAACAAAATTTGTTCTGGATTTATTACCTCATGAACAGCCAGTCATTTTGCGGCATAATCCTCCTTTTGTTTTTATTGTTGGGAATAACATCCAGAACCTTGAAATGAAGTGTCTTGACACAACCATGACAATGAAGACTTGTTTGTGTTCATGCTTCTCAGGCAACACGTAGAGCCATGGGTCCAGAGTGTTGAGTCATACACCTTGTATCTTCAACTGAGGTTGTGTAGGCTTAAACACTCTTCTGACTGAGCTTTCATGGGCCCTTCAAAATGGACATTACTTAGTACAAAGTTACAATATGTACCATATTCATACTTTGTAACAATATGTTACTGAATTTGTATATACTTAACTGTCATTTAACTAGCAGTCATGTTAAGCAATAGAAACAGTTTTCATTTAAGATTAGAATTCTGATATATTTCACTGTTTTTATTGTTTTATTTTATGTTTCTAAAGCCCTAGATGACAGCTGACCATTTTTTAACCATGTATGGAAACTAAATCCAGATTCGTAAGAAATATTTTTTGTGTTCCACGTGATGCAGGTTTCCGAGTAGAAAACCTGATTTGTTGTTTGTATTGTTAGAACTAAAGACATTCCCTGTAGTTGTATATAACAAGTCTATACTGTTTAACATTGTAATGATATGATACCATATTAGTATTGCACCGATATACTTCACATAACACTATTTAAAAATTTGAAAATGTGAAGTGACTCATTTGCTTATATCTGAATAATGAACTAAAATATGTGCTAATTAATATTTGAATATGAAATAATGCATGTTTACTGACATTGTTAATCTAATACTTGTTTTAAATGAATAAGAAGTGATAAAGATGCTGAATACACATGAAATAAATTGTATCTGTCTGACAACGAAAGCCAGGTAATATGTCCGTTTGCATATACTGATAAGAAAACTTAAAACCTAAGATCATAATTCTGTCAAAATATGATAAAAAATTACAAAAAAAAAAAAAAAAGAAAATGGCATAAATGAAAAGGTTACTGAACCATCAACATATTTTTGAAACAATTGAGGGAAGTAAAATATCAGTAACCAAAAGTATTTACAAATAGGTATATATAGTATTTACTCCAGTGTATCATTATACATGTAATTGCTATCCTTCAATAATATATATTGACCTATAGAAAATCCACAGCCCCAAAAATTGTTCCTAGCGAATAGCAGTAGCTCAGCAACATAAAAACATACTATTCCATCTTAGATTGACAGATTACAACATGAAATCCTAATTATATTATTTTTTCTTTTACTAAATATGCACAAAATATTCCAAACCTGTGTCACCAATACATAACTGTTCCATAATAAATTAATAGCTGATAAATAAATGCACAAAAAAATTTAGCAAAAACTCCCTATGGTATCACTTCATTTTATTTTGTGAGCATGAAATATATTGTACATATATATAATTTAATTAATTCTTAACACCATACATATGACTTGAAGTTTCTTTATCTATGTGTGAAAGAAAAATGAAATGTTACGTAAAATGAGTTTGATTTTTTTTTAAGAAATACTGTATGAATGAACTTAATGTAATGAATTACTCTGCTTGAATATTTTTACTAAAGTTCCGCCTACAAAAGAATCTGTTTGACTGTTGTATTGAAAAAAAAACAAAGGTATCAGAAGTTCCACAGTGTGTTACCTAAATACAGGGTCCAGGTTTAAGAATTGTGTAATTTACATACAGGGTCCAGAGGCTCAGGATTGTCTTACTTACATACAGTGTCAAGATTTTCAGGATTGTGTTACTTACATACAGGGTCCATAGGTTCAGGGTTGTGTTACTTACATACAGGGTCCATAGGTTCAGGGTTGTGTTACTTACATACAGGGTCCATAGGTTCAGGGTTGTGTTACTTACATACAGGGTCCATAGGTTCAGTGTTGTCTAATTACATACAGGGTCCATAGGTTCAGGGTTGTCATATTTACATACAGGGTCCAGAGGTTCACTCTTGTGTTACTTACATACAGGGTCCATAGGTTCAGTGTTGTCTAATTACATACAGGGTCCATAGGTTCAGTGTTGTCTAATTACATACAGGGTCCATAGGTTCAGTGTTGTCTAATTACATACAGGGTCCAGAGGTTCAGTGTTGTCTAATTACATACAGGGTCCATAGGTTCAGTGTTGTCATATTTACATACAGGGTCCATAGGTTCATTGTTGTCATATTTACATACAAGGTCCAGAGTTTCAGTGTTGTCTTACTTACATACAGGGTCCATGGGTTCACTCTTGTGTTACTTACATACAGGGTCCATAGGTTCAGTGTTGTCTAATTACATACAGGGTCCATAGGTTCATTGTTGTCATATTTACATACAAGTTCCAGAGTTTCAGTGTTGTCTTACTTACATACAGGTTCAAGATTTTCAGGGTTGTGTTACTTACATACAGGGTCCAGAGGTTCACTCTTGTGTTACTTACATACAGGGTCCATAGGTTCAGTGTTGTCTAATTACATACAGGGTCCATAGGTTCAGTGTTGTCTAATTACATACAGGGTCCATAGGTTCAGTGTTGTCTAATTACATACAGGGTCCATAGGTTCAGTGTTGTCTAATTACATACAGGGTCCATCGGTTCAGTGTTGTCTAATTACATACAGGGTCCAGAGGTTCACTCTTGTGTTACTTACATACAGGGTCCAGAGGTTCAGTGTTGTCATATTTACATACAGGGTCCATAGGTTCATTGTTGTTATATTTACATACAAGGTCCAGAGTTTCAGTGTTGTCTTACTTACATACAGGTTCAAGATTTTCAGGGTTGTGTTACTTACATACAGGGTCCATAGGTTCAGGGTTGTGTTACTTACATACAGGGTCCATAGGTTCAGGGTTGTGTTACTTACATACAGGGTCCATAGGTTCAGGGTTGTCATATTTACATACAGGGTCCAGAGGTTCAGTGTTGTGTTACTTACATACAGGGTCCATAGGTTCAGTGATATCTAGTTACATACAGGGTCCAGAGGTTCAGTGTTGTCTTATTTACATACAGGGTCCATCGGTTCAGTGTTGTCTAATTACATACAGGGTCCAAAGTTTCAGTGTTGTCTTTCTTATATATAAGGTGCAATGTTTTGTTATTTACACATGAAGATCTGAAGAAGCTGTTAACTGAAATTGTCTTCTCATTTTAGTTTACAATTCTTTTTAGTCAATTTATAGTGCAGCATGCTGTTTTGATATCAAAATTCATTTTCTTTAAATAAGCATATTTTACTGTTTTTTAAATAAGCATATTTTTCTGTTTACACATTGAATACTTTTCTGTTTACTATTATCAAGGTGTAGGTAGTTTTTTCAAAAGGTTTTTTTTTATTGTTTACATAGGTTTTAAACCCAATGAATCTTCAGATGAAAAAGTATATGCTTTTTGTATAAGGTCATTTATTGCTAGGACATACTGATTTCAAATTTGAAAAGTATTTTCATTTCCTGTATTTGTGACATTTCATGATATAAATGAATGTTTCAAAGAAAATATGGTTTCTTTCGTATGTGATTGTCAATCTAATTATCTGTATGAAACTATACTTCTTTTTTAACAGGTAATGGCTGGATCCTATAAGTTGGATGCGTTGAATGATACTGGGTAAGTTGGGTATGCCTAGAAAATAAAAAAAGTACTAGCTGGAAAGTTTATGAAAATATTTAAACAAAACTTGTGTATGTAAAAGTTGTTTTCAAAATTAGCCATGCTTACACTAGTTTGTATCTATAAACTTTTGAATGGTTCAAGCATTCTTTTTACTTTGATTTGCAGTGATGGGGAGGAGTACCAGGATGTAGAAATTGAGGTGCCTCCTGTTGAGGAAGGTATGTAACTTGGGAAAGACTGCATCTCGGCAACATATAACTTTTTAGAAAATATTTTCATCTGATAATAGTTTCAGTTTTTTTTTTATCTTGTCTTTAAAATGGACAGGCATTGTGCTTTTTTTATGAAAAGAACTTCCTGACATATGATATATCTAATTCTCAGATACTTACGTATAATTTAAAGACGCTAGAGAATGCTGATGTAGATAAATCAGTCATGTTTGACACAAATACAGTACTTTTTAAAACTCAAATCAACTTATACTTTACTTAAATTTATAATTGTCTTCATTTCAGAAATGTACGAAGCAGTGTAACATTCCATAGCTCATTATCATCAAATCCACAATTGAACTTTGGCCATATTGTAGCTGACCTTGACCTTACTTGACCTAAATGTGAAATTACTTGATAGATCTGATTTCAAATGAAGACATGAAGTGCCTAACCTTGATTAGAAATACCTGCCATTTATTTGTAGTGCCTAACTTTGTTTTAATATGATTCATTGCCAACCTTGCCCTTAAAGTGCAAAACCTTCACCTAGTATCTGAAGTTTCAAAGAAGTATTAATGTATCTTAACATCTTGTCTTTCTTGGTAGCTTCATTTCAGTAGGAGTTCTGATTGAAAATTGGCTTGGTAGGTATAGAGTTGATATCTATAGACAAGCCAGAGACATTTATCTATTTATCTTTTTTAACTATTATTATTATCCTGATTGTTTTCGTATATTTTTTTTTAATATAGTTTTTTACGAAACTTCATTAAATCATATGTTAAAACATAAAAATACATTTACTGTATTACAATGAAGTTTGGTATTACAGACATTGTTTTACTGTAGCTAGTTTGATGGTACTGAGCTACATTTAAGTTAGCTAACGTCATTGTTAGTTGATCACCACTTTGCCTTAGACTGTACCTAATTATATATGTATATTGTGATAATTACTGGTACAGTAATAATATATCCATGATGTACAATATTTTGTGAAGTACACATTCCAATCTGTTTGTAAATTCTATTTGTATGAAGAAAAGTTATATGTTTTTGTTTCATAAGTTTGGTTTCTTTGTTTATTGTTTACACAGGGATTCATTACAGAGAGATTTGTGGTTCTGTCTAATTCTTATAGGACAATTCTGACAGAGATATGATCATACTAAAGTATTTTTTTCTTTTACTGTTGGTATAAAATTCCAATAAAAGATTGTATATTATGGATAATACACCTTGAATTTGAATGAATGTATTCACTGGTAGATCTCCAAAGTGGAAAAAGCTTTTTCTAACATGATATGATTATGAGGTATACTGGAGACAAATAACATCATTTAGTATTGATAATAAAAGAATTTGATACATATAACACTTAATACTTAACCTTATAATTTTTTTGAAGTAGATTTGTTCTGTGTCAAAGCAGATTTTGATGGTGTCCCGAAGGTTTTTGTTATAAGATATTTTTATTGTTTCACAGTAAATTTTTGCTTCCTAATAAAAATATTTATCATCTTGGTAGAATATGTTTAAGACACAGCAGATTTTGATTGTCGTTGCCATGGTAGAGTTTATAGTCAGTGGAGATTTTTTATTGTATCACAATTGAAATGACATTTATAAGTACATATTTTTTATTGTAAATAATGTGACCTTTGCTTTTTCATTTTTATACTCACCGTTGAGCTTTCAGTTGAACAGCTAGACATTCTACAGCACTATACATGTAGATGTATTTACAATTTATAAAGAAGTCCAGAAGTACTGGTCAATCAATCCGTCATAGTTTAGCATAATAAATTAGGCATTTCGACCTGGCTTCATTAGACAGGTTTTTACTAAAACCTTGCCTAATTGGACAACATCTGTTAGTTCAGCCAGATAAACAAATGTTAATTCAACTTTGTCACATTCGATAGCTAGGTCCTAATGAACTGGGCCTCTCTTACCTGTTAAAAGAAATGTTGCAGAACTGACTGTATTGGTGCATCCCAACTGAAGTAACATAAAGATTGATCAGGGATATATTATCCACTCATTTCCAAGCTTTATTTGACTAGCTATACTGTACACATTTTTATGATTTTAGTTTTGTTTGGATTAGTGAACATGAGGGAGCGTGGAGTCACTTCATTCAGTACAAATTATTACAGAGATTGGTTGCTTGTACTTATAGTCTAATCTATACTTTTAATTTTATTCAAATTTTATTCACAGGGAAACATAAATACTAGATAAGTAGGCCGATACTATTTTCAGATAACTGAACTCACGTACAGTGCGTCATAAAGATCCTTCCAACGTTTCTCCTTGATCATGTCCAAATTCAAGTGATTGGTCGCGTATGCAAAGCCAATTTTGTGCGTAGCATCTGCAATGGCCATCTGACCTCCTAATCCACCATGTCCAAAGGAAAATTCGGGCTAAAAGACCTCCATCATAAATAAGTAGGCCGATACTATTTTCAGATAACTTTATTATCCAAAATGATGGAGGTCTGAAACATACAAAAAGTAACATTGTAAATAAAATCAACTATCTGTTGGTAAGACATAAGTAATAGACTAACAAGTATATACATAATCCTCTAAATACCACTTGTAAGTTATTCAAAATTCCAAAGTAAAATATCTCAATATATTTTGAACTAAATGGATCACTTTGTAAAGTGTTCAATCAATTGAACTGCAAGCAGCCAGTCCCAAAATGTATCACTTGCCATAAATACCAGTATGTTAAGATATAAGTTCAACTTAAAGTTTTAGATATTATGTTTTAAGAATGCAATGTGCCAGTGCTATTTGTACATGCTTTATGATATTAGACAATCACATTTGGCTTGTTGTACCCACACATGCTGCATAATCAGCATTTCATTTAGTGCAATATTCATTATTGTAGTTCACACCAGACAAAAGCTTTGCAAGTGTTGTGGGTGACCTGGTATTTGTTCAAATACACATACTTTTCATTTGGGCAGTTTTCTGACTTTGTAGTTCTATGATTTCTCTAGGAGGTAAGTTAATGACTTATGGATAACAAGGTTAGAGAGTATCTTGGTAGATCCTGGATATTATGGTTAGAGGGTATCTTGGTAGATCCTGGATATTGTGGTTAGAGAGTATCTTGGAAGATCCTGGATATTGTGGTGGGAGAGTATCTTGGTAGATCCTGGATATTATGGTTAGAGGGTTTTAATGGAGAATGCATGTGTAATCCAAGATACATGAAGATAGATTTAGAACTTTGTACAGACTTAGCGGCGTTGGATAGTTTTCTAGAATTGTACATGTAGAATCCAACATGCCATTGATAAGTAGTGAAAACTGATATCCTAAAATATTGGGAACTTCACATTACCCACCATAAAAGAAATTTGTGTACTTAACAGAAAATTTCTGGTTTCCCCCCACCAATGGTAAATAATTACTTGAATCTTAACAGTATGACTGTCATATCTATGATCTTTGGCTTTTAAGAGGCATTATTTCAAAAGCAATACTAGACATAAAATTCACTCTGTGATAAATCCATTTCTCATGTTCAAGGTTAGGGGTAAAACTGGGAGCAATGTTTCTAAATGACATTAATGATGTGTTGAAGAAAGATAAATGTATTTCCTCATTGTAAACAGATTTTGCAATTGGCCTGTTATCTAGAGAATTCCCCAAAGTAATATTTTTAAATATGTCATCATTTTTATATACCTTAGAGAGTTTTTCTTTGAAAGGACCAGTCAGAATGCAATCGTGATTTGATAATACGAATAGTGATGTTATGTTGTGAATTGAAAATGATGCAACACAATGGCAGCCTCTGATTTTTTTCTATTTTCACTTTAAAACTTGTCAAAATGTAACTTTCATGAGATATGTGATATCTGAAATTTATTTTCATTTGATATTTATCATTTTATGACATTCATCTTGCAGTTTTAATGTTTGCGTGCCAGGGCTCGCAATAACAAAAATCTCAAAGATTTGTTTTATAAAGTTTCATATAAAGTAAAAATTCATTTCAATTCCTGTGTACATAACTAGACAGTTATTACTCCACATGTATACACATGGTATTGTGTGCGTGTATGTGTGTGCAGTTTTCATGTTAATTGGTGACACACAAATATTCTACTTTCAGTTTTCATATAACTTATATGTATGGTGGACAATTTTTTATTATTCTGGTAAGCAGCAAGCTTGGTGATGATGAAAAGTCAAACATGTGTCATGCTTAGAAGAATTGATGTAGAGTTTTTTATGTTTCTGCTAGTCCAAAGTCGAATTGCTATTATCATGACAGTATTATGGAAATGGTGGTGTTGTAACATTTAGGCTGACCACTGTTGTGTGTTCCAGGGTACATTACAGTCAAATGACAGGATGAAGATATTTTGATTTTAAATTAATGCTCCAGTTTAATGTCTGATAGTTTCACAGCTTGTTTCTTAAGTTTTACTAACACTGGTACTTATTTTTATTGGAGAACATATTTTTATGCTGTTCTTACAATCAAGTGTAGATTTGCCAGGTTAAAATCCCAACCACTTTGAAGTATGATTGAAACAACTTGTATACTATGTTTACAGTATTAAAACAGGGAAATGTTAGTTACTATTATTTCCTTACATTTTAAATAAAACTAACTTATCAGTAATTTTCATTTTAGATTGCCATCATCCTATTGTAGTTTTAACTAATGGTGCTTCTGTATTGTCTGATTTGTTTCCACAATATATGAAAAATCTGAGAATAAAGAAACTTGAAAAATAAACCTCTTCAAAGCTGTCTTGTTTGAGAAATTGTATCATGCATCAATGAAGTTTCCCATTGTTTCATCTATTATTGTGACAAGTTTCATAAAAACACAACACATTGCAAAGGAGATTTTTCAAGATATTCTACAACTCAATAGAGGAGATTTATAAAGATGTCCTACACCATGACAAAAAATCTGTTAAAACTGGAACACAAGGAAGATTATGAATAAGAGACCCATTGGAATTTCATCACTTACCTGGTAATTGATGCTTCCCACAAATACATTTATGTTATTGATACAATGTATTCAAATTCCTAGATAATGAGAAAAAGTTCTCTGAAGGTTTCAACAAATTTGACTTCTGTGACTTTGACTATTGGTCGAAGTTTTTTCTTTTCTCAAACTTTGTTGGGCTTGATCTTAAGAACCTATAAGCCAAATATCATGGTATCAAGATTTGAGGTCTTTTGGTTGTTTGTAGATTCTAACATATAGTTGATTGACTCATGTGGTCTTGAATTTGGGTCTGATAAGTTTTGCATAGGAATGTCCTTCATCACAATGATGATAATGCAAGATAGGTTCTATATAGACATCTCACAACACTTAAAATTGTTAAAAAAGATGTTCCATAACTTTTAAAGGTTTTGTAAAGTATGTATCCCACAATAACAGCAATGTCCTACAAGACACCAGAAGAATTTTATAAAGGTCTCTCAGAATACAGGAAAGGATTCATAAATTTGTCAAATATCATTAGAAAAGTCCTCAACACTGGAAAAGTTTTATAAAAATGTCTCACCACACTAGAAATATCCTGCAACATTAGAAAGTTTTTTTATAAAGAAAACTCACAAACTTGGAAAGGTTTTATATGAAGTCCCACCATACTAGGAAAGTTTGATTAAAAAAAAAAAAGAGAAAAATTTGATAGAGATACCTCACAACATCAGAAATGTTTGATTCAGATGTCACAATGCAACACCAGAATGTATTTTTCTAAAGAAATATCAGTATCAACATTTAGGTAAAGACATTGTACTTAAGTAATCCATCAGAAATGATTTACAGGTTAACCTCTAAACATTAATGTTTAAAAGCATAACATTATAATAATACAGGATCTAGTTTCTTGAGAGAATAACAAGAGGCCCAGAGGGCCTAAATCGCTCACCTGGATCTTTATGACCAACATTACTATATCTGTGTATATGTTCCACATTTAACACATTTGAACCCTGTGACCTTGACTATGGGTCAAGGTCATTTCTTCTTCTTTTTTGGACTTCATAAAAGGAACATACTGGCCAAATATAATGATTCTAGACTTTTCGATATTTCAGAAGAAATTATTTAAATGTTTTAACACATTTGACTCCTGTGACCTTGATGATTGGTCAAGGTCATTTGTTTAAGCAAACTTTGTAGGACACCATAAGAGGAACATAGTAGCCTAATATAATTGTTCTAGGCTTTCCGCTGAAATTTTTTTGAACACATTTGACCTCTGTGACCTTGAATATGGGTCAAGGTAATTTCTTTTTGCAAACTTTGTTGGTCTTCATCAAAGGAACATTAAAAAAATATAATGATTCTAGGCCTTCTGGCATTTTGGAAGAAGTCGTTTAAATGTTTTAACACATTTGACCTCTGTGACCTTGAATATGGGTCAAGGTAATTTCTTTTTGCAAACTTTGTTGGTCTTCATCAAAGGAACATTAAAAAAATATAATGATTCTAGGCCTTCTGGTATTTTGGAAGAAGTCGTTTAAAAGTTAACACATTTGACCTCTGTGTCCTTAAATATGGGTCAAGGTCATTTCTTTTTGCAAACTATGTTGGGCTTCATCAAAGGAACCTTCCAGCCAAATATAATGATTCTATGCCTTCCGGTATTTTGGAAGAAGTGTCTAAAGGTTTTAACACATTTGACCTCTGTGACCTTGCATATGGGTCAAGGTCCTTTGGGCCAGGTGAGCTAAAAATGAGTAAGTATACCTCAAAATTACCAGGTAACTCGTATATAAATATTCGTTGATTAAATCAGGAGATAAACTTTTATCTGGCAATGATGTAATCACTGTAAAACAATTTTGGCTCCAGAGATATGTCCCCACTTTGAGAGATAAGGCGTGTGACTCACACGTATCTAGGGCTGTAGGTCAGTTTGGAGCCCCTTCAAACACCTTTGCACTTTTTCATGATCACAGATAAGCGAGTGTAACTTTAAACATATGCACTACTTGCATATAGTGTGTTGTATTCCTTTATTAGGCCATGTTAAGTCTTGCCAAATGTCAATTTGTCCCTCACTAAACTGATTAACCATTGTTGATAACTGATAATATGCTGAATGTAGAAACTCCAATTAAACCAGCATTCCAGAGTACAAATGTTTTCAAAGATTAGAGTTTTTTCAAGATATAGATTTGAACCACCCTATCTTATAGCAATACAGAGACTGATATTGGATTGAATAACATTAAACAAGATTTTATCAATGTGTAAAATATTAATTCACTTCTCAACCCGAGAAAAAAAACAACTCTCAGATAGATACAATGGGTTTTATTTACACGACATCTTTATACACTTCAAAAAAGGAAAAATAAAAATCACAAAAAGATTTGCAGGAATTAAAATACAGTTTTCTTAACCTGGCATAAAACCAAACAGCTAATTACAAATTATATATCAGGTAATATGCTTGACTAGGATTAGGTATTGACAGAAAAAATGAAACTAAACAGTTGATGCCTGAATGGTTTTATTTCTGTGTATGTTTTGCTGATTGAAAATAGTGCTTGAAATGATACATAAAAAGAATATTATAGTACAGGAGACATTAGTATGTAGATCCCTAGCCCCCTCCACAGACCTAGTAAGTGTTATAATACATATACTTAATCCTATTTCCTTCCATAGACCTAGCGAGTGTTATAGTACAGGTAATATTACCATACAGAATCCTGTCTCCCTCCACAGACCTAGTAAGTGTTATAATACAGGTTACATTAACATACAGAATCCTGTCTTCCTCCATAGACCTAGTGAGTGTTATAGAACAGAATCCTGTCTCCCTCCACAGACCTATTGAGTGTTATAGTACAGATGATATTACCATACAGAATCCTATTTCCCTCATAGACCTAGTGAGTGTTATAATACAGGTTACATTAACATACAGAATCCTGTCTCCCTCCACAGACCTAGTAAGTGTTATAGTACAGGTAACATTACCATACAGAATCCTGTCTCCCTCCATAGACCTAGTAAGTGTTATAATAAAGATAACACTATTATACAGTATCCTGTCTCTTCAACAGACCTAGTGAGTGTTATAATAAAGATAACATTACCATACAGAACACTATCCCCCTCCACAGGTCTAGCGAGTTATAATACAGATAACATTTTAATGTAGAACCATATCCCTACCCAGAGGCCTTAATAAAGTGATAGATATACTCGTTATTAAGATACAATATTTGCTCTTAACTTTCAATTTATTGGGTTGTCTACATATATCCATATTAAATGTACTGGGGTTCACATGAAGTGTATTGTTGTAAGAAATCAATTTAACTCTGTACAAATATAAAGTGACACGAAAACAACATCTCAGAGACCAGACCCTGTCTTACATCGATGTCCAACTGTGATACAGCTTTTCAAAGGATACTGGATAACTATTACCAGATAAAAGGACACAACTCCTATTATACATTTTAATCTGGATTGTGCATTCAGTGATCAACATGCAAGGTCGAATGACAAATGGATTCTGGTATAGGTATAATTCTCTAAAGATAGGGTATGGCAACTCAATGAATCATTCTCCCTTAAGATCACATCAATCTTTTATTGAACAATATTAAATCAAATTTTTCAAACACAAGCAGATCAATCCTTAAATATTTTGAAATTACAATTTCCTTGACAGTAGTAAAGCTAGATTAAGCTCTATTTAAAAATCATAGTGGTTATAAAGCGTGCAATTTAGTCAAGCAATTAAGGTAACTCAACCATGGCCAGTACATAGGATTTGTCATACATTTTCTTGTCAGATTCTCTATCTACACATCTTAAAATATTACCTTCATTTATGATACATAAATAAACATATGATCTTTTATGAATATGCATAAAAGATACCAAAATAATCCATCATTCAAGCATTTGCTTCTCACATTTCATACCCTGTCAGAAATAACACATATTAGCAGAAAGTAATATCCTTAATCCTAAAAAGACTGTTTCACTTCAATGGAAAGTGTCTTTACAGCAACAAGGTTGTCTATTTTCTTAACCATTTATTTATTCACTACATGTGAAATCAATTATTTCACAATGTCCGACTTGGAATCTGTCAAATGTATAATTTCAAGGACGTGGTAATATCTAATACATTAAATCCTTTATTATACCATAACAATCATGTGTTCCTCTCCCACTCTAACAGACAACATACATATTCATTAATTTCATCCTTAGAAGTCTCTGTTTGCATTGAACTTATCAAATGACATAAAACAGATAAGAAGACAGCCTTATATTACAAGTAACATTTACCTGGAGCTTTCCTGGAAATCAGGAACTATTTAGATCTAAATGAGTCAGAAGGGTTATATAGTATAGGTCACACAGTGTTATAGACAGGTCAAGGTCAGATGGCTTACAGTAATATCAAGGTCACAAAGGATATAGTCAGGTCAATGTCATAGAGCAATGAAAATGTCAGATAACATAGGAATAGTTTGGTCAAGATCATGGTGGGTTGTCGTAATGTCAAGGTCACACAATGGAATAGTCGGACCAAGATCACATGGGTTAAAGTGATGTTGAATCACACAGAATTACACAAACACAATAAAAGATGTCAAGGAGTTTGAAAGTACCCATGGTTACAAGACCAGAACAGAGACAGCAACATCACTGTTATGTAGCATGGCAACCTTATAAAAGACTACTGTATAGCAACACCACACAAGGTAACCATACAGTAACATCATACATGGTTACCATACAGCAACATCATACAGGGTTGCCATACAGCAACATCATACAGGGTTACCATACAGCAACATCATACAGGGTTACCATACAGTAACACCACACAAGGTAACCATACAGTAACATCATACTGGGTTACCATACAGCAACATCATACAGGGTTACCATACAGTAACATCATACAGGGTTACTGTACAGCAACATCATACCCGACTACATACAGTAACATCATACTGGGTAACCATACAGTAACATCATACTGGGTAACCATACAGCAACATCATACACAGTTATCATACCATATCATACAAGGTTACTGTAGAGCAACATCATACAGGGTTACTGTACAGCAACATCATACAGGGTTACGGTACAGCAACATCATACAGGGTTACTGTACAGCAACATCATACCCAACTACCTACAGCAACATCATAGAGGGTTACTGTATAGCAACATTATACTGGGTTACTGTATAGCAACATCATACAGGGTTACTGTACAGCAACATCATACAGGGTTACTGTACAGCAACATCATACAGGGTTACTGTACAGCAACATCATACCCGACTACCATACAGCAACATCATACCCGACTACCATACAGCAACATCATACAGGGTTACTGTACAGCAACATCATACAGGGTTACTGTACAGCAACATCATACCCAACTACCTACAGCAACATCATACAGGGTTTCTGTATAGCAACATTATACCCAACTACCATACAGCAACATCATACAGGGTTACTGTATAGCAACATCATACAGGGTTACGGTACAGCAACATCATACAGGGTTACTGTACAGCAACATCATACCCAACTACCTACAGCAACATCATACAGGGTTACTGTATAGCAACATTATACAGGGTTACTGTATAGCAACATCATACAGGGTTACTGTATAGCAACATCATACAGGGTTACGGTACAGCAACATCATACAGGGTTACTCTACAGCAACATCATACCCGACTACCATACAGCAACATCATACCCGACTACCATACAGCAACATCATACAGGGTTACTGTACAGCAACATCATACAGGGTTACTGTACAGCAACATCATACAGGGTAACCTACAGCAACATCATACAGGGTTACTGTACAGCAACATCATACAGGGTTACTGTACAGCAACATCATACAGGGTTACTGTACAGCAACATCATACAGGGTTACTGTATAGCAACATCATACCCGACTACCATACAGCAACATCATACAGGGTTACTGTATAGCAACATCATATATACCCGACTACCATACAGCAACATCATACAAGGTTACTATGAGATAACAGTATCAAATGTTATTAGTCTAGTTCCCATATAAAGTTGTTACACAATGTGATATAACGCACGATGACACATAAAATGACTTCAGTCAAGTTACACATGAAAATAGTCACATGATGTGATTCTTTCTGAAACTAAACACTGATCCTTCATTTGAAGATTTCAAATCTGGGTAGACTGCATACAGTAGCAACTACATAACTACAGGCTAACAGTATACATATACTGAGGAGCAGCTTCCTCCAGGTTACACTAATAACCTCATCATTTAAAGTAACATGTAACAATAGAATCATTGCCTTTATTATAACAACATAATAAAAGTCTTACAATGAAGCTCTGGGTAGCATGTTGAAATGATCTCCAATTTCTATAGTTATTTGTAATAAGAACAGAAATATCTTATGTTGCTTTGAAACAGATTTCTTGTTGTGTTGTAACACACAGTGAAAGACGTGAAAGACTTTTTGTGATAGTATCTCTGGTTTATTGTTATACTCCTTAAATATCCCCCACAACCTGTCACAGACGTTACATCGCCGTATGAACCATAGACTGGAAGGTGATGGTGGACATGATTGTTCTTTTAACAGCCTAGTGGTCATGTAGTAGCCTGTTAAATGCATTATAAGCACTGTCTAAATCAAACAACATCTGTCGCACCTGACTATCATCCAGCTCCTCTGAGGCAGACATCCCATTAAATGTGTCCAACCTGTCACAATGAGAATAAAACATGTTAGTAAGCATCAAATACTTAGTGACACATTCATCAAGCTTTGATTTCAGCTGATCACTAACTACATCAATAAAGGTTACTATTCAGAAATTTCCAATCTTCACCATGTAATCAATTTGAGTGTATGAGGACTTATATATGACAGGTACAACATGTTGACCTAGATCAACATCAATAAAGATTTCCTACTGTATTCATCTGACAATAACACAGTGCTTGGCAATATGCCAATCTACATTTATTGGAATTTCTTTCAAAATGCTTTATCATTGTTCTTAATAAGCCCATTCCTTACATTAAGTCAGAGATAATGTTTTGGTCCCTAACATCATGGTCCTGTAATTAAATAGTTTAAATAAGAAGGGAGGATTTGACACCCTTATATTATGTTTCCTTAATAAGCAAATTCTCAGCTATCGTCAGAGGCACAATTTGGCTCCCCTTATTTCATGTTCCTGTAATAAGTCCATAAGCCCACACTTAGTCTTAGGAAGAGGCAATGTTTTGAACCAACCCCCTCCCCTCCTCTACAATATTACTACCCTGTAATAAGCCCACCCCCTACTTTGAGACAGAGGTAATGTTTTTGTCCCTGAGCTAATTGCAGGATAAATACAGTATGTAGGGTACATAGTAATGTAACCACTGAATCTCTTTTTCGGTAAGCTTTTGCTCATACAACACAAATAGGTCATTATCCTCAACATCATCTCTGTGTGATTTTCTATTAAGAACAGATATTGCACAAATGAACAACGATCATCAGTTAATGGAAATCTACAGCGCCACCTACCAAGTCTTTACTTTGACTTTTCCTTCAAAGTCTGAGGACACAATACTTAATCTGCTCATTGTCTCCATCAGTTCCTTTAGATCTGGCTGGATCTGAATCGCACATCAAAATACAGCTTATATAAGTATAAACTTGTTCATGTTTTTTCTTGCGGATACGTCGAACGTAAAACAACATATTTAGTATACTATTTTCTTCTTTTCAGATATATACTAAATCTTACCAGTAATAAAGATAAATGTACAAAATACAAATTATGGGAATCCATGCAAATTTTCATCCAAATTCAATCATTATTATCATTGTCTATACCATAAATATCATTATATGTATACTCAAGTTAGAAGTAAGTTTCCATTACATTTAAATCCAATCAATCAAGAAGAATATTTGGAATATCTTAAGATATAACATAAATCTCCACGTAAATATCAGTCTACAATAACCTACCTCATCCATAGCTCTGATCTCCAGTCGCAATTTGTCCATAACAGTGATAAATAACTGAAATTACATAATGATCAGGATCATTGAAATATACATCAAATTGTTTAAGAAACAAAAAACTGTTGTCTGCCTTCAATACAAACATTTCAATTACTTTATTTACAGCTTTCTAGGATTTTTAATATGACCAACATTTATCATAAATTGTCTGCATTATGGCGTTTCAATTTATGAGGTTAAGACTAAATTCTAAACCTTATATCGGGTTAGTAAATGTATGTTAACTAATCATAGGGCCTAAATTGAAATTGAATACATAGTCCCAAATACCCATTTTAAGCATGTAGACATACAACAAATACTGACAATAAGGTCTTGTATTAGAAATTTGCTAATGAAATAGCTAAATTACTTAATGTACACAAACGGAAACCTGTTATTATAAGTTTACTACTACTTACTGATACAATATCTACCATAACTTTACCTACTACTTACTTATACAATATTTACTATAAGTTTACCTACTACTTACTGATACAATATCTACTATAAGTCTATCTAATACCTAATGATACAATATCTACTACAAGTTTACCTACTACTTACTGATACAATATCTACTATAAGTTTACCTACTACTTACTGATACAATATCTACTATAAGCTTACCTACTACTTACTGATACAATATCTACTATAAGCTTACCTACTACTTACTGATACAACATCTACTATAAGTTTACCTACTACTTACTGATACAATATCTACTATAAGCTTACCTACTACTTACTGATACAATATCTACTATAAGTTTACCTCCTGGGTTTGTATTTACTGATACAATATCTACTATAGGTTTACCTACTACCTACTGATACAATATCTACTATAAGTTTACCTCCTGGGTTTGTACTTACTGATACAATATCTGCTATACATTTACTGGTATTTCCCTTGTCATCTTTGATAGTGATAGGACGATCATCCTTAATCCTCTCTAATGCTGCTGGACAATCCAACTTGGAAAAGAAAAACATTAACATGTCACTCATAAAGTACGCAGGCAGCAGGCTTATGAAAGTTCTTTGATACAGCATGGTCCAAACATTACCTCTCCCCCGATGTAGGCAGGCGGGCTTATTAAAGGGCCATGACATCAGAGGGCCAAAACATCACATAATATCTGTTGATAATTCTTCCAAAAATTGCAATAGATGTTGGTTGGCTTATTACCAGGAATAACAAAATGGCTTCATAAACACAGAAATATAGTCATCAAAACTGGTTATTTTTTCATATCATCAGAGTGAAGACATTGAAACAATGTATGCCCATTTCAATTGACACAAATAGATATATTTCTGATGAAAATGCATGAGGTATTCTTGTTGCAACAGTATTCTTATAACAAACTAATCCCAATGTAATTTGTTAATTAACAAACATGTAAAGTTAAATGGTAACATCCAACAGTAATTACCAACTGAATTGAAAACTTACTCTAAATTTTTTCATAAATGATTCCACATTTGGAAACTCCTCACCCTGGACCTGCTTAAACGCTGCCTTGTATTGTACCAACAGTTTGGAGCAAGCTCCAGTGTATCTGTTTGTAAATAATATAATAGGTATATAAAGGTACAATAATAACAGATAATATCACAGTTGTAATGCAAGTATCAATACTGAAATTTTACAACAGAGTCACACTGTAAGCACTCTGGTTCACAAGTAAGAATTTACACCACAGACATTTTTAAAGATTTTTTTAAGAATTGAATAAATTATAACACAGGTAATATCATGTACATGTACATCAATGAGAAATTAAACCTCATGTAAGTGCAGGTATATAGTTGACAGACTGCATCACAATTTATTCTGTCTGTAATACAATTGAATGATAAAAATTATATGGACAGAGTCCATTTGGTTTTACACAGTGCAGAAAAAAAATTAAGAAATACAATGGTTGAAACTTAAACAAGACTGAATAACTTAATTTATTTGGAATTCTGACACAAAAAGAACTTACTCCCGTGCTTGTACAGCATCCTTAATGTAGGCTTTCTCCAAACTCTGCAGCGTGTTTATCACGGCATACAGATCTGCCATGTTATCATATCTGTGATTTTACAAATATGACAGATATAGGTTACACAATGTCAATTATGATAAACTGTATAATTTAGGTATTTGTACATGATTTGTGGACAACAGAACATTTGGTAAAAACAAATTTTAGCAAATTATCACATATTAGCAAATGAACAATGATGAATAAGCATTTCAAAACTCATATAAATGTATTGCTACAGTGTGCATACAAATTACATTCAGATGTGGAATCATATTTCAGCACTATATCTCCATTATGAGAAGTGCTAATGTAAGATTACTGCTAAATAATTTTGTTTACAGTAATTAACACACTATCTGTTTACTTACTTGGCCCTTTCCCTTGAAGTTCTGTATAATTTCACTTCCTACAAAAGACAACAGAAAAACATGTGACTCTAATATATAATTTTGATGTTGGACTTGACTTAGTTTCCTTATAAATTTCACCACAAATTTCACAAATTGCCATATATTCAGAGTTGGTACTAGTAACAATACCTGGTCTCCTACTTCTCCTGCCAGCTAGATAGCATATGTATAACAAAATTATAATGTTGTCAGAGCTACAACATTACAGATACAGGTACTGCACCTAGTGTGACCAACTTAGATGAGTAAAAATATTGTATTGTAAACACTGCATACCGAATATTATAAAATTTACCAGGTAACTTGAATGACAATGCTGCATGTAGGAGTCCTGAGTATGTGTGCTGATCAAATTAAATGCTATATATAAACTAAAATAAATTTGATTTAAAGGATTATATACTGATGTAGTGGCTATATGTTTTATGAACTTATAACCAGAATTTCTAGTTCCAAAGATTTTTAATTTTCTTTAATCTATATTTATGAACAATACAGTAATTACATAGGTACCATACATTGTACCCATTAAAGTAATGTATGAAGATAACTGGTCCTATGAACGGTTATAGGGCCATAAAGCATGCATGTTACATGTACTTCTTTATTATAAAATTCTTATAAAATCATTCAATCCTAATAAGTATGAAATATTTACCTCATACAATGCTGGATTATTAGGTTGCGCTGAAAAAAAAAGATGCAAATATTTGTACCATAAATCATGTTTGGATAAAAGAAGCATCTCATGTCTGAAGAAAATGCAGTTGGCCTATATCAACAAAAAAGTTTCATCTAAGAATCGTGTCACTTGGTAATTATAATGAATATGAACAGTGCTTACTAGTTCACATTTGTTTAAGTTTCATTTGTACATTTTTTTTCAAACACTGGCTTTCATAAAGTGTTATTATATAACATCCAGTCCAACAAAACAAAGGTAAGAGAGGTCATAACTGATTTCAAAGCATCCGCTAGCATTCAAACCTGGGACCCATGGCTTATAATGTGATGCTAAACTGATCGAGCTGAAGAAAAGTTCTCTCTAGCCGAGCAGTATATCTCAGCTGATATTATACCAGGGTTACAAAAAAAAGTAGATAATTGAAAGTCACTCTTAATAAAAGCTCATACTGACACTGAGAGCTATCAATGATGCTTGAATGTTTCAAACTAAAGTTGAAAAATCACTATGAAATAACAAAATCAAACTTATATCTATGTTTAAAAATGTTTTTGTCAAACAAGTGTACATCCTTATACGTGATCAGTTGTAAAGATTATGATATTGAAAGTGAGCCATCCGATAGAGCTGATGAAATTAGTCCTATTTGACATAAAATATACCTGGATTCGCTTGCGGTACTTGAGAAAACATGCTCATTTTCAGTCCGTTATGGCACTTCAGTCTCAGTAAAATATACACGTCAACCTTTAATAGTAATGTTGTTCCATCATAACTGCTTTGACAGTCATCACTACCTTTCCATTATGAATCACTTCCGGGAACTCACTACGGTTGTTACAAATCAAGCACAATAAAGCGGAACAAAATTTTGATAAAATAATTACATTAATTAATATAGTCTCTTTATGATGATATCTATCTATTTTATTTAATATTTCAAGAAAGTGAACCTAGTATTATTAGATAAAAATGAATTTTGGCAAAATTAAAGATAAATACAATATTTTGTTCCGTATATCTTTTCTTGATGTTCTGAAATATATATTGTTCGTAGCCATTTTATCTTGAAACGGTGACACGAATCGCAATGGGGGGATCACAAAGCGTATTTACCGAGGAAGAACTGGATGATTATCAGGTAACTATGTTTTTGACACAACCCATGATAAATTGTTCATATCCTCCTTCAGCAGTATCTTTTTTGAGACTGTTTTTGAAAGACAAGCGCGCCGATACCTGTCCGAATAAAAGTTGTTTACAATGGTTGTCAATCAATCACTGTTGACATAACCAAATCGTGACCAGAAAGTGGATCGACAGTTTAAAATAGCTTCTGTATTGAACACTTTAAACACTCCATTTTTTTAAAACATGTGATTAACCTCTCTAGAAACTCTAAATGTCTATTGAATTAGATTAATGAGATAAATATTATTGGCCCTAATTATTAACAGAATTACAATTAATACAACATTGTAACGTTATATGATTACAAACTGGTGGAGTTTTTCTATGACTACATGTTTACAAGTATTTCAAAAGTCACCATTTTAAATGATAACATTTAAAATGTTAGATACATTAGATACAGTATTGTACATGTATAGGCCTAAATGACATTGAAACAAATTATGATAATCAATAACAAAAGGCCAAGGCTGGGATGAAGGGCCAACACATTTATTTCAGTGAAATGACTATCACCTACAGTCAATGCAAGGTCTCAAGGGTCAAATGTGTTAAAATCCTCAATTATTAAACTCCGGGCTTTTCCTAGACTAACTTGAAAAAGAGCCTTTTTATTTTGTATTGGGAAGAAAATTGATAACCATGAAAGAAAATTTAAGAAGTGAACTATACATTTAGAAAATTTAGCCATCTTATGAAATTGCTCCAATTGGAAGAAACCCCAGAAAAAAGTTCTATAACCAGTAGCTCTGGGTCTTGATAATATTTTGGCTGTAGCATGCTGGGACAATGCATATAGCTACCAAGTGGGCTCATATGAAGGATAACCTTGGTTCAGTTTAAATGTTAAGATATCATTCAAATGAGTAACAGCACTAGCTCTCTGAGATGTTCTAGTTTATTTAGCAACTCCTACAGATACCCTGTTTACATGACTGCTTTATCTTTAGAGGTCCAGAATAATATTTTACATACATTTACAGCATGTTGGGTTGTATTACCATCACATTTGTTCAAATGAATGACAGTGCCAATTCACTTTCAAGGTGACAGGTGTAAAACGTCTCATAATTTTTTAACAACTTTGAATTTTTCTGGATAACCAAAGTGCACAGGGTCTTGTTACATGCTGAGGTTAATTCAGGCTATCCAAATGAATGGTTTTGACCTACATTAAACAAGGCCATAAGGGTAAAAATTCTTTTCTATCTTTGTGTCTTGAATCATTGTATAACCATATAGCTACTTCTAGGTTTTTTAGTTTACTATATTGTAATTGCACATGCATGAATGTACAATTGAATTTAAGATGAAAGTACATTTTTAAGAATACATATCTTGATATACTATGTCTCTTAAAATGCAGACTTATTCTTCTTGCAATATCATATTTCTGAAACTCAAAGCAATTTACTTTGATAACTTTTTATTCCTTATGTTGACTTGACTATACCATTTGTATTATTTCTTTTGCAGGAACTAACATATTTCACAAAGAAGGAAATTTTACAGTAAGTATCATAACACTTAACAGTTAGAATTTTCTTGGGTGTTTTTTATGTGTTGTTGTAACATTTCAGTAGTATTTAGTAGAACAATTTTTATTTGTCAAAAATACCAATGTAATCATTGTAGCAATAAATATATATTTGTGTAATTTAAAACTGAGACATTCTACAATGTAATACAATGTATAATAAATTTTTGATGATAAATAATGAGAAGTATTGTTATGATATTTTAAAGGAGACTCTAGGTTGTAGTTTAAATCTACTGATTGTAATGAACCTGATGTAGGAGTAGTACCATTACATACCTCGTCACCACAAAGCTATATCCCAATCAAAATCATCATTACTTCATATTTCTTTCTTCTTTGTTCAGTGTGTACAAACGCTTCAGAGAATTAGATCCAGAGAAGGTATCAGAGGTTAACAAGAATGTGCAGCTGAATAATGAAACCATCTTGGAGCTTTCAGAACTGAAGGTATGTCTTTTAAATAATTATGATATCAGTATTTAATTTCAAGCTATGTTATAGCACAAAGAAATTATCCAGTCTTTCAGTCTACCAAACACCTTTTAAAGCTTAAAAATGGTATACTATTATTTTGTTTTTGTCAACATTGCATTGTGTTAAGTAAAGTAACAGTAATATAGTAGATATAGTTCACATGTACATTACTGATGTGTTGTAAAATAAGTCTAATAAAATTATATTATTTTTTCAGGTGAATCCTTTCAAAGATCAGATCACAAAGGTGTTCTCCTCTGATGGAAGTGGAAATATGACATTTGAAGATTTCCTTGACATGATGTCTGTCTTTAGTGATAACGCACCAAAGAATGTTAAAGTTGAATATGCCTTCAGGATCTATGGTATGTATTTCAAGAATATATGTTGAAACCCTTCTTGACTGGAGAATAAGTTAAGTAATCCTTTAAGACAAAGATAATTTGTGTGGCCCTCTAGAAACAAGGATCAGTTGAGTGCCCCTCTTGACACAAGGATAAGTTGAGTGTTCCTCTTGACATGAGGATAAGTTGAGTGCCCATCTTGACAAGAGAATAAATTGTGTGGCCCTCTTGACAAGAGAATAAGTTGTGTGGCCCTCTTGACACTAAGATATTTTTCAGTTCCAAGACTTTAATAAGATACCTTTATAACACTAAGGCATATTCAAGTTAATACAAAATTACTTCTTTAATTCAATCATTTGATATTTCATTTTAATATGGTTTAGACTAGAATTTTAACTGTTTTCTTTCTTTCAGATTTTGATGGTGATGACATGTTGTCCAGTCGAGACTTGAAGGAGGTAGTTGATCGTCTGACAGGAGAAGGACAGAAACTTGGAGATGAAGAAATGCAGCAGCTCATTGATAATGTAAGTTTTCATGTGCTTTTAACTTAGTCAAACATGAATTTAAGGAACGTTTTAAGTTCAGAACAGTCATTCATTAAAAGCAAATATTGGAAATAGGAACAAAAAATATGTATTGCTCAAACAAATCGGCTTTTTTTTTGCATATGACACGCATTGTATGGTGATGAACAAAGTCATCTAAATCAACCACTAGTTATGTGTCTATGTTGAGTGAAAATGTAAAATTCTTCTATCTCTATCTTATATTATGTTTTAGATAATTTGTCTATAAACCTGTAAGACATTATCAAGAAAGATTAATTCTTAATTTTTGTATTTTACAGATATTTGAGGAAGCTGACTTAGATGATGATGAATCACTGTCTTTTGCTGAGTTTGAACATGTCATTTCCAAGGCTCCTGATTTTGTAAAGTAAGCAAACAATCTTTCATTGGTGAATCTTCTTTTAAAACAAAGTGAATAAAAGAAAAATATAGGTGGTACACTATTTGCCACTGTATATTGTATATACCAGACTTGGTTAGACCGTTGGCCTTTGTCAGTACATCGGGAAAGATCCACTCCCTACCTATGGCGGTTTGTGTTTCTCAGGAAGCTGAGACACAGGTTAGTCTGTGTTGTCATGATTGTGTCCATGGGCAAGACACTATACCCCAGTTGTTCTAGATAGCATGTAACATTCCTCCCATATTTTGTTCACTGCTTTGACCACCTACTACTACAAGGAGGCTGTGCCTCTAAATGCTCCTTGCACACATGTTTAACATTTTGAAGTAGTCATGCTATCACAAATCTTGCAAAATCATATCGGCACAAGACAAATTATATGTTTTGCCAAAACTTGGAAATCAATGTTTCTATGTTGATGATTAAAACTTAATAGGTAAATTTGAGTGTTCTCTCTATTACAGCTCTTTCAGGATTCGATTATAAAAGACAACAGACATGTACATGGGACCAACCAATGGATGTGTGACTACAGGTTCAAGAAGTGACATTCAGGTTAAGACTGATGACAACTATACAAGTTAGAAAGTGGATATAACCTTATGATGCTAGATCTGTACTAATTAACATTTGTAGTTTAAATTCACATAAGTATATCTTTTATTTAAATCATCTTCAAACTTGTCCGCTGTACATCCCACCTTTATCAGTTCTGTCTTATGTCACATACTTATAATATGGCCATCAGATTTTGCATTGTTGTCAAATTTTAGGAATATGTTGGTAAAGAAAAAAAAAAAATTCCAGTGTAATTTTTGAACATCAGTAAGGCTTCAACAAGGGGCATTTAATTGGATTACATCTACAACGCTCATGTTAACATATCATTAACTAAGACTACGTGACAGAGTTTCTAGATGGTTTGGATTTACAATGATCACTCCAGCTTTGATTTTAATTTCGGATATTGTATAAAAAGTGTAATCCTGTGTTTTAAATTTACTGGTTTTTAGCTGGATCCTATGTTAGTCCCATACATTTTAATATCAATCATAATACTTGTAATATTGTGATTTTAATCTTTGTGTGAAAGTATGTGCATATAAATTGAAAACAAATTCTTATATCAGGAAAACGTTAGTTTGTTTTTTAATGATCTGTATCATAATACATCCTGTGTCTGACATCCTACAAAGTATTGTGATGCATTGTTATCAGTTAAATACTAACTGCTTTTCTTGTAAAACATTTCATGTTTAAACCACCACTTTGTAATAAAACAAGCTCAGAAATGTGACAAAAATTTTTTTTGTATGGTTATAGTAGGTATATTTTCACATTCAACACATACTCCAGAAACAATTGATTCTGTATTTTTTTTTTTTTTTTCGTTTTCATTTCTAATAACCTGTTTTGTCTTCATTCTAATTCAATTTTGTGACTTATATAAAAGGATTTATTTGCAAAAAAAAAAAAAAATAATAGTAGGGGTATTTTGCAATATAAATATGTAATCTGTCTTGTTTTGTGAATTGTTTGTAAAGAGTTTAACTAATCACACCGTATATTCTCTTGTCAATAATGTTTTGTTTGTACACTCATTCATCACCTTAGCAGGTTGTGCCTTCAATTTTTATATATCAGGAATATTATTCTGTCAAAAAAGTTCATAAATTGTGTATATATATCTGTAGATCATGTCAAAATTTATCACATGTATGTAAAGTTAAACTATGTGGTGAATGAATGATTTAGTATTAAAATCCAGTCACATAGATTTGATATAAATTCTAATTCCTTAGCAGCTGTGTGTCAATCAATACAGTTTTGAAGTCAGAACAAAGCAAATGGAAAGATAAACACTCCACTGAAGATTCATTTATTCTTCTTTTGTATCAACTTTATGAGCAGTATTTTTATGCTACCACCATTTGTGCGGTGAAACGGGCACAATTGAGGAAACAACACATTGCAAATATTTAAAAGAGGAACAGAAAATAGTGACTGATTTTATTTCTATGCACAAATTGTAAAAGCTGCTGTGAAAACTTAAGACACAAATCTATTTCTACTCATATATTTTGTATTGTAAATAATTATATTAGTTTGTTATACCATGAAATCATGTTATTGTTAAACCAATGTTTGTTCTCAAATCCATTCAAATGTGGAAGATCACTGGTTGATTTTCCAATTTCAAATAAACTTTATTCTGTTTTAGACATAAGATGTAGTGTTATTTGTACAGTACATGTGACCACAGAGAGTTCATAAACATGATACCTGGTTACCTGTCAGAAGGACAAGTGAGTTAATCCAGTGACACAGCATCAGGCATCAGCTTTTCTAGAAACAAGTTTTCAACCAAATTCCTTACAGAAAAGTTAACATCATCACAATCCAAACTCAAAATTGATAAAGCAAGAACAATAATATGAACAAGGGTGGCAGTGAAATTGATGAATGCTCCCGTAAACGAATAATGGATACAACATTTTAACAAAGGGCAATAATTATGTAAGTAAGGTGTTGCTGGCCCTGAATTTGGTATACTGTACATTTTTTAGTATGAGCAATGTATGCACCAAATTCTGTCCCTTTTGACAAATGGCAATAACTGAGGGGTCATGGTCCCTGGCTTTGCTACACTACACCTTGCTTTTGTATGAGTAATTCATACATCATGCTTCAATATCTTAGTTTAAGTACAGGCACAGTAATGCTGTGGACACAATATTTTAACAAAGAGTAATTACTCTGTAATTGAGGGGTTGAGGACCCTGGCTTTGCTACACTACACCTTGCTTTTGTATGAGTAATTCATACATCATGCTTCAATATCTTAGTTTAAGTACAGGCACAGTAATGCTGTGGACACAATATTTTAACAAAGAGTAATTACTCTGTAATTGAGGGGTTGAGGACCCTGAATTTGATACACAGCACATTGTCTTAGTATGATCTATATATCATTGTGGCCAAAGTAAATCTCAGATCAGATTTTTTTAACAAAGGGCAATAACCCAGAATTGTTATTGAACTCGGAATTGATTGGTACTCTGCACACCCCCTCAGTATGACCAATGTATTCACATCATGATCCTTTTCTCAGGGAGTATAACAAAAAACGATCTACATGGAAATCAATGAAATTAAGATCAGGTATTCTGAAAGGGTACATGTCTTCTGCTTCATCAATCACACATGCAGCAATAATGTTGGTCAAATTAAATACGTCAGCTGTCATATTCTAAAAGGAGAACAGTATTATTGATACGCTAGCGTAACTGCTGTAATTTGAATGACTTGTCACGAACATATATACAAAAGTATCAAATTGTTGGGGTTCTTTTTAAATGTTCGTCTCACCAATGGGGTTAAACAAAAGTTAAGCGAAATGAGAACACATATATGGGGTTGCCCTAATGTTCACATTATTTTCTGAGTTTGGGAACATCCTCAGGATTGTGAATTCGTAATTGGTCACGTGGAGCAAGGCTGAAACCAACATCAAATCCTAACCTGTGCGACTGATCCAGAATTTTGGAAAAAGTGTGGGTAAAGCATTTTTCATGGACTAGATACATTTAATAAAAACTGCACAATTGCTTTGAGCTAACACCCCTGCCAAAAGAGTGTGCAGAGGAATGACTTCCTCTCTATGCCCCTGTTCACCCTTCGCCCTTGAGGAACGTAACCGACATCGCTGTTTACTGTATTTAGTTCATAGTTTTCTTACACACCAATGGAAACAATATCCAACACCAGCTGTAAGTAATATCTACATACATTGTGGGATTGACTGGTCATACTGATATTCCCTATTAAAGAAAAGTCCGTGTCATATCGTGGAAAACTGGTGGCCCCTATCTCAAGTAATGACAAATCAACTTACTTGAATTGGACATTCCCATTTCAACTTAACCCTTAGTGTAAAATCTGAGATGGTCACCTGTCAGTCATTTTTAGAGAAGTTCCTAAATATTCTAAAGCTTTAACATGAACAACTAGGGACCGAAGAAAATCTTGATATACATTTTGTTAAATTAACGGTAAAAAAATTGGAATCATTTTAATTTTCTGATCAATCTTAAATCTGGGCACATACACTTTAACAGTCATAATTCAGGATAGTCGGCCATATTGTATTTTGTTTTGTTTTTTCTTTGAAATATCGCTATAGTGCTATCTGAGAAATACCAATAACAATTGTTTGCTACAATGATCCGAAGTGGCTATCTACATTGTATTGGCCCGAGTAATGGACAATTTTTTTCTTATTTAATAAAAAACGGTGATTCAAAACTTAATTGAAGACAAATTGGAACTTTATAATGTAATATTTGGGATTTATAAAACAAGAACGATGTTTAAATGATCAGGTCTAGATATACAAAAAAACTGTTTATCTGGGAAATAGTGACAAATATAAGCTGTCAAAATCAGATGATCGCCTCTAGGCATACTGGAACCAAGGAAAAATCAAATCTGGGTTATAGTCTTATTGTAATACTGAATACTACTAAAGTTCTGACAGCATCTATTCGTGTTTTTTTACCTTGTAACATTATGTACAAACCAATCCCAGTCTATAGAAAGCGGGCACATTTATTCTTTTTATTCGGCTTCAGAATTAAGAGAATCTTGACGCCCAACATCGTATCACCTTTTGCTCTCAGTCATTTGGTGTATTGAGAAGTGATTAAAATATTAGGGAAATTCGCTAATTTAAGAACATTTACAAATATTTTAAAATATCCACCAAGATCACAACATCGGACCAGGATGAGAGTACTCTGCTATAAAAACAGTGGTAACTGGTACTCGAGGTCACCGGCATCTGTGAGATAATCAGGCAAGTCAATCTTCTTCTTCCCAAGTAATAACATAACTTTAATGGTCAAAATCGATAATGTCGCCCTTCTGACATTTTTAGAAATTCGCCAGTCGTTAAACAATTCAACGTATGGGTTGTTACGGTCCATTTATTAGTAGCATGCTACCTACATTTGTGTAATCCCATTGGGAGTAGGCTCCCTTGTTCATTACCGTGGTGACATTATTCGAAATTTGTATTTATCCGCATGACTTTATTAGCTAATACGATTATTTTTCTGAATAAAAAATTCTTGAAAATTTTAGAAACAATATATTATATCGAATTATTATTCCAAATAAGCAGTAATACAGAAAAACAAGATGATGACTGCCTGTCAAATGAAGAACTATTTCTTCTGCGACGTAGAACTACTACTGTGTTGTACGGCATGTAAACAACCTCTTTGGCTGACAGATACTGATCATCATGTCAAGGGCAGCAGGAACTTTAGTGACAACAAACAATGCCACCTATATCCCACCACGGTTTATGCCGGGGTAAGTGATGAAGTGGTGAAAGCATATATTTTTTATACAGATGCTTCGATACTGTTATGTCAGTTGAAGTTTGTTCACGATTAAAGTCTCAGATTTGTTTGCTCGTTGGTAAAACCATCCTCTCTCATTAAAAACCGTTGTATCTTTAGCGTGTATGAGAGGCAATGAAGAAATACTAATAGAGATACAAAAGAAGTTTCGCTCTCTATCAGCATTTTTATTTCTGTCTTGGTCGTGACATTTATGTAAATGTAATATTTCTAAACTTTTCGACGAGTTGAAGATGTTATGTTATTAAGAAGTCTTAGTTTTAGTTTGGACGACATTTTATCCGAACGGAAAATGTTTTAAAATAAACGTAGCGTAAATATGGAACCGAGAGACCATGTCACACCAATGCATCTGTATAAAACTCGTATATTTTATCTGGAGACGATGCATTTTAAAAGGATGCTAATTTTCATCGGTTTAACTTAATAACTGCACATGTAAATTACGTTTTACTTATGTTCTTTGCAGATATCAAGGTCATTGTCCAACCACAAAGTATGATTATGGTGAAACATACGGAAATGCAACACAGAAATATTTCCAGGACTACAGATCCAAAACCTTGTCATGTTCAGCTGATCCGCTATGCAAAGGTGGAGAGTTCCCAACATATTACACACACAAACCAGAGACTGTTATCAGCGCCAGAAGTCGAACTCGTGACAGATGGTTAAATGCTCCAAAGCATTCCCTGTCAAATATAGATCATGACAGGAAAGAAGAGCTCTACCAGTTTGATAAAGTAATAGTCATTAATTCTACTATAATAACTGTGATTCATGATCTTATCTAATAACTGCATTCATATATGCAATTTCCCAAGTTGGCCTTATAATGAATTTCTATCTCCAAAATTCTTTTGAGTCTAGCTTATTTCATTATGTTTTTGACCAACACCTAGATGGTTAATCAATATAGCAATAAGACAATGTATGCCCTTCCATCTTGTGTAATAACAGATAAGCTGATAGCTTGTTTCACATTTGTTGCAAAATAAATATGGAGCCTAGTAAGCTGGATTATCATAAACATGTGGCCAGCAAGCAAAATTCATATAAACATGGACTACATTTACCCTAAATATTTCCTGTCTAAAGTGTTGATGTCCATTAGTCAAGAGAATTCCAAGTGTCAATTAAGCAATTACAGTACCTTTATGTATGTCACTCCAGATAGCTATTTTCATAACGATAATTAACAAAGACATCAGACATAAGTGTCTTACTATTCAAACTCATCAAATCCTGAAAAAACTTGAAAAGAACATTACAAACCAATGCATTGAAGTCAACTCGGTCATACTCTCTATTATTTAAATATGCCAGAAAATTGCTGTGTTAAGAAAAGTTTAACTGCAATCTGTGAACTCCCTTCCCCAACTCAGCAGTCATTCTATTTGGCCTGAATGTTAGAACACAAGGGGTCTTACTGTGGGAGGAAAGCAGTATATGTTAGTGAAACTTGCCTGGTCACACAGATGACTCCATCCCTTTTCACATCTGATTGGGGAATCAAACCCTAGATCACCTAGATGAAAGTTGAGTGTTACCACTGTGCCACCTGACCATCCAAACTCAGTGTCATGGGAAAGGAAGTATGATTACAGATAATGAATGTGGTACTATTGGACTTTTGTCTCAATAATGTTTTTCTCTTTTTGATAATGATCAGTTGTTTCATACACCAACTGAGACTTTTATTTTTTCTGTTTCAGCTTGGGCAAAAACACAGAGAACACTACACTGACAGGAGTGGAACAAAAAAGCGTGTTAATTACTTTATGTTACCTGTTGGTGCAGAAGATCAGCTGAGGCGTAATGTGCCCTTGTAAGTATGGGTGTACTGCCAATAACCCATGCAAACTACCCGGTCACCTTGTGTTGTGGCTTGCTTTGTCACCCTCATTGTTGCTGTCTGTTAAGTCTGCACGAGTAGATCTTTCCTAATTGTGTGTTGCCAAGCTAGATTTGATACGTTTATCTATATTCCTGTAATACTAAGTGCAATTTAATCAGTGTGGTGACTTCTGGCATTATAGTAGAAATCATAATGTAGAGATATGAAATAATATCATTAATGATTGGTAATTTTCTGTTAACCGACATGTTTGGTATTATATATATGACTGTGTAATGTATCATATGACATTTAACAAAAGTGCTCTGGAGATAGAGAAAAAGCTAGATACATTTGTATTCAAATTCACTCTTTCTAAACCAGACAGTCAAAATCTCTCTTGAGCATTTTTTTTTTTTTTTGAAGAAGTGATAGTATTAAAACAATAAAATTGTTACTGCCAGACTTTTGAGAACAAGTTAGCAATTATGTATAGAGATAAAATTTTTACCCAGGTAGTTTTTTTCTGTAATCACAGGAGGCACTTTTTTTTGCTTTCATCAGGACATAAATGACAATAAGAAATGACAAGAAAAAACACCTTATTGGGCCAAATAAGCAAAAAAATTGATATCCTTATTTCATTTTTTGATATAGAAATTTCAATAGACTCTTAATTCCACAAATATTTGGGAACTTTTCATTTTTTGACCTAGATGCCAGAAGTAAGAAACAATTTGGTTAGTATTTTACATGATGCATAGATATGAAATAGTGTCAATAAACCGAAGACAATAGACAGAGAGAGAAATGGACTAGTACCTATAAAGTAGATTTTGACTGACCTTATTCTGTCGGAAATGGACATGAAATATTTTGTACACTGTACATAGCCTGACTGAATTTGTGAATATTTCATGGATTCTTAAATTCTGTTGACACTCCATTTCAATCTTGTTATGATTGATAAATTGTGTAAAAGCACTGACTCATATAATAATATTTCTAAATAAGGAATTGACAACACAATTTGTTATTTAGATTTCATACCCTGTCTTGGTAAAGTTAGGCCTATTGTTTTTGTTAAGTATATTTTCACTTGCATATTGTGGTTTTGTAGTTTAAACCTTTACATAGTCTGATACATACTTTTAACCTTTATTCACATTTCTAACAGTTCACTATTTGAAAAGGTTATATTTATTTTTGATACAAATTTGTTTTATATTCACCTTTTAAAATCATCACAAGACTTTGTTTTATTGAAGCTATATATGATGTACCATTAATTACCTCTTGCTACACACTAGTCTGTAGTCTACTCGTTACATATATATCAAACTGTCAACCTGTCTGGTGTTGTAAAATAATGGCAATTCATTTCATACTTCAAACTTGATTCAATATCTAACTTAACTAAAACAACTCTAGTAACTATCCACAACAAATATTGCATACTAGTTGTGTGGGTTTAAGGCTTTATAAGCACAGAATGAAGATTTTAAGGAATCGGTATCATGAGTATGCATGGAACTGCATCAAATCATATGGTGAGCATATATATGGTTATAGAAGGCACATTGCAATTATAAAGGAAGAAGAAAGATTTTCTCTTGAGAAAGGGGTATCTCAAAGATTCACCAATTTTTCTATGTCTGCATTTTGATTTTTCTGAATAAGTAAAATATACAACTATGCATAGTAATATATACACTCAAAATTCTCTAAAACAGTGATAGACTGCAGAACTTCAAGTGATTTACAAGTAAAAAATTACTTTACAATAATGCAATATTTGTTGTACTGTTTTTATTTTATAAAACATAAGTAATTATTAGCTGAAAATATCCAATAGCTGAGTTACACAATTCATGGTATCACATGGTGTGTACTGGATACACTTTAGTTACCCGATTCACAGATAACCCTCAGCTTGCAGAAGGTAGTACTACTGTAGTGTTATGAGCAGACAATCTATATATAATACCACATATAATGCTTTATATATGAAAAAATTGTACATATGATATAACCCTTAAACTCTATCACTGTGGAAGTAGAGGATAATTGCTGTGGTTGTAACCGCTAGGTATACATTTTATTTTTGTTAATTCTGTTCTCATGGTTACCTGCTCCTTGATTACACCTGTCAGTACATTTTTCCTGCTATGTTATTTTAGTTAAACCTGTCAGTACAGTTTTCCTGCAATGTAATTCTAGTTTTTAAGCTTCATCTGTAGATGTAGTGTGTAACCCTTTCCATTCCTGCTTCAACAAAAGTACACCCATACCAACATAATCTAATAATATTACTGTTCCTTCAATCAGGTTAAATAATCTTAATTTTAATGTTCCTTCAATCAGGTCAATGTTTTTGTTAAAATGTTTATATTTCATGATCAAGTGGATGAAGACATAATATTCAATATTGATAATAAAAGGGCAAAATCTATATGTATCAAGTTTATATCTACTCAATCACAAACTTATTACATTCACATATATCAATCAATTTCCTTTTGCACAAAATGCTGTTCAATGTTTCTGAGTGATTGTTGCTAAAAATTTGTCAAATTATGAATTTGAACTTTGAACTTTCTGTGTGATAATGTGATGCACTATGTGACGTTCGAGTGCTGTGGTTTGCTGTGTTCTGCCATCACTATGTACTATATATAGTACACCAGGGAGGGGTGCAAACCAGGAAAGGTAGGTTGTCATGCCAACTGTACATCTCTTCCTGTCTGCTCTGCACTCTTGTCTGTCACTCCTCACTTTGTTACCTCCAAGCATAAAGAGTCTGATACCGTGATCAATGACTAGACTAGAATGCACAAACTGACTGTGACTATTGACTGGATAACATTGCTGCCATACAACACTGCTGGTGTACAAAATGACGGTAGACTTCTCAGCAACACGGCTGGTGTACAAAATAACAGTAGACTTCTCAGCAACACTGTTGGTGTACAAAATGACAGTAGACTTCTCAGCAACACGGCTGGTGTACAAAGTGACAGTAGACTTCTCAGCAACACGGCTGGTGTTCAAAATGACGGTAGACTTCTCAGCACCACTGCTGGTGTACAAAGTGACTGTGACTATTGACTACAGACTTCTCATTAACTACTGGTGTACAAACTTACTGTGAATATTAACTGCAAACTTCCCATCAACACTACTGATGTACAAAGTTACTATGACTATTGTCTGTAGACTTCTCATAAACACTGCTGGTGTACAAACTTACTGTGACTTTTGTCTGTAGACTTCTCATAAACACTGCTGGTGTTCAAAGTTACTGTAACTATCGTCTGTAGACTTATCATAAAAATTGCTGGTGTACAAACTTGCAGACAATTGTCTGTAGACTTCTCATAAACACTGCTGGTGTACAAACTGTGAATATTGAAAATAGACTTCCTAGAGTTCATTATCAATATTGCATGTTCATAAGTGAGAACACCTGTTCATTACTGATACCACCTGTTCATACATTATATCAGTGGTTTAATATTTTGATATCACCATAAGCAATGCCTTCAGTTCATTATGGATATTACCTACTCATTTTGATATCACCTTTTATTATCGATATCACAAATTAATATCACCTGTTTGTGATATCACCAGTTCAGTAGTGGTGCCACTACGAATACCACTTGTTTGTAAGTAATATCTACTGTCCATAAGTGATACAACCTATTCAATAGTGATATCACCTGTTCATTAGTGTCATCACTTGTCCATAAGTGATACAACCAGTTCATAAGTGGTATCACCTGTTCATGGATGATTTCATCAGTGAAACTGCCTTTTCATACACGACATCTTCTGTTCAATATTGATACCATTGCTAATATCACTTGTTTGAAGTGATATCACCAGTTTGTAATACCAACTGTCCGTTAGTTATATCACTTGTTCATTAGTAATACTATCCATTTATTAGTGACGTCAGTTGTTCTTTAGTGATATGGTCTGTTTATTTGTGATGCCACATATTATGGAGACTATGGAGACTATGGACAAAGAGGAAAGATGACTGTTAGAATGATGTGGAAAACATGATTACTAATTTTATTACTCTCATATGAAATGGTCACTAAAGGAAAATCCTATTTCATGTTGACATTTCTTGCTGGGTCTTTATGCCAGTTTAATGGATTTTACTTCGACTTTCAGAATTCTTTTACAGCTTTTAATTTGCAGGATAACCCAACGTTTCATTTCACAAATACAAATGTGTGCTTCCGCCCAACATGTATAATCTTGTTAAAAATAAAATAAAGACAAATTTCGCTCCATCTTACAAAGCAGACACTTATGTTTCTCGTCTCTGCACTTCATAGTTTACGTGGTCACTTTTAGATAAAAATTCTTATTTCTTTTTGTTTGATATATAAAGAGATTTTCGTTTTTGTAAAGATAAAAAGGGTCCTCATGTTATATTGTCATACCTAGCAAAAGATGATACTTTGCAGCTAACTTCAGATCAATATAAAATTTTTCTTTGATAAAGTGTCTAAAACCTGTTCCATAACAGAAAATGTTGGTTATTTCAGCATGATTTTGGCTACAAGACACAATGATGAAATCAACTTACCATTCCTCATGCATGATGCTCGACGTCTTCCTCTGTTGAGACGGGTGGCCCCAGACTCCTCCCAGCGAGATCGGGAAATGAGGGATGTCTACTTTGAGAAGCGATAAGAAATTTGATACCCCACACGGGTCTCCTAACTCACTGTGAAATCACTTGGCTCTTTGAAATTATTAGCTTGAACATTTTGTCATACATTTGTAAATGTCTACCGCAATCATTTTAAAAAATCAAGTTTTCAGTGTTTGAAACTTTCTGCATCACGTCTATTTACTATTGTTAAAACATCTCTGCAGTCATTATGTTTAATTTATTTATTTTTGCTCAAATTTATCTGAAATACCTGGGTACCTTTCTTGTATGTATCCCATTAGTTGATCTAGACATCATTTTACCTTTGTTTAAAGTGTTGTTATGGGTGTTATTTTTAAAACTTTTTGTATGATTGATATAGAAGTAATGTTTATTTTTGTTGTTGAATACAAGAGTATTAGTACAGTTTGATTGTAAGATTGAAGTTAAATTTTTAGTACAAAAACAAATTTTACCTTCCAACTACAAAAAAAATTAGATGTATTTTAAAAAGTATCAGTGGACCAAATAAAACTGAGAACATGTTGTCATCAAGATAATCAATTTCTATATTATGTTCCAGTATCTTAAGATACAGACATAAAAAAATCTGTGTAGATTATATTGGTACATGTAACTTTTATACATGAATATTGTATAAAGGGTTAAATAAGACAGATTTTGTAGAGTAACAAAACATTTTTTGTGTATCTTATTGTGTATTGGTTCAATCTACTTTTCCATGTTAATGTGCAAGTGTAATTTCTATTTTCTTATTTTCTTTTACGTTCCCTATCAGGGAATAAATGAAGTCTTTCACCTGTTCTCATGCACCATGTTCATATACAAATTTATAGTCATTTGTGGAATAAAATGAAAATATTAATTTTTAAAATAATCATTTTTGTTCCAGTTTTTGTTATGTGACCTCATTCTTTGAAACAAGATATCTGCTGATTAAAATCATGTTATAACTCCCGTTCTAGACCTGATATATCTGTATATACTAGTTGTCTCTCGTAATACTCTTTCTCTTAAACAGTATACTGCATATACATGAAAACCATATCATTTAGTATCGGCTTAAAAACATATAAGGAAAACACATCCAAATACCAATAAACATGTATTGATTTTTTTTATAAAGCACATCTTATCTATACATTCTGATTATCATTGACATCAAATCCATATCACACTTTCGTCATTTTCAGGATTTAATTAATAATGGATGTTTGAAAGAGATTCTGTTAAAAGGAGAGATTTAGTTACTTCTACCTCTTCACTTGAACTAAGCAGTCTATCAACAAAGCTGTATATACCTCTAGCTTTGTTGTAGGAGCAATAACAAGAAACTACACTGAGATTTAATGGCCTTGCTCACTTGTGTTGTCTGCACTGTTTTTTATCTTCTGAACAATGACTTGTCTCTCCCCTGGTTTAGTTGCGAAGTATACTTTTTGTTCTTCAGAATATTTATCTGTCACTGGAATTATGTCTCTGAAACTCCAGTCCTCCCAGTGCATATTGTACTTTTCCAGAAGCTCAATCCTTTTGTTCCTATCGGTGATGACATCAGGGGGAGCTGTCTTGACAAGCTCTGGACAGGTGATAGTCTTAAAGATTAAGACCCCCCTAAAAGCAAACCAGCCTCCATACTTTGGATGAACACTCACACCATAGATTTTCTGAAATATGATTACTACATAAGGTAAACAATTGTGATTTACAATCAATTATTACAGTACTTAAAAATCATAATTGAACAATACATAATTAACAATACAATTACCATCAAGATCAAACACTTTTTGATTTACAACGCAATTACTCTCGAATTCATTGGATGGACTTTTATCAGACAAAGAAATAGCATTGGTTTATAATTTTACTAAATGACATAGTTTATATTACCTGGCATATTTTATGATAAATATGATACTATCAGAATTAACAATATATAATATACAATATAACTTGTTCTGCAACCTCAATGCTTAATTACAACACAATTCCATGTCCTACCAAAATCAAACATCTATTAATTTACAGTATATATACACAATGTCCAATAAATATAATTCAAAAGAAAAAAATTGAAACGGTAGTTTGCTAACGTTTTCAGGCCTAGTGGCCAACTTCAAGCGATTGTTTAAATGACTTGATAACGACATGATGACATAATTAATAGAAACAGTACCCTTCAATGAATTAATGAGAACTAAAATCACACCAGAAAACAGCAACAATGTGCCATTCGTCATTTCACATGCCCCATGTCACCAAAATATGGTGAAGATCACAAAGGGCACTGTTCCACATCTACATTAAAGTCAAAAGATGCAAGATTTGGTTCAAATGTCAGAAATCCTTTGGAGAAAAAATACAGTCACCAGGCGTGAAGAAGATTCTAACAAAAGCAAGGTTTGACGACCCTGAAACACACTCTTTTGCAGTATCAAAATGTTGAAACACATGCTGCGAAATGTGTACCTGTATATATGAAAGGAATTGCCTGACATTACAGAATGGGAAAACAATGAAATCCAATAGTGCTTTACAATGCAAAAGCAAGAATATATGCCCAACTTGTACAGAACATTATGTTGGTCAAACAGGAAATACATTAAGTGAGAATGTACAAATACATAAACAACACATACATTCACCAGAAACGCTGAAAACACAACTGCACATCTACACACGTGCGGTAAAGACCCTTTCTCCGTATTCTCTTTTCACAGAATGACAGATATCAGAAGCACTAAAAGAATTTACGAAGAGAATATTATTGTAAAATGATCTAAATCGTTAGTAGATGGTTACTAACAGTATTATTTAGTGACGTGATGCCAGATAGACAGTAACGTTATTACCTACCCTACTGTTACTATTGATTACGTCATAATGTTGTAACCAAGTCATGAAAACATTCATCATAAGATCTCCGCTAGGCTTGAAAATATTAGCAACTACTGTGTTTATTTTATGTTTTTAATTATCTGACTGATAAACATATTTACTAGTTAAACACATAAATATACAGGTAATTGATATAAATTAAGGTCTAATTGCTGAAGTTTCACAAAACATGGCCTTTGACATAGTTTGTCTTATGGATGCTCTGACCTTGACATGCTATAAGGCATCTGAGAGATTTGTGTAAATGTTGATCGTGGAATCTTGTCCTTACCTGATTCTCACTCCAGTGGTCAGGTACAACATCCTTTCTTTGGTAGTAGAATACTGCACCAGCTACATGGCCTGCTGTTTGTACCAGGATTTTAGGTCGACGGTTAAGGTCTAACTCAAAGTCATGGATGGCTTCAATCTCTATAGCTGGAAAATTCTGAAAAAAACATGTAACATGCAAAGGCTCTTATAAGTAAAACACAGAAAGCGATGGGCAGACTTTAAAAGTCTAAACTTGTCCTTTCAATGACGTATTGATATAATTGCCTTCACAACATTCAACCTTAATTACTTTACTGGAAAATTCCACTAAAACAGACATTTTCAATTCTCTTTTAAGCAGTATTTGGCATTGGTGCCTAAATTCTTGGAAACCCTATTTTGACTGTACTTTTTTTTTCTTACAAACCTCTTTCACAAGTTTAAAATGATGAGCAACACATTCATCTATTGGGTCTTTGATTCCTTCACAGTGCTGGCGACAGACGAATGGTTTGAAGGCTTCCTCAAACATGCGAGGTGTACTGATCACTAACACGGCTAATGTGTCCGGGTCATATGGCAGTACATATGGTTTATCCACATACTCATTGTACCAGCCAATCTGAAGTGTGCAAAGCAAGAAAAAAGATCTTATTACATGAAGTGTTCCCTGTATGTTGCTTAGTAATAATTCATAATTACCTTATCAAGGAAATGGTTATCAGTCCTTTAGTTCTTCATTTCATTTTTGTATCAACTCCATTACATATACATATGACCAGGTAACATATAATCAAAGCCAAGATTGAACCAAAGGCATCTGTATCTGGAGTGTAAACAACACAAGCCAAGTGACTGTAAAACAAAAATATTCCCGTATTTATTCTAATAAATGCCCCCATCCTTTTTCTCACTGATTTTCCCAAATCAAGATTACAAAACTTACCTTGTGCCAAATATCCATGCATATTCAAATGAATTTGAAACCGGAAAATAAAAAAAACCCAATTAAATCCTAAAAAAGAAAAACACATCCTCGCTAGAGCCTAGTGAGTTTGTAATACCACATTTTTAGAAGAAGTGGAAGTAATACTGTCTCATGCTGCCTTAAATGGGGACTTTTGATTCCCCCTTTTGGTTTTCTCCACAAGACCATTAAAACAACTCGCCATACAGCTCTCCAAACTTGTCTTTAAAAGGTTTGTTCCAGGAAACGTCAGATGGCTGGAGCTTACATGTACAACTTCCCGGAATAACACAGAAGTACTTCTGGCGTACTAGCTTTTTAACATCGCATATGTAATGTTTAAAGGAAATGCCATTTTTATTACAAATACGATGTTGCCATCTGTTACATGCATCGCAGCACAATGCGTGTTGCTTCGGTCGAACTGCTGTACCACAATCTATACATTTATGCTTACGAGTAGCACTCATGTTGATGAGGAATGATGAATTATCATGAAGGTGTTGGGATTTTTAAATAATACGATGAGTAAAAAATTATCCATACACCTATCCTATTGGATACTGGCTAGTATGATTGTTGTAACAGTGAAAATAATTATACACGCGTACACTTTTTTTTGAAAGTCCGCATATTTCCGACTGTGATTTCAACATTCATCATTATCTAACTACAGCAGAAGCTGAGACTTCCTTGATTAACCGCAATTGTTTCGTATTGTTTTTATAACTCGCAGTACCGACACATATAGGCCTACCTATTCAAACAAAACATTTCTGAAACTATTGTTAACAAGATCAGAGGAACGAAATCAAAATCAGAAAAATTATTGCGCAATTACGGAAAAAATTTATTGCAAAAAAAAAGAAAAAAAAAGAAATAAAAGAAATAAAAATAAATAAATAAATAAAAACAAAAATCTAGACTTAGGCTTCAAATAATAATGGCAAGTATGTCCTTGAAAATCGCTGCTAAAGACTTATTTTATTAAATTGTTGAACATAAATAGAGACTTAAAAATCGTGTATGTTGGCCGAAATTGTAAGATTTTTAAATCGATAATTTGTCATTAAAAATCGATAATTTGTCATTTGAATGTTAATGGAACACCCAAACATTTAGGTTCGAAAAGTGCAAAGACTTGGGTACGAAACGTCCAAACGTTTGGTAAATATATTTTGGGTACGAAACGTCCAAACATTTGGGTACGAAATGTCCTGAATGGGTACGAAACGTCTTGGGTACGAAACGTCCTGATACCCACACAATATCCATATAATTTATAAACAGAATTAGTTGTATCTATACGTCACCGATGATGAAATAAATAAAGTGCGAACAGCTTGTTATTGAGAGTGAAACGTCGTGTTGCGAACGGTGCAGGGGACGAAATGATTTGGTGAGAACCGGGTTGCGTTCGAAACGTCAGGATACCGTCGTGGTTGGCATAATATGTGCAAAAATCCGTCAAATCTGGTAACACTGCAAACTTTAATGGCCGCTTCGTATATTGTTGAATCATGTTACCTTGAAAGGGTGTACTTCGAATCCTACATCAACCAAATTACTTCTAACGGCACTGACAACAGCTTCTGCGCTTAGATCTGTTGACGAAGCCATAACTGCGTTGTTTCTTCCTTGTTCGAAAAAAAAAAAAAAAAGCGGCAAAGGAAGTAAACGAATGTATACAAAATAGGAGTGGGAGGCTGTTTGACAATCCGTACTTAAGAATGATCGCAGACGCAATCTGAATGACAAGAAAGAAATTGTCCGGACAATTCCACCCTAAATGTAAATTACCTAGATCAGTTTGGACAGTATGTAGGTGTGCGTCAATCATTTTTGCCAAATTTTTGGTTGCCATGGTAACCGAGTTACTTTACACACGTATTTGAAACATGGGCCCACTAGGCACACATAGGTCTATTCTGCTCCTCTGTGACGTAGGTGAGGAATCAACCGATGTTTGGCGATTATCGATGCCCACTTGTTCACCAGCCTTTTCATCATACTCCCCAAAACATTTATACGGAACTAAAATTCATGTTATGATTACTGATTAATGAAGACATTGGTTGTCATGATACAAGAAAACAAGAAACTAATCCTGAACTCATGAACCGATATTGATAAAAACACACAAATACATATAAACCATTTTTAGATGTGCATGCGCCTTGTGGGGTAACTTTGAAGCCTTTAATGTGGCACATCAGGTGTGTCCAAAACTACTTCCACAGAAACATAATGGAAGTTTCTGATAGTTAAAACATGTATTGTACAAAAGCCACACAAGTGAATTAATAAAGCCATTTCATCCTTCTAAAACTTGTCAGTGATGCTAAAAGCTTATATTTTGAAATTTAGGAGATAGTTGACTGAAGAGAAAGAAAATTGATAAAAAGGAATGTCAAAACCTGTATGTGAAGACACATTTGTCTCGTGAATTGTTAATTTTTCTCATTTCCAATGTCTGATAATTTTGAAAGAATATCAAGAAGGCCTATACATATCTGTATCATAGCTCCCTTTCAAGTTTAGCCATATCTTGAGTCAGTTTTGAGTGTCAACCTCTGGAAATTTTCTGTTAGCCCTAGTAGCTATCTAATCACCTCCTGAATTCAATTTAAACGCATGTGGGAGTTGTTAGATCTTGTAATTAGTGTATCATAGAGGAGTGAATTTACAAGTCTAATTTAATTACATTGCAATTAACCATAAAGCAAATGCCGTTCAATGTACTTGCCTCTCTTGTGGTTACAAATAAATTGAATATGTTTATTAATCGTATACAACAGTAATGATCCTAGCAGTAGTTTTGTGGAGTTGGCCACTTCAGAGATGATTGGATGTTGATCAGACTGATTTGAACGACTTCAACTGGTGAAGCATCTTCAACTAAAATGCTGCTACTCGACAGAAACTAGCCTGTATGATGCCTACAACCCATTCAGCCTGTATTTGTGACAATCTTAGTCCTGATAATCCAAGGCAGAAGTGTCAGTTTGATTTTCTTTATGAAATTCAAGTGAAGATACAATTTGAAAATTGGAGCTCTTCCATGCTTGAAAAGATTGGTAACCCTTTTGGATTTTGTAATACACACTATTGTCATTCTCTAACTATATTGTGAAATTGTAAAATTTGAAGACCAGTGGTTATACCATTCGTAAGCCAGTGGTGATATTTTCCAGCAGGATAATATACCAGTGCACACCAGTTCTTTCCTCCCAAGCTTTGAAAGATAAATGAAAGAATATCTTCCTTGAATTATCTGCCCATTAAAAGACCCATTTGACAATGCTGGGATGCTGTTTACGTCACAAACGGTGATAATGAATAAATTAAAAGTGTAAAGGGAAATAAGTAATTCATAAGCATCAGACATTAGTGTTGCCTTTCTTTTTATCCACGAGTATTGTCAATAAGCATGCAGGACATAAAGTTCCATCTCAACTTAAGCAAAGCTGAACAAAATTCCTCAAGGAATAAAGTCAAACGAATTCTGGCAAGGATTATCTTAAAATAGTTATGGTTACATTGACCATGACCCTACAATCTTCAAACTCGAACTTAAATGTAATATAACTTAGTTGTGAGTGAAGTTTGATCAAAATCTCTTAAAGGAATGAAACAACTGAAGCGCTAAATATTTTCCAAAAATAGTAATAATGACCTTGACTTTGATCTTAAAACAGGGAAATGCTTACTTGTCCAAGATATTAAGGTCTTTTCAAAGAGTGTGAAGTTTGACCAAAATCTCTCAAGGAAGGAAGCTGTTAAAAGTGCAAGGATCAGTATTAAGTATATGCATGTACCTACAAACTGGAACTTTTCCGTACTTGCTATCTTTGCATGGGGATAATACAAACAAAACACTCCATAAAATCATTCAGTAGGAAATTTTATTGTCATATTCCGATCATCTTCCATTTAAATGCACTTTGCTAGCACTTGGACAAAATTGCTGAAAACGAAGTGTTTTTACAACAGACTAAAATAGGACACAATAAATTATGAATATAAACTTATTGGAAGCTTTACTTTTGTTTTTGAACTAAAATAAAAAGTTGTAAATATTTTACAAACATAAATATTGCAATTTGCATATGTGTTTAACATTTTTAGCACTACTATATGTTATCTATCTATAAATAAGTTTTTGTCAAATGCAAGAAAAATAATTTTTACCTTCCTCAACACTGTATAGTGTATTCACAATGTTACCACTTCATGTACATTACAGTGATTTCATAATCACAATTTTTTGGGGATTTGGGGACTTTTCATGCAATGTTGATAATTTTATGGATTGGTGAAAACAAAAATGGACATTGTAATAGATTGCACAATAAAATTCTGTGATACAGTACATCTGCACAGTTAAGTAAACTGGTATACTTTGATTCATCATTACAGTACACCATAGTATAAGGACGTACACTGCAGTACTTGTGAATAATAATGCTACACACTGAAATTTAATATTGCTGTACACTGCAGTATAATACAGTAGTACAAGTATACTGCTACTGTACACTGAATTATAATGTTGCAGTTCATCCTGTACTCTGAAAATTCATTATAAATCCTTCAGTAGTACAATGAAGTTTAATGTTGCTGTACCTGGCAGAGTAATGTTGCAGTACACTACAGTATTATGTTGCTGTACATTACACAATCACAATTCAATACAGTGAACTCTGAAGTTCAACTCTACAGAACTGTGTGCTATTATAATAAGTATAGTTTTAATTTACAGTACAACTCATTGTCAGTATACCATTACACAACACATGACCTTATAAAAGTTGTCTACTTGATAAAGGTCTATTTAGTTCATTTTGGGAATATTATTTTTAAGATAATTTCCATATCACTGTGTCAATCTGGAAACAAAACTATTCTTTTGGATCTATCAGTGCCAGTTTTAGTAAGATATTACAACAAAATAAATGAACATTATTGAATTTTTTAAAAATATATATCTAAAGTATCAAAATTTTACTATTTTTCTATGCAATTTGTTTTTGTTTTTTGCAAGGCAGAAACTGCCATTCCGCCTTCTAATTGGTCAAGAACATGTCACAGGACAAAGGATTATCAATTGTCAGTTAAAAATGAACCCCTAGTACCATTTCTAGTCAATTGAAGGCACCTTATCATTCCTTTCATATTTTTTGAACCAGGTAATTACAATGAAGCAAGCGAATCTGCAATACAATGTCGTTCATTCTGACAGTAAATAGTCCTGTATATCTATACAACACAGTTCACTTTTACTTATTAGTATACTACATGTATGTAAACTTCTGTTTCACACATTACTTTGGACTGTTACCATGTCATTACAAAGAACTGGTTCAGTAGAGCAGTCAGTATAATGATCATAATCCAACAACATTCTATTACAGCATAATTTAAAGATTCCTATGAAGTTTCCATGTAACAAATCTTGTCACATGATAGAAACACAAATTATACAAAAATAGTTTTACGTACTTGTTAAGTGATAATGGCATCAAATGGAAGTAGCTTTTTTTTCTCCTCAACATTTTCACTTTTTTTTTTTTTTTACAGATACATGTACATGTATAACATGTAAAACATCCATTTCATCATTCTGTATCCAATTTTTCAGACAAAAGATTGGTTATTCTTCAAACAAATTGATGAATAATATTCACAAAGTATCAATATTCATTAGATTCATGTGACAAATATATGAATATTCCTTTGTTCAGTCCACCAGTTGTGTTAATATTCACAAATATGCTATGTGTGTGACAGTCTGACACAATCAAAGCAAAAAGTCATAGATGATACATCTGAACTGCTTCAGTTAACAAGATTAACTGAAACAAATCAACACATCTGTGTTAGTGTATCAATTCTTGATAAATTTTTTATAAAAATGTACAAACTTTTCCATCAACTACCGAACAGGTTGGCACATTGGTTCACATCATTACTGACCATTGAAAGAACATACAGCTCTAATTCCATGAATTCGTTTATATGAACTTATCAGTATTTGCTGGATCTTGACATGAGGCTGCGCAATACTAAATATGGCTTTATAATGAGGAAGTTGCTGTCGTTTTATAAACTGATACACAATACTTTATGGCATTTCTTTTGATATTATAATAATTTGCTTGTGCTATTAAAGCCATAAACACAAGTCTATTTGAACTTTTTCCAAGTGTAACTGTTGGGTTTTTTTCTGTTAAAATCTACCCGTTTCTTAGAAATTGAGTTTGGACTCATTTCACAACAAAAGGACCCAATCCAATGCATCACGTCCTGAAGTGACTGATACTTGGATTTCAAAAAAAAAAAAAAATAAAAAAAACACAGCTGCTCTTCACTAGAATAGTGTCTGACTATCACACAGTGCCACTTGATCACCTCCAGTATAAATACAAGTATCCATGGGTTGTCATCGGTGGCCTTGATTCTGGGAACTCAAGAACTCTTCATAAGCTGCCTCCATCTCATCATCCATGTAATTCTCATCATAATTCACCATGCTGGAGAGAGACCCATAATTTATCAACAATGTAAAATGTTTATTTGTTCAGAATTGTCATTACCACAATAAATCACATTTTCAGAGTTTCATATTAATTCTTAAGGATTCACAACAAATAAATATCTTAGCTAAACTTGAACTGGCCCTTCACAATTTTTAAAATTAGATGCTTCCAAAAATGAAGCATTTGTGAGATCCTGTATCAGCTGGCAACAAAAGATGGCATTAAGCTTTCCACATCTTTATCCTTCTATCCATTGTGATAGTTTTCCATTCAGAACAGAGACATAATTCATGTCAAAACCATGAATGGTGATATATAGATATCATGGAACAGTCTCAGTGCATCACAATACATTATGATTTGCTAGTCATATTTTTACCTGTAAACCTGGAGGTTGAAACCATACACACCAAATTAAATCCATTATCTACGATCATATGGTAATAAAGTCTGGACAATAACCATTTTGCACAATATTCCAAGTGAAAGGGCCATAATTCTACCTTAAATGGGGTTTTTAAATAGGATTTAAACTTGATCAGAAATGCCCAAGACTGAAGTTATAACCAAATCTGAAACCATCATTTTTGAAAATCATGAAAAAGGGTTTACAGAAATCTTGCACGATATTCCAGTGCAAAGGTGAAAGGGCAATAGCTCTACCTAAAATTCTGTTTTACTTTACCAGGATTCAGAATTGAAATCATTATCCCTAAACGTAAAAAACCCTCCTCCCATCTCACCCCCAAAAAAACAGAAAATGGTGTTGGGACAAATTGTATGGATGAGAGTAACAATAACTGCCTTCCTCTGGGGTATTTATAGATAGAGATTGAAATTAGCTGACTGCAATATATTTCAGTATACTCACTTTGAATAATTATAATCATCATAGGATACATCATCAGGGTTTGAAGACCATGTTTGGTAGTCTGAAGGGTTTTGTTGATGATAGCTGTTTCCATTGTGGTTGTGAGTTTGAGAGGGGTTATAACTGCTTATGTTGTTGCCATAATTGCTCTGATAGCCACTGTCACCTCCCTGCATGTAAGCATAGGCTTCTGCCTCCTGTTCCAGCATATAGTCTGTGTACTCATCATAGTAACCTGCCTCTTCACGTGATATTGTCTGTCCTTGCTGGTTATAGAATACTGGTTCATTCTGTCCAAACAATTTGAAAACAGTTTTTGACACCATTCATGCAATATGCAAGACTAGATCTGACACTTTATTGATTGAAATCCAAGAGATCCTACAGAGGTCTTGGTGCCCACCATGATTGGATCTTTATTCCTTCTTTGAAAGTTTAATTTTCCCCTTTCCTTTTCCCTTCTTTTCTTATATATGCTTGCAATAGTAATGAATAATGTATGCAATTATTAGTTGTTTGTAAATTCCCATATGAAAGAAACAACTGTTCAATATATATGAATATATGACTACATGTTGTGGTAACATTGAAAGTCTGTGACATCCTTTTTATAATTGATTTAGTTTACAAGAAAGCAAATACTTTGTCATCTATGTGAAACCACTAAAAGACATTGTAAAACAAATATGTACAAAAGTGAAATGTGACACAGGCAAACTTACTGTGGAGAAGTCCTGGGAGTATGACTGAGAATGATTGTCTGGCTGAGAGGAAGTGGACGAAGTGGACTCTCTCCCCCAATTATTTTCTTTCAGATTTAAAACTGATTCAATCAACAGATGTGAAGTCCTGGAAATCATTGGTGAAAAAAAATGAATTTCATTAAATTCTTATCAACCATGTTGATTTCTTAATGACAACTTATTCTGTTAGCTAATATACTTAACACATTTCTTTAGCCTTAATTACATGGTAATGGTATTTAAGATAAAGAACATCAACGATATAACTTACACACAGATACTTACTGGTTTAGATCGGGGGACATGTGTACTTGTTGTAATTGCTGAAACACTTTACTATAATCTCGTTCCTCTGGTTTGTCATTTAAATGAGCAGTATCTTCTATTGTTGAACCAGTTAGCTGAAATAGTAAATAAGTCATATAGAGCCTTTATCATAAACTGTAAAATATAGGTCAAGGTCATTTCATTTGTCAGGCTTCATCCTAAGATGAACCAGACAAAAATCATGCTTCACCAGATCTTTTAGTTCATTAGAAAAAGATGTTAAATGGTTTTAACAAATCTAACCCCTGTGAACCTGAATATAGGTCAAGGTAATTTCTTTTTGCAAACTTTGTTGGGCTTCATCCTAAGAACATACTAGCAAAATATCAAAACATTTGGTCCATACATTATTGGGAAGATGTTAAAATAAAGTTGATGTCAGACAACAAGCACCTGATGGACACCAGGCCATGTGAGCCAATAACAGATTTATCAGGGGAAAATATATTATTTCATACTTTTAGACATTTCTGTTTGGAATGTGACCAACCCACTCACGAATGAATTTTGAATGACTGAAAATGGCACAAATTAGCTGTCAATGATGTCACATAATGTTATGCGTAGGAATTTGTTATAAAATCCATGAAATTATCAAATCTCTACATTTATGTGTTATTTATGTTTTTGAAACCTATCTATGAAATTAATTATCAGCTTTGACAGGAATATTTTTAAGTTTCATGCTGGACTGACAGAATAACTTATGTGCTACACATTCATTCAGTTTGCATAAAGGTTATGCTTTCATACAGGTATGAAACTAAAATATTCCTATTAAAGAATAACCAACCTCTGATTATTTCAATAAAAGTTATGATGTCGCAATTAATAACAATGTCAATTTTTCAGAATTACCTTTAAGAGTTGTGTTACAGACTTAACGGTTGTATCATTTGGATTTGATAAGAGGGCTAACAGAAGATCACGCAGTACAAATCTTAATATACCAATCTTCTGTGTGGTTCCATCAGGATTTTCAGCCTGTAAAATAAAATTGTAGGAAAGTGAGTCTGTATTACTAATCTGTTTACTTTCACTATTACTCATTTATTTCAAAGTATATTTGTATTTTCTGCCCAGAAAACAAATTCTAAGGTACAGTTCTTAATTGAATTTTTACCATTAATAAGTTAATGTTACATAAAAACCCCATGAATATAGAACATGCAAATTTGCATCCATAGTAAATTTCAAGCAAATAATAAGCAAATTCAATTACAATAACCACATATACCATAATATAACATCATATGCTTTCAATAATACTATAGGGCCTTTTCATGGAGTCAAGTTACATGGATCAGGAGGGCCAAGTGTAGATAAAAAGTATTCACACATTGCTGTCACATGAGTGAATAGTTCAACACTGTTCACATATATGATAATTCCTTATTTAGGAGATATTGATAATATACTATAATGAATGTAATAAGTAATAGAGCAGCATGTAAGTGACAGAGGCAACGGAAAATGGGTCTTTGAATTATGTATATTAGAAGAGAGAAAACAAATAGAATAACAAACCTCTAGATTTAGAAACAGTTCTCCAATAAACATAGTGAATCCACATAGCCTTGGGATGGTGTCAGCACTCAATGCCCAATCATCCTTCTTTAGATAATCTTCTTTACATCTGGCAAAAAAGACAGGTTCAACAATCACTAACACACTGTAAACAATCCATTCACATGATAATGTAAAAGAAAAATCATTTCAGTATTGAACATTTTCTGTCAATTTTACAGAAATTTATTTACCTGATAGTAATATTTGACATCATCAAAGCTCTCGACACTGTTTTTTTCCCATAATATTGATTATTGTATTCTTCAGAAATTTCTAACATAATCAGTTTTCAGAATCCAGTATTCTGAAACTTACCTAGTGAGAAATTGGCCTCTAAAATTAACAAATGCCCTAACATGTTTAAGCTCTTTAGTCATGTGCTTGCAGACTCTTGCTCCAGTGTAACGAAAATTTGGTTCTGTTACGCACTGTAAAGAAAACAAACAATATGACATTCTTACCATTGATGTAACAAAAATAAGTTTCTAATTAATGCCACAGGTATTTAGACCCTCTTTCTTTACAGAGCCAAATAACCTTATATAATTCTCAATATTCTAGAAGAACAAACTTTGTGGGAAAATCAGCTTAACATAATTTTGGATTGATCAGAAAAAAAGTCACATTAAGAAAAACATTAACATTAATCAATGATCTTTTTTCAGGCACTGAATTCAAGAATTGACCTTTCAATAACAATCATTGCAATATTAATGTCCCTTGTGTGAAATTTCTGTATAAATTATATATATCAATATCAGTTAACTAGCTTTCAAAGTTACAGTAAAATTAGTTGGTTTTACAAGAGTATTTAAGTAATCCATGCAGCATTAATATAAGATAGCATCCAACATGATCAAATGACTTATCTATACCACTGGTAGATATTCTACTCAGCATTAACACAAAGAGCGTGTGATGTTGATACATTAACTGCTTTGATTTAGCAACTTTTCTTCAACATAGGGACAATTGTGCTTTACTACAACCAAAATTTGAAATGGACATTTTATTTTCAACTAATGCCAACAAATAACTCCTACTTTATATTTTTTTACCTCTGAAACACAAGGTCTTATTGAATTACATTAGAGAACACAACAGATTTCTTGAAAAATTGAAAAATATCTGCCTCATTTTTACAATTTGTTTTCAAAAATTGTGTTGAACAGTGTTGACCTTGTTAAAGTAATATTCTGATATTGTTACCATACCATATTCTTGTATTCCTACTAGTAATGTAAGTATAATGTTCCTGGGATAGTTGATTATAACCTCAAGTCATCAGTCCTATCTGTTTTTTTATACTTCTTTGTATTTTATACATCAGATAATATTACTTTTAATATTTGAGTCTATTCATTTATGTCCATTCAATCTCTTTTTAACAAAAACAATTTTGAACTAGAACTTGTCTATGCAGGTGTCATTACATCAATATTTAGAAACCGGGACAAAATTCACTGGTCCCTAAAACGAAACCTAAACAAAGGTGTTTTTAAGAGAAGTAAATATGTGCCATATTTTTCTGAGATCAATAAGAAAGATGAGCAAATACTTGATGGGATTTTGGCACCCATCAAGGGAGGTTTGCACACGACACATTTATCCAGTTTCACTCATTTTCAAAAAGAAAATCAATTTTAATGTTAAAACATAAGAGTCCACTCCAAATAGATAAGATCACAGGTCTCCATGAGGTCATACCTGCTCAAAAAGAATTTCAATGACTTCCCGTACAACAGTCTCATCTGTGACATTCTTCATGATATTGACTATGGAGCTGAGGTATTCCTCTATATTTCCAGGTTGAATGGTCATGTTGAACAGCATGGATTTGAAGTCATTGATGACTTTATCAGATGTAGGTTTTGATACTGGTGCACTAACGTGTGATGGGGTGATGCTCACCAGTCTTTGAAAATCCTCAAACAGGTTATTCTGTGCAACAAATTGAAAGAGATGTCAAGACAATTGGATAGCGGTTCAAAATATTCCCTTATTATGTTCTTATTTGGAGAAGAACTATTATTCATTCATACCTGTAGCCCCATATTGCAACTGTGACTGGATATTCATAAGCGAGGTAGAAAAAACTGTTATGAAAAACAAAAATTACAAGGATCTTAAACCTGTATTTTTTTCAAAGTTTGATTGTAAAAACCATCGCAAAATTTACCCTCTCCCATATGAGGAAATGTGAAACCCTGGGTCATAAAATTTACTGCTTTAATAAAGCACATTAAACCCTTCCATCCATGAAGAGTTTGATTCTACCATATTTGGGTATTGAGAATAAGATTTCTGAATTTTCAGTCAATTTGAACGTTTAAGCCCCACCTGGACCATGTAATTAACAATTTTAGTTTCTGACAAATTTTATTGAAATTGGTTCAGTGGTTTTTTCAAGAAGAAGTCGAAAATGTAAAAAGTTTACAGGTGGAGAGCAGACAAAATGAGATCACAATATGTCAACATGATACCTAAAAATCTAGTGAATTTTTTGACTGACAGAAAGATAGGTAGGCAGATGGGCAGTCACGCACACAAAACTGACACAGATGTAGACAGACTGGAAGTCAATTAATGTTTCACAATTTCTAAGGCATATATATCATTGAAGTGAGAGAAATAAATCATAAGGGCACAACTGTCTTAGATGCTGATCATGTGCACAGAGATTGCAGTTAAAGCAATCAAAGATTGCCAAGTTCAAGAACAGCAGTCACTGCAAATATGCTTTATCACTATAATTGCCAAATAGGAGGGGTATGGAATGTATACTCATGAATTACAGACTTTCATAACACAAAGGTCAAGTCAATCACTAGATAAATTTATACATATATATAAAAAAAACATGAACCACTGTAACATTGATATCAATCTTAGACCTCTAATGATTGTAAAAACCAAATAGGAGGAATAGGGGTTGTATACTGAGAGTTTGAAGCTTTTAAAAAGCTTAACCTAAAACTTTAAAATTTTGAAGCAGAAAGCATATGTTGGGGTAAAGTAATTAACTCCCAGCTGCTTCCAACACCACTGATCTAAAATTGTTGTTAGATACAGTTTTACTTCAGACAATTTTTTGGCAACAAGCAGACAGAAAACCTGACTCCAGTATACCAACTTCAAAGTATAATGATGAAATTGGAAACAATGTTTCCAGATCATTTGAACAAATAACAATCTTATCCACAAGGAAGATTTAGTAATATTTTTTTGTGTCAACAATGAGAGGTTTAATAATACTCTGTAATATCATTTACACATTTGATACACTAAGGGTCACACTGAAACAGTCAAAGAAATGTCAGAATCTTTCCGGCATATGTATTGACTGGTTATATGTGATTAAACAAAATTTCTGCAAAGACGTCACTTCATGCAGTCAAACATAGGTAAATATGAATGAAGAAAAACTTGTCGACACAGCAGGATTTTCCAATCCAAGCAATTCAAACTGCAGACAAATTTGTGCCATGGTGACCAGATGAAGAAATCGTTGTATCACATGTTGTTGAGTAAGTGTCATAGATAAGACACTACCTGCACATGCGTGTAAGCTGGTTGACCTCTGGGAACAAATTCTGCTGCTGTGACGGACAGATTAGGCTTGTTTAAACCATCCCCTTGACCCGCCTGAAAAATATTACCAATGAGTAGTGTTTGGAATTGGAAAAAAACTTTCATGTATTAAAAATCACTAACAAGTAGGTAATCAATGAAGAATGAGTATTTTTACCTCTTATAGGCATTCAACATGTAACATCCAAATAAATTTGATAAAAGTTTGACATGAATTCTTCATGTAAGTAGGAACTCAAATAAAACATGACAATGACTGCTTCCCTAAAGTCAAACAATTTGTAAGCATCATCAAAGCTGTCCTATCAACGTAGAGTTCAAAACAGTTTATTAAAAAGAAGTTAATAAATTTACATTTGCAATGATAAAATATTTTCTCTGTCTAAATCCTGGTGTGAGTTTAGGAAAACAAATCTTCTTGATACCTGCCTGAAGTTGAAAGGTCTTATCTTATAGAAATACACAAAACTCTGTAAATCTGACAAGTATCAATATTACATACACATGTATGTTAGCTTTCATTTAGTGTAGAAAAGAATCTGACAAGTAGATTGATTAAACAAGATTTAGGAAAACAATATGATGAAATAATTTAAATTTTACTTTTTTTTCACCAAAAATACCTTGAATCATTCTTCAATATACAATATATTAAGTTATTTACACAATGTTCCATTGCAACATTATCAGCAGGTACAGTATGAAAAAAGGGTTCTATTGCTATCAAGGCTTACTTTTGTGTTGAGATGTGTATATAATTATCAAATTGACTTCAGCACCTAAATAGTAAAGTTGGCTAGTAATTGTTATAAGCATTTCCTTCTATGGACATTAAATGCAAGTTATTAACTGCAATAAACAACTATATAAAAGACAAACCTATCATATACCTACCAATTAAGTCTTTTATATCAAAACCTCAAAAAGAACCAAAATTTTGCAAATCTAGTGAAAAAGGTTTATGGTAATTAAAGCAGACGATATGAAAGAATAGTTGGGTAGCAGAAAAATATTTACCTGTGCTTGTGGTACTGTTAGAGGTGGTGGTGGCATGCTGAGTTTAGGTACAAACTCTGGAGCATTCACCGACAGCTGTACGGCTGGCTTCTTAGAGCTGATCACTTGTTGGTTACCACTTCCTACATCAAATCATTGCAATATGCATAACATTACTTTTTGAAAGTGTAAACAGTTTTTGAAAGTGCAATAAGTTTTTTTTCTTTTCTTTTTTTTGTTTACCTCCATGGAAATTTGCCTGTTTTCCATAATTAAAAAAAAGGTGTCAATCTTTAACAGTGTACTTAAAAATTAAAATAAATTTGTGAGAGTAGTCAAGAAAACTGCTTTCAGTGGCAATATCAAGGTCTTAACACAGCATTTGTAGCACAACATTGTACATCTGGTTCTGTTGTTTACCAGTTATCAACCAAAGGAACTGTTGTATATTGAGACTTTATATACTATAAGCTGAATAAATGCGGTAAGTACAACATATTTCAGATGAGCAAATTAAAAGCAACATGATTTTTGTAAGCTAATGATTTAATGCTCAATTCTATTCAAAGGCTTTTTATGGGGGTCAAATCATTCCCAATTTAAATTATTTCCTTATATGCCCAAATTACTTGAGTTAAAATTTCCTTCTCAATACCCTAATTTTCCAACCAAAATGAAATAATAATAAAAAAAAAACAATTTAAACCAATACACAGTACAAAATGACACTGAAGTAATAATTACATAAATGAATAATTCACCAAATCTGCAATTAACTCAAGAAAATTTGCTTCCCAAAATGAGACAAAAGGCCCCTTCTGAAATATATATTAATCCATATGCTTTTGACCTACAAACATCGTTAAGAAAACCAAAACCTGTTACTTGCATACCATGTACATGGTTTTGCATATTCATAATTTACTACATTTGACTACATTTCTTGTTATCATTCGTGGAGGGAGACCAAAACAGGTCTTCAAAAAGTCTGCTCTCTGATTACAGTTCACCCCGAATCGCCCATGTGATTTTTGTCATCACGTCGGTTTAATGTTTGAATACAATAAATATACATATTGCTACTGCTAAATAAAGTACTTACACCTTGGTTAAGGTCTAATGTATGCCAAGAAGACTCTGATTCTGAACGTGTTTTATTCATTCTTCCCTTTAAATCACATGTATTTCGATGTTCAAATGTAAATGGCGCTAAATCTATCAAATATATAACTTTTTACGATGTGTAAATGTTAAGTAAATATCATGAATAAACTGACGAAGTTGTAGAAAAATCAATACCAGGATTTCCATTCAGCAACCTCTGTTGTGTATCTGGCATCGGTCTTCTGAGGCCCGGTCTGCCATCTTGTGAGAGAGTCACATTTTGAGAATTGCCAGATGGCGGATTGTTACCTCCATGTTCTGACATGCTGTTGATTTCAAAAGTTGTTACACTCAAATACTAATAACGACCCCTCCAAACAAACTCAACTTTCATCGCACAACCTATTATTCTACTTTGACACGAAAATAGCATACGAAAGATTCTCCCAAATGCGTCTTTGCCCGAGCAGCAGGTAAAGTGATGCACCAGAAGTTTTTTTTCATTATTGTGAAAAATAATCTATGATACGAGTACTCAAAGTGAAAAAAAATACGAAAGCAAAAATTGGTCCTGTGTAAACAGCTAGTCTCAAAAGATTTTAATTAAATGACTCAAGAATATTATTTTTTAATGCAAGCGTATCACAGCTATTTATCATTAGAAATATAGAAAAGCAAAAATACCTATAAAATAATATGCATTATATTTTTTTATAAATCTTGTGTGTTAGTAATAAGTTAATGGTATCAATCCAACAACAAAAAATATTAGCTTAGTTCCGCGGTTAATCAGTTGCAAAACAAAGATGGCGAAGCGAAAACGTGTTCGTGAGTCTGCACGTGTGGGAGGTGATGTAAAAAGTAAGGATGTCGAAGATGCGGTCGTGCTTCCACCTGTAATATCATCAGATGAACCTCCCAAGAAACAGGTAATAAGTTTGAGACTCTAACACACCAGTCATGTTCCTTGCGACTGTAACAGAAGAAATATTGTCCTGATCATGAATCGTCGACGTTTCGGCATTTGATGAAGTCGTTAGTTGGTCACTTCGGCACCTATCATTTCGGCACTTCGAGGTAACATAGTACCATTTCGGTGTTTACGAAGAATCATGAAGAGACCTAAAACATCATATTGTACTTATTTGATATCATGTTGAACCATTTTAATTTGATAAACGATGCACTTTTTTTAGTATCCTAGGTGCATTAGTTTCGGACCCCTTCACTGGTTTCAGAATCACTTTTCGCTTGCTACGCTATGTTGATGAACTGCCCCAAACAAATACATACATCACTTGAAATGTGTTATACTATAAGATTTATTTAAAAACTGATCAGTGAAATACCAGTATTTTTCGGTAAAAGATCCACAGATACGACCTCAAATTCGCTTACCTGAAATTATTAACTTAAAGACTGCATCCCCAGGCTCTTATGTAGAAGTGAGGGAGGTTAAGATCGTAAGTTCTGCCTGACCTGGGTCTTACAGATATTTTCCCAAGCCAATTGGTAAGCTTTGGCCAATATCTCCATGAGTTCCTATACATAATTATACAATTTATCCTCCTTTGTTCCTACATCCTTTATTCTAAACATAATATCAACTGGTTGAGTAATCTCAACTATTCAACAAGTTTGGTTTTCACTTTTGATAGCTGAGGAAGATGTTCCTCCCAGATGTTCTGTTTGTTGTCTTTGTAGCACCTCAATGTTTGAAAAATCAACCTGTTGTATCATTCCACCTGTCCATTGGAACACGGACAGCTTGAGTTGGTCCTAGATTTAGCAATCTGGAAAGCCCAGACGAGACCTCTGATCACATTTTGATTTACATTATTCCCCAGAGCATCATTGAGTTTTAAAGGGCAACCAAACCTTAGATGTGTTTTTGATATGATATGATCACAGGAACATTTATGTATAGAATTAAGGGAAACTGATAAATATTAATGTAACATGTGATTTTTTTTTTTGTTTCAGCCAAAGTGGACAAACAGAGAGAGAGTATTAGTGTTTAGCTCTAGAGGAATATCTCACAGAACTCGGTATCTGATGAATGATTTAAGATCCTTAATGGCCCACAGTAAACAAGGTAACCTTTATTCTAGTTATAGCATTGATGTTTATTTATGACTTCATAGTCTTTTTGAAATCATAAACACAAGTTGAAGTAGCATATCTATGAATGTTTGATATTTTACCTGTGTTGTAATACCTTTTATTCTGACAAACTGATATTGAGGAATAAGGATGCATGATGTTTGCCAAATCAGTATACATAGTGTCTGCTTAGTTGACAAATTAATAATTGGGAAGATCAGGTAGTCACCAATATACATATAGTATCACAGAAGATTGCATTTAACTCGGAACATGAATAGATCAAGAGACAGTTACTGTGAGAACTTGTTCTTCATCAAAGAAATCCATAGACATATTTCAATCTTAAAAACACTTTGTTTATAGATGTATAGAATCAAACAAAGTAGTTATTGCTAACATTTTTCATGCCTAGCGGCCTGATTCAGGCAATATGATGGAAATGTTGTGGAGTGTTGTAGTTCCGATATCAGAATAATTTACTAATTTCAACAATCCAAAATATAATGCAGCATTTTTGTAGCTGTTGGTAATAGACTCTGGATTGAAATAAGGTTTTTAAGTCCATGATGCAGATTGGGAGAATTCATAGTGATATTAACTAATTAGACTGGTAGACAAAGGTGAGTGACTAGTTAAATGACAGAGGTGAGTGATTTGACATATTCTAAGGTAGTAATAATATATCTTTTATCCTATTTCAGAGTCAAAAATGGACAGAAAAGATCAGCTGTTTGTTATCAATGAGGTAAGATTTTATAAAGTCTGTATATTATGATTTTATTGGTGTAAATTAAGACATTTCAATTGGGTGAAGCAGGACAGAAAACATTCTTGTGATCACAATCACATTTGTGCTGACTGGAATATGTCAATTGATAAAATTTGGCAATGTTTGCTGGAATACCGGTACTTAAATGATTTGTACACATATTGAATGTCTTAGCCTCTTTCCTTTACACACTATTTTTGGATGAATAAGTTATTCTTTTTAGAACTAACCATAATCCAGCTTCCTCTTCCCAGGTTACCCGAGTCATATGTATTAGAACATTTTGGGGAGTGGTGTTTGTTAAAGGTAACCTTTATCTAATTTCTTTACTTTATAGATTTGTGAAATGAAGAATTGCAGCAAATGTGTGTTCTTCGAAGCTAAAAAGAAGAAAGATCTGTATATGTGGTATGTACTCATATTAGGACAACATCACTTACGGTGAGATAATGGCAATGCTATTACATAGTTGAACAGTCAAATTAGAAGAAGAAAAAAAAACATGCAGGAGTAAAGATATGACAAACACATTTAGATAGATGTCTTTTCCTGTTATATGCTGAAAATGTTTGGAGTAGGTTTGATACTGTGTGGACGATACATAAATACTGACTCAGTCAGTGCCCCTGTTTCTATGGGTAAAAACGAAATTTAAAGGTTTAAAAGTTGACAAGTAAAATAAGATTAGGTTGAGTAACCCTTACCACACATCATATATTCGGTTTGAAGACATTAAGTTAAAATTTACTTTTCAGGGTTTCAAATTGTCCAGCAGGTCCATCAGGAAAGTTTCTGGTCGAAAATGGTAAGTTAGCTGGATTTTAGTTTTAGCCCTGTTGCCTTACTTTCCCGTGTTATCACCATTTGTTTGATTTCTTTAACTGTCCTAGATTTCCATCTTGATAGTAGAGATACAACTTGGATGGAACTTATACATCATCATATGACTTAGGGTAGCACAGACTTGTCTTACAGTTACATAGCCTTTTATCTGTATAATATGGTGTACATATTGCATGTGAATGGCAGCTTCTTACTATGGTCATAGGTTTGTTTACCTTTAATGACTTTATGATCACACTTTTACACTGAAAGAAAGATAGCATTAGCTTATTTAAGAGATAAAGGTTGCAATAAAAACATTTGTAGTAGACAGAGTTCTTTCTTCTTAACCACAGAATATATATTCAACTGAAAATTTCATAATGTACAATGTTTAAAATTGGAGTTTTTTTTTTAAAAGTACATACCATGATGGAACTGAAAATGACTGGGAACTGTTTGAAGGGATCTAGACCTTTACTCTCATTTGATCCGGTAAGCTATTTAATGAGTATTAACTTGACATCAAAGGTGTTATAGTTTTACTGATGACAACAGATTTGATCCATTAAAAAATTAAGAAAATTAGAAAAGCGCTTGTTGACATTTTATTATTTTTTCCCATTACACATGGAACACTATCTGTTTGCGTGTAAAGCGGGGGATGTTATTAAGAGGTTAACCAGAGAAACAGAACACTATCTTTATTTTACTGTTACAAGTTATAACTGTAACACTAGTGAAATTCAATTTGCAGCAGTTTCATTTAGAGATGTTTTCTGTTGTTTACAGATGTTTGATACAGAACCCCATTGGTCACTGTTAAAGGAACTCTTCACACAGGTAATCATTTTACTTCTTCGTGATAAAATTGTCTATCACTACTCCTGTCTATGTTAACCACCTGGAGCTTGTGCCATCATTGTCTGTTAAGAAATACCCCCTCTTACTATATTTATATGCCAATAAGTCTATGCTTGGTAATAAGCCACTCATATATATTGCTGTTCGATAGAATTACAAACAAATGCAACAACTACTGTAAACTCCTGATATTTTAGTGGGGCTTAATTTTTGTGGTTTTCAAAAAATACTTTATTGTGAACACATGATTTTGAGGAAAATTTCACACAATATATATGCTTATACTAATTGTACTGTTCCTATCCATATGAATTTGTGGATAAAGTGTATCCTCAAAATGACTGAAAATAAAACCCCCACAAAAATGAATGATTTCACAGTATTTTATTGTCCTGCAATAAGCCCTTCCTTTGGGTCAAAGGTGATGTGTTGGGTGAGGGTGGCTTATTTCGGGATGAATACAATTTAATAAGGGGTAGGGAGTAAGGGAGTATATGGTAATCATTATTTAAGTCTGTCCATGTTTAAGTACATCTGGATTTTGTAGGAGGTCCATCTGGTATCTTTTTTTCTGCTTTGAACAGCTTCTATGAAATAGCTTAAGAGACCTAGTCAGTATATACCGCAGTATATGGCCAGTATGAAGAAGGATGATCATTTTCAACAGATTTAAGTGGTCAAATCATGGTAGATTAATGGCAGGTGGAAAGTGAACAATAGTTCAGTGTAATAGATTCATATGAATTATTTTATGTACAATTTTCCTTTTGGTCTGTCTTGTGTACCAAGTTCCTTATTTTTCAAATGATTTAAAATAGTAAAGTCTATTTCAGTATAACATCTATCCCACCCCAGGACTCTTAAATTTTATTTCAAGGTACCATACATAGAGTGTAGTTGATGATTTGCTTAGAAGTGACAGGCAAAAAATTGAACCATAGATAGAAGTAATTTATTCTGGAGTCCAAGGGACAAGGAGATATTTTCCTGCAATAATCCTAGTGTTATCATTTCAATAAAATTATTCTTTTCCAGACCTTCGGAACACCAAATTTCCATCCGAAAAGTCAGCCCTTCTTTGACCATGTGTTCACTTTTTCCATAGTAGACAATCGAATCTGGTTCAGGAATTATCAGATACTAGAGGAGGATGGTTCCTTAGCAGAAATAGGTGAGCAGTCCTTTATCATTCTATATAGTATCTCCTAATAAATCTGATGTCATGTTTCTTTGTAAGGAATTTTTAAACATTATAAATCAATTAGATAAAGTCAGTTAGGTCAGAGTTAATTTGATCATCAGACAACAGATGATTTTGAGGATTCTAAATATGTATATATTTTTTTAAACAAGAGATGGATAATGTTTTTGTAGTCTCTCTTCCATTCTATAAATCTTGAAACTGTGGAAAAACCTTAGAGCTATTCTGGATAGAAACATGTAATATGTATGAGGATGAGAATAAGATCTGGTTATTAGCAACATTTGGGTGGTAAAGACAAAGTTAGGGGAGTGGCGTCTATAGGAATCCTGAATGTCTATCTGCAATATTATGTCAAGTGTTACGTATGAAAATCTGAGGTGATTTCTTTTAAATACACGTACCTCACAACTGTGGGTTGTTCTGTCCTTGTGCATTATATCAAGTCTGAACCAAATACTTTGAGTCACTAAATAACACATTTTTTTATTTACCTCAACCCTTTGACCTAACAGTCTGATGCATTCCCCACGTTTCCTTTGACAGGTCCAAGGTTTGTGTTAAATCCAATCAAAATATTTGGAGGTAGTTTTGGTGGCCCTACACTGTATGAAAACCCTAAATACAGATCTCCCAATGAGGTAAGAAGATTTGTTTCTTTAATATGTTTATCTTAGTGAAAATCAAATCTGTTTTACAATGTATTTGATGAAAGTATTATTTTGCTATGGTGTATTTGATTAAATCATTGTTTTTTTCTCTGTTTCAGTTGCGGAGAGAAATGCACAAAAAATTTGCCCAGAAATATATTTCTCGAGTTCAGGCCAAGAAGTCACTAGAGGAGAGACAACCAGATGCACCATACAACAGGGATCCCACAGACGATGTTTTCCAGGTTATTCGTCCAGAGGATGCTACAGGCAAAACCAAAAGCAGAAACTCATAGTGAAATATTCCAAAACTTACAATATCGGAAATATTATCCTGGTGGTAACTTGTTGTCATGTGATGAATGATCATCATCACCTTCAGTACATCAGTAGGTGGAGATTCACTTCTTCATCTGAGATTGTGCTTCAGGTTGCGATAAACCTCAACAACAACTAGCATACAGAATCTGTATTCTTAGCTATAATATTAAGCTACAATCCATCATGTTGAAATATATGACTGATGGTACTTGGTGCTTTTGAAAGACAAGTTGTTGTGATGCTGGCACATCATTTATCTTGTTCATTCTATCAAGGAGATACAAAATGCTATGTTGTTGGTTTATCAGTTGAAAAGTTCACAAAGTTCAATAGGACAGACAAGTTCCTCTTTCCAAGTCTTATATAATACAAATTTTGATAGTAATATCCAAATGGATTATCTAAAGCTATTGTAATGGCTTGCTTGGTGCTACTCAAATGTTCAAGTAGTATGAAGACGATACATAATACTGGTGTTGTATACCAAAGTACGACTAGATGGATACAGAACCTAGGTATAACCTAGGAGACCAAGCACTTTCATTAGAAAGGAATTGATTTTGATTAACAAAATACCTATTTCACTTTCATTTTTAAGTTCAGCAAATAACGTACATTGATTTCCAGTTCTTGGTACATGTATTAATAAAGATGTATTAGAAAGCACTGTTTGAATTTTTTTTTTGTTGATGGATTGTTCAATATTCGTTTTTCAATGGTCTGTCCATCTTTATACATGTTTCATAAGTCACTAGTAGTGTCTTATATGTTCCCATAGATAGCATTCTTGAATTTTAACAGTTTGCTGTAGGTATTTATCCATCAAGAAACCTATGGACTTGACAAGTGTCTCCGACTCAAAGTCAAGATAGATTTATTACCGGACAATCAAATACCAGTTGAAAACGCTGCTATAAAGGAGCAAATGCTGTTTGTGGGCTTATTGTTGGATCATTATGTTAAATTTGTATTTCTTTCTCTGATTTCTTTCATGGATTCCCTCTCACCCCTAATGGTGCATGTTCAACTGCAAAACTTTATTTATAAACATAATGACTTGAGACTTCAGGATAAGTGTGATGTTATATTGATTCATTGGTATTTCAGATTAATACATAATTGCAATGTTGATATCCTGATAACTTTGATAGAGAAAATGTAAAGTTATACATGTACGTCATATGAGTTAATTTCCAGGTATTGGTAGTCGATAGTTATGTTTTGATGTCACAAATCAGAGGGTACTAACAGTAAATCGTGCAACATCCATCAGTTAGTGTCCAAAACTGTTATCCTATTAGGACAGATTTTGTGATCAAATTATTTTGAAGTGCACAGTTCCAGCAAAGCCACTTGTCACCATGCATCTTGTATTTGTTGCAGTTGAATCTGTTACCAGTCACTATTTCTGAGGCTGTTGGACACTTGTCATACATTGTACACCTGACTCTCTTAAACCTGCCTGACCTTAGGCAGGTCCAATAGAATCTACCTATATATGGCTATCTGTTCTTTGATATTTTCAAATGTTGAAGAATTACAAAAAAAAAAAAAAAAAAATGGGTAGATCATTACATTGGTGCTAAGAAAAAGGAGGTAAATATTATGACAATGTATACTCTTAAATTCATATTTCAGCACATATTTCATACCTATTATGTAAATATACAGAACCTGCAATTACATTTATAAACTTTTACATGGAACATGAAAAGGTCAGTATTGATTTGATCCAAGGCTGGCATACAAAAATGACAGTACAATATACTGTAGACAAGAGAAAGAATTATTATTGATATACATAAAGTATCGTACATAATGCAAGTAACCTTATGCCTCAAATATGTTTGACATAGTATGAGTAAATGAAAACCTGCACAAACATTTGCATTTGTTCCTTCTGCAGTGCAAATGTGGGTTACGGTTGTAAAGTAGTAAAATTGTTACATAAATAGCAGTGTGGTCTGTGTAATTCTTGAAAATGGTGTTCAATTTGATGATGTGAATGTCTGGTATAGATATGGTCTAATAAACTACCAAAATGATCAGTAAGGTGCTTGATATGCTGATGTTTTTTATGGATGACGATGCATTTGGTATTTTATCACAACTGAAGTCTCCTGTAGTCAAATTTCAGCCTGTAGAGGGATGACATCAAAATTTCAGCTGATTTCTATTTATGATAAAGTTGACCTAGTTTTTTAACCACCTTAGGTCAAAACTTGAACTAGTACAAAAGGCAATGCTAGTGAACACGTGATGTTTGATTTGATTCACAGAAGCAATGGAGCTTTTAGAGCAATGACGTGAAAATTGTGTTTCTTTATATACTGAAACGGAAAAAAAACGCAACTTGGAAAATTGTTATTAATTTTGTATTAAATATACATAGCTGTATAAAAATTGCGGAAATAAAAGTGCACCCTGCCTATCACCCAAATCAATGTTCAAAATCAACCAGGTGTGACGAGAAACCTATGCACATCCGGCACGGTAAAAACATCAAAAACCGTGCCTGTACAAACATATGCGTTCTTTTTCATTCAAACCAGTATCAATTTATCACTAACATCGAGACACATCATCACCAATACTTTTGCAAACAATAATTCCTTTTACAATTATGCCACGGTTATCACAGGTTGATAGAGGACGTGCTATCGCGATGCTTATGACTTCACGTCGCTCGACACTTCAGAGTTCTCAAATCGACTATTAGTCGATTAGTTTCACGTCTTAACGCCACAGGAAGAGTCGATGACCGGCCAAGATCACAGGAGGTTAACGGCTGCTGAAACGGCAAGGAATACGATTGGTAATCATAACCATCGGATTAATTTGCGTGCAAGGCGACAGTACGTTGGTTTACCACTAACACCGCAACGTCGAGCACGTCGTATGCAATGGTTGACGGCACATATGCCCAGACGTTTTCCTATGAGACATTGGAGGTCCATGCTCTTCACCGATGAATCTCGATTCACGTTATTTCGAGCAGATGGCCGTCAACGTTTTGCTGACGCCTGTGTTTTGGAGCATGACCGATTCGGGGGTGGATCAGTTATGGTTTGGGCGGGAATCTCCCATGGTTTGAAGACACCTTTGGTGATAGTCAATGGGAATTTAACGGCCGTACGCTATCGGGATGAGATCCTTAGGCCCCATGTTGTGCCGTTTGTTAGGCAGCATCATGTAACCTTGCAGCAAGATAACGCGAGACCACACGTTGCAAGAGTCTGTAGAGACTTTCTTGCGACACAGAACATTGTTCCTATAGATTGGCCTCCGTATAGCCCTGATTTGTCCCCAAGCGAGCATTTGTGGGATGAACTAGACAGAAGAATTCGCAATCGCCGTAACCCCCCCAAATACCCTCCCCCAGTTAGCAAATGCACTCGTCCAAGAATGGAAAAACATTCCGATACGGACAGTCAATGCCCTGATGAACTCGATGCAACGAAGAATTAGAGATGCTATAGCTGCTCGAGGAGGACGCACACGATATTTGTGCACGGTTTCAAAACTGCTGCCATTTCAACTTGGATTCACGTAGGGTTTTACCAATCATGACCTTCTAGCGAAGTGACCTTTTCTTAAAAATCTCCAAACATTTAGAGGATGTACATCAATCTTCAATATTAACTATTACATATGAAATTTAGACATAATGCTCACAAGTATTATTTTATTAAGCCTAAAATTTGAAGTTGCGTTTCTTATTCGTTTCAGTATATATTGACGGTAATCTAGTAATCTGTACATAGTTGGAAATCCTTGATACTCCAGCGGTTTTAATCACTTTCACTCTCTGCACCCTTGGAACATGTGATGGCAAAATTGTATGTTCCATGTGCGACACCTTGTGAACAAGATGAAATGGCTAACTTGATCCTTTGATGTACATCAAACGAATCTCTAGATTGCACAACAGTATATTGTAATAGCTTTAAAGATGGACGTCTTCAAAAGGCGCGTATCACGCTGTGATTGGTCAGTTTTTTCTCATTGTACCAATAAAATGGCTTCACTTGTACCTTTGATTTTGCCATGACATATTCCAGGGGTGCAGAGAGCGAAAGTAATCATAACCCCTGAAGTTTCATAATAGTCAGTTTAGAAATGCAGCTTGTAGAGCAGTGACCTGTAAATTTCTGTCAAAACAAACAAAAATAACAAAATCGAAATTTAACTGTGAAATTTTATTACACAGGGATATACACATCAATGTTAAGTGTATTTAGTTGTGATTGCACCTTTCCATTTCATCTTTCTACCATGTTCTTTATGAAAACATAAATGCAATGACAACAATGACTTCCATTAACAACATGCTTTACAACTTGATCCACAAGAATCAGAAGAAAAATCTAACCACGATAAACAGTATGTATTCACAACTTACAACTTTGTGATGAACGTAATGTATGGCCACGATAATGAAATGAAGTTCAATGTTTATTAAAATGTGTTTTTTGAATAATTCATGAATCTATAATGAGAACACAAAGATATACAACATTTATTTGAAGGAACGATCTTACAACACAAAAAAAATATCGAGCCAGCTTCCATATTTTTTGTTGATCTATTTCAAAATACAAAATGGTCATTGTAACTTATCATTATGTAACTTTTTTTATTTTTTGGATGCAAATATGCACCAATGTTTATTTTTGAAGGACTTACATAATGACTTTTTTTAAGAAAAACTGTTTTCTATCACATGCAAACTAACATACAATATAAGGACATATTTTACAAGCATTAAATTAATGTATATTTTACAAATGTACGCCCTAATAATCAACATAACCATCTAATAATTAAATGAAGGAAAAATAAAGTGAGATTCCTAACTACTGACTTCTTTCCGTGATAGCAAGCAATGTATCTTTCATATTAACACCTTTTTATATTTCATTTACGAAATGAATTCATTGATATACAAATGAATCCAACATGCAAACATTTGTGTAGTTTAAAGTCACAAGTCCCAAAATATAATTTGACTTCACATGTTCAAAGTGTGACTTGTTTTGTCATTTTGCAACATGACTGTGACTTCTGAAGCTTCAACACCTTAGCGTTGTCTGCGCCCTGGAGCAGGGGAGGAGACTCTAGATGAACTGCGTGAACTTGGAGCGGTCTCTTCTTCTGATTGGTCCTATTGGAGTAAATTTATTCTTTCATCAAGAACCTGAAAGATGATCATGCATAAAGAAGCAGTTAGATACAGACATGCAAAAGCAACTACAGGAAGAGTTATCAACTGAATAGTGTTGATGCTAGTCCATTACCAATATTACCAGGTAGTATACCAAGATAAATATTTAAAATCAGATCTTATTTTATTAACTCATGAAGAACAAAATATTGAATTTTGAAATGTACACTCCGCTGACAACCGAACCCCAAAATTTTACTTGAATTTAAGTGATAATGGATCATCTATCACTGCCTAACCTAATGAAGTCTTGACTTTAGCAATAAGATCTGATCTTGACTTGAAGTTAAGATAACATGCTTGTAGGAAAAGTTTGAACTGGGACTGTGAAAATTATTTAGCTGATTACTAAAGCAAGACATGTAACATGCAGAAGATTATAACATACAAAGATTAACAAATGAGTTTGAAATCATTAGAAATGGATGATGTTATTCAATGTAGTGTGCAAGATGAAAACTCCTATTATTTGATTTTCTTCACATTCAATTGAAATCCTTTCCCTTTTTAAAAATCTTTCTTTCCTATCAATGTATAGAAAAGCTGATATTCATAGAAAAAGAAACCGTGAAAATGATAATAAAAGATCTCATACCAATCTGATAAGTGAAAATTTCAAGTGAACATGCCTAACTAGTGAAAAATGTCATAGATTCACATAAAAAACAGAAATAACAGAAATATGTACGAAGTATTGACATTTCACAATAAAGATTATAGCCTACATGACTATTTCTACAGACTTTGTCACTGGTATAAGAGCAATGTCATCAAGAATATGAAAGATGATCATGCATGAAGAAGGGTGTGTGATATGACATGCAAAAGCAATAAGACAAGCTTCACAGCAATTTCAACAGAAATTCCATTTTAACTATCTACTAGTTATGAAAAGAGAAAAAGAAGTTATAATTCAGATCTTATATTTTGTGGCAAAATCATTTTTCAATAAATCAATATAGGTATTTATAATCTCCAAGACATTTCAGATGGCAGGCTTCATTGAGATAAAGCCTGATTTTAAGATTTTTTTTTTCAAATATACCAAAATAAAAAACATCAAGTTACCTCCTCATCTCCATCTTCCTCATCATCACTTATCACCACCCTTGATTTTCCTCGAGATTTGCGTTGTTTTCTAGCACTACCTGACCTCTCCTGTAAAAATATTAGCCACCAATAAACATCAAAGCTTAAACATGCCCAGATAAAAAAAAAAAAATCAACTGACCCAACATTAACATATTAAATGCATATGCAAGATATTTTCTTTATTTTGTGCATTTGATTGTATTTGTAACACTCCATTCAGTCAAGTTACCATCTAAGTATACAACTCCTTGGTGCCTTCATTCTCCAAGAGTGGAATATGATAATATAGAAGTTATTTTTGAAAATTTGTTGAATTTCGCAACCAGAAGCTAGAAGCCAAGTATTATTCCTAAACTTGAATAGTTCTTACATACACGGTGCCATGCCACAGCACAAGCTCACTTGTCCGTTCAAGTCAAGAGAATTGATAAATATTACGTACCTTCTTCGAAGATTCTTTTAACTTCACTTTCTGAACTTTAACTACTTCTGAAATACAATCAAAATACAGTGTAAATTTCACCTTTCACTGTCACTGGATTACTGTCAAGGATAATTTTAATTTGAAACCCTGAATCATGGTGGTATGTCAAATAGATAAGTAGAAACATTCATTTTTCATACATCACAGTCTCATTTCTAATTCTATTAAGGAAATGTTTTTCAAGAAGAGAGAAAAATTCAAGTGTCCTTTTTTCATACATATTCAGCAATTCAAATGTATGAATTTTGACCCAAACTGATACATTTAGCCCCTTAATCTTTTAACTATAAATTAATGCTGATTTGCATTTTCTCAAAAATTGTGGATTACCTTCATCTTCCTCATCACCATTATCATCATCATCATCTGCATCACTGCTAGCACTCTCATCAGATGACACATTAAAGCCATCTTTCTCTAGTCTTTCTCTGGCATTGGTAAACACAGACTGTAGCACAATGGAATCCTCATAGATCTGAAATTAAAATGCACACTTGAAACAGAGTAATTTGATTTTAACGTCTATTAAGTTCGGAAAGAACATGTATAAAATCTATCATGATCGTCTACACTGCAAAGTCTGACTTGAATCTGAATCTGTATGTTGCATGGCTTTATCAGGCATATGCATAGGGAGAGAAAGTAAAGGTTCTTAAGCTCCATGAATGTATAACCTAATGAATGAGACAACGTGTTATTCAAACAAATAAGTGAACACATTACCAAACACTGGAAAATTGTAAAATACTACAATTAAAAATTAAGAAGAAAAAAATTGATGCAGCTGTGCTTGTTTAAAACACTGGAGGTGGGATATACTGACCAGCGATCCTTCAATGTTGTAAGACTGTGCATTCTCACAAAGAGTCAGTACATCTGATTCAAGGTCATCAATACTCCTGTACTTGTGGTCCCTAATGCGTGCCTGTAAAGGAAAACCAATATATGTAAACAAATGTATAAATTCCAGCCTATTGTATTTCAAGCAAGGATAATTTACTTTTTCTTTTGGTAAAATAAACTTGACATCCAACAATGGTAAAACTACATGTTATATACTTTTATTACGAATCCTACTTAATGGGATTCTATTTTAAGTTATGCTACTTATATGACATTGGAAATTCAGAATTTTAACTGCAATACTAATAAAAAAACTTTTCAAAATTTGTGATTATTAACCCTTTGCCCTCGTAAGCAGTTTCAATAAGAAGTGAAGGTATCGAACAAAAAGCAGTCAGTTTATTTGATAAATTCTCTTACATTTCTTTACCAAACGAAAAGCAGTCAGTTTATTTGATAAATTCTCTTACATCTCTTTACCAATCTTGTGTTATCTGAAGTAAGTAGGAGATACCGGCAGCTATTTGAGAAGAAGTTGTGTAAATATCATCCTAACGACCTTCTATTTTTCTTACCCCAGCCATCTAATGTTCAGAATAAAATCAACTCACTTTTATCTTTTTAAAGTCAACTGGTTTGATTATTATCTCGTAGTACTCTGGTAGTTCTTTTTTGGATGGCAGTTGAAAGAAAGCATCACTCAAAACTCTTCCGTCACTGTGAAAATCAACAAGGCAAAAGCATTAATCAAGTTCAATGAATATTTTCATACGGAAAAGCCCCATACTTTATGTTTTCTTTTTATTCAAATCAGTCTTGAAACACAAAATTTCACTACAATCTGCCAAAATCTCATAAATGATTAAAACCAATTGCACCGCAGACAATTGTATGTTTCTTTTTTTCAAATTATGCATCTTTGAAACGAGGTTTGAAGTACAAATCATTCTTCTCTGTGTCTCAAAATCAATATCAGCACAAAGTTTGGCCATGTCTATGCTTCACAATGACAATCTAACATACTTGTCTTTGTAATGAATGATAACATCAAGAAGTTTTTTCATCATCTTTGTGAGTTTGGGTGGGTTTGGTGGTAGCTTTTCCACTGGTGGTCTTCCTCTCTTTTTCTTTGGTTTCTTATCATCATCATCTTCCACAACTACCATCTTGCGTTTCTTTGTTTTTTTCTTCTCTGTGGGTGGCACTCTCTTCACCTGCTCCTCCACCTCCTCTAAATTACCATCTTCTATAGCCTGTTAAATAGCAATCAATGAGACTTGTTAATGCCATGAAAATGTAGACAAATTATTAACTTTCTTTACACAAAAGCAATTCCATGGATTACAGTCCCTCACACACACGAAAGTGAATCCATAAACCAAGTATCAAGTTCCAGCGAATAATAGCAAAGGTGTTAAAGTCTGGATCTACTTTTTCTTTGATGTAGGTCAAAGGTCAAAATGAAGGCCACAGAGCCCTACTTTCGATAAATATTGCTTATAGCAGCTATAGAGGAGATCTCCCGAAACATGATTTAATATACATACCTTGAGCCATTGTTTTTCTGTAAGAGAGTCTGAGTAGTCCACTTCCTTCCTTTGTCTTGATCCACGCCCAAACATTTTATCTTCCTCATCTTCAAACGTCAGTCTCTCAACCTACAAATAAAGACATTGTTATAAGTAAAAGCTACAATCATTCAGCAGCAATGGAAAAGAACTGCAGATTATTTTGAAAATAAACAAGTAGTTTTTTCAAATGATATTTCAAACATTGATTACCTCAGCTTCATCCTTGACTATCCAGCTTGGCAGCTCATCCTGTTCCATGAGTCTGGGTTTTCTGTTTGGATTTCTGGCCTCCTCTCTTCTTCTCTCTATATCCATTTTCTGACCATCAAGTAAAACGTTTTTTAAAATATAACTCAAATTGTCCCTGTCACATTAACGGTGCCATCTAACATCACTCCTGTATAATCTATATCTGTGTTTTGCATCCATGCTTTTATCTTTGTTATTCACATATAATGCTTATCTTTCAATTAACTATACACTTCTTACATATTTTATTTCTTGGTTTTATCTCTGGTTATATCTGACATTGGTTAGACTGACAACAAATACTGTAAGTTATGGATGATACAACCGCATACAACCTAATGCTCTCAATTCAAAGATTACCTGATAGAGGTCAAACTCTTCCTCAGTTCTGGCCAACATCTGATTGATAGTTTCATCATCTGGTACCTCATCTTCCTCCTGATTAAGAACATCATTTAATTTTGAGATACTCTTAAAATGTATTTAATTGGAAAATTTTGGATACCAGGTATATTGTTAATCATAATTGTCCATATTTCAAGCGAAGCTTTTCCCTTTCGTGTTTTAGCAATCCAGAAATGTATGCTCAGCTTTTTAAATGATCTCATAATATTTTATGTTTTACACCAGTATACACAATGAACAAAATAATCATCAATTTTCAAGATTCATTTGCATCAAGAGAATTTAGCAATAATACTGAAATTACAGGAAAATCTCAATAAATGAAAGCATAATGGTTACAATGAAACAGTTATTTTTTTTTTATTATTATTGGTGTGTCCTGAGTGAATATATACCTCAGCTTCATCATTTTCCTGTAACAACAAAGTGGTTAGGAATTGACGTCGCTCCATTCCTGTTGACTTGTTGTCGAACATCCCAGCCTGAATAACCTTTTCATCCACATTTAACTTGTATCGAGCAGCAGCCAGGATCCTCTCTTCTACACTGTTCACAGTCATCAGTCGCAAGACGCGTACCTCATTCTGTTGACCAATTCTGTGAGCTCTGTCCTGAGCTTGCAAATCCTACCAACAGAGGAAAATATGAAATTGTATAGGCAAGGTAAAATCATGATAATCTTTCATGTGATGTCGTTTACAGATGGCTCAGGAAATACAACTCCCTACTCAAACAAATGTGTAAATTTTAAGTGCATACCATAAGTACATTTGAAGTTTAATATGTTATGCAGAATTTTCCACTAATCAGTGGAAATCCTGCGTCAGTTTCACATAAACTTGATTTCAGTATAATTCCAATACTGATGGAAGATGACAGTATTCACAGACGAATGATGACCAGCATGGTTATCTTACAATTACTTCCCTGTAAATCAGCTATATGTTGCGTAATTAAGTAAGTGATAATATGAAGCAGTTACCATTATGTTGGTACCAATGAAGAGACTCTACAAGCTTTTTGTGTTCTTCATTTTATCTATATGAGCAAGACATACCTGATGAGGATTCCAGTCAGAGTCGTATATGATAACAGTATCAGCAGCCTGGAGGTTCAGACCCAGCCCTCCAGCCCTGGTACTCAGTAAGAACACAAAGTATGGAGAGTCATCACAATTGAACACACTGAGAAGCTGGCCTCTGTCATCTGCCTTTGTTGTGCCATCTAAACGCAGGTATCTGTATCCTAAAACATAGAATCACAAAATTGTACACCACTATTGATTCCTATTATCTCAGAACCTAAAGATTAAGACTTGTTTGTTTCAGCAACACATATTGTAATTAATACATCATTTATCAAAAACCAAGTAAGTAAAAAATGGGTTGCAGACAACAGATAAAAGCTCCTAAACAAAAATTTTCTTCAATGTTCCCTAAACAGTTCACAGGAGAAATACCCCATGCCTCATTATACACAAGGCTCATTTGTCTCAATCAGGTCTATTCTTTATTCTACACTTAACATGTTCCATAGTGTATTAAATGAACTATTGAATGTAGACTGAACTTTTGAATTACCTCTTCAGATGAATTTTAAAACAATTCTTCATACATCTTTTTCATTAAGCACTTTGAAATTTCTTTAATCACACAGCCATGCAACCATCTTGAACATCCAGTTCCACAAATGACCTAACCTAGATACAGTTTTAGTGCTCACATTTATTTAGGTCCTTTTGTACAATTATCTTTAGGATATTTCATACCTTTGTAGACAAAGTAGTCCTCCATGATACTCATAAGTGAAGTCATCTGACAGAAGAGTAGCACTCTATGGCCTGTTGCCTTGAGTTTAGGGAACATTCTGTCCAGCAGCTCAAACTTCCCAGCAGCTCGGTACAACTCTGGCCTGTTACAGAATAATTACAATTGCATTTTCATTGTATGATAATATTGCAAAAAATAATTCAAAATACATACAGGATAACAAAAGCTTGCCATATCACTCAAGCATTCTAGAGTGTATTTGTAGGAAAAATCAACACATTTATCATGAATGTCAAAAAATGTTTCCTTTCAGTTTTTTTTCTTTGAGGCTTATATAATAACCAAATAAATGAAGCTATGGCTTATTTATGCCTACATCATGTAAAAACTCAAACCATCATTTGGAATAAATGAATACATACCCTTGCACAACATTAGTTGACAAGCCTTGGTGCTCTGCAAATGCCTCTTCTAAATGTTGGAACATGAATGGATGATTGCAGATCTTTCGTAACTGCATGATGGTATTCATCATTGTCTTGGCACCTCCTCTGCCCTGTGGACAAATTTCATAAATTAAGAATATTGTGGAAATATGAAACATTGATTTTTATGATTTCAATCTTTTTTTTTCTTTTCTATAATCACAAACCACTTCTTTGAACATTTCATACTTAAAACAATTCATGTTTGCTGTACTTATATTTGTGCCTTAACTGCAAATTTAACAATTAATACATTATTAATGTAGGTACTAAACTGATGTTTACCAACCTTTTTGTCCTTTTCAGAGCCATCTGTCAACAAAATGCCTCTAGACTGCATGTGTCTGTAAACGACACGCTGAAGTGCTGACATCTCACATTTGATCACATACTCAACCTATAAAGATTAAAAAATAAGTCATGTCAAACTTAAAAAGACCAACATGTGCTGAAGTACAGTAGAAAAGGAATTGATAATCTTAAGATATTATTGTTACGGCTGTGATCATACCTTGTCAGGCAGCTGAGATTCCACCTCCTTCTTCAGACGTCGTAACAAGAATGGACGTAACACTTTGTGTAAACGTCGAATAATAAGGAGGGTCTCTTCTTGATTTAACTCAACCTGGAATCAGATGTAAAAGAATGTAACAAAATATAAAGCCACGCCAGCACAACTCAAGAATGGACACTGAATAAAGGCTAGTCTAGCAAAACATCTACCTGATGCTAGGACTTCAAAATAAATCATTCTTAGCAAACTACTGTCTACTCATTCATTTTCATAAAGGATCTATTTTTATGATTTCATTGGAACTTAAAATCCAAGAATGTTATATTAGTATAGGAAGATCTATCGAGCTATATTTATCCATGAAATCAAGTGTTCACAAGATATCATTTTTAAAATAGAAAAATCATAAAAATTGAACCCCAAAAAATGCATGATTTTAGAGTATCAATTCAAATTCTATGAAAGATACCCCGAAACAAAACCTAGAGATCTGAGGTCAGATCGATAAAAATGTCCAAAGATTGATAAAAATGTCCAAAAATAATCAAACCTATCACTACAGATAGTTAATAAGGAATATACCTTTATAACAGCACACTTTTAAATGTGAGTAATGAGAATTATTGAGAACAAGACTTCAGTTTTCCTGGAAATCACTTCAGATACCAATGATAAATATTTACAATTTTCTGCAGTATGTAATACTGATGCAAAACTTTACATGTAATTCCACAGATTTGGTATCACTGTACATACTTAGACCAAGTAAACTCACACAACATTAGAATGAGCCCCACTGGAATAACTGAATATAAGTGCTATACTGTACCTTTTCTCCAGTCATGGCAAAAGGTGCATTGAACCACTGTTCAAATGTAGTACAGCATTTGAAGATACTTGGCAACAGGAAGTTAAGAAGAGCCCATAATTCTGGCAGTTTGTTCTGTAAACAAATAATGAATTTATTAGGTAACACCTTTTACAACATTATAGCTTTTAAACAATTATACATCATTACATTGCCTAAAGCAACTTTTCAAGCAGACTGTAATTTGTAAGAGTGTAAACAATGAAACTACACTTGTATTTATCTATTAAATAGGGAAAATTTACTTTTATCAAATATGTCAATATTAGGTCACAGTCTTACCTGAAGAGGTGTGCCTGTCAACAACAAGCGGTGGGGAGCACAGTAGTGTGTGTTAAGAACCTGAGTCAGTTTACAATGGTGGTTCTTCATGCGATGTCCTTCATCAATGATCATATACTTCCAACGCAACTAGAAAATTTACAAAAAAAACCACTTTGAACCAAGGACTGAAGATAAAAATGTTAAGAGTCTTTTTTTCTTATGAAATAGCACTGAATGTTCACAAATTCCATGAAACACTTATCTGACTTCCCACATCTAAAAATATTTGAAATGCATGTTACGATGAAGAAATATTCATGCAACTGGACACTTTCCAAACCAAAACAACATTAAACCAGCAATCAAAAATTTGGGAAACAATGGCTGGAAATTAAAATGTAAGTAGTATATCAATTTACCTTTGCTAAGACAGACTTGTCCTTAATGATGTATTCATATGTCGTAAGCAACACATTGAACTTGCCCATCTTGAGTTGTGGAGCTAGGGCACGTCTGGTGACAGGAGAACCCTTGTATGATATAGTAATGACTGAAGGTGCCCACTTTTCTATCTCCAAAAGCCAATTTGAGAGTGTACTGTAAACAAACACAAGTAAAAGCCAATTTGAGAGTGTACTGTAAACAAACACAAGTAAAAATGTTTTAATACTTCCAAGTCTTAATGTTTGCCAAGTATATTTGTATAAGTATATAAGTATGTCTACGTATACAATTTCTAAATAAGATATTAAAATCACAACAAATATTCAATTATGGTATAAAACATTTGATCATGCCTTTAACGAACTATTAATGATACAAGAGTTTGTACATAACAATGACAGTACAACATGAAATTAGACAAATCCTTTTAGTTGCCAAACTTTTAACCCATGTGAGTGTTGTTAAACTGAACCATTATGTACCAATATTTATGGTTCTGTGTGTTGTAAGAATCTTAGTTCACAGACAAGGGTTTAATACTATTTATTTTTAATATCTAAAATATTTTGTATATATAATATATGGGTTTGAAATCGACAACATATTCATGCTTTCTGTAAAGACAAAGTACATACGAGAGTGGAACAATGATGAGGAATGGTCCATTAATCCTCTTGGTCTCCATAAGGTAGGTAATCAAGCCAATGGTTTGGATTGTCTTTCCCAGACCCATTTCATCTGCCAGAATACCATTCAAATTGTTGTTATACAAAGACACCATCCACTCCAATCCTTTGATCTGTTTAAACACAAATAAGATCATTTTAGTGTAGAACAACAACAATTTAGCAAAAGTGCAAAATAAGACACACTCAAAACATGTAGTCCCAACTAGAATGAGGCTTGACAAGTACTTAAGTAGTTTTATTTCATTACTAATCTTTAAAAAATGATCAAAGCATAACTAATAAGGTCAAGGAATGTAAAGAACATTGTGAAGAAAGAACACTCAATGAAATGTAATGTGTTAGCTATTTCCTTACAGACCTGGTAGTGTTTCAGTTTTCCATTGATCATGATGCTAGCCTGTTCAGTCACAGACTCATGAACAGTGTGAGCTACATTGTAGTAATTCCTCATTTCCACTTGGTTATGATATTCATCATCATCCAGACGTGATTCTGCAGTTCTGTTGAGACAATGATAATATAAGCATCAGTCTCCAAATTGTACACAAATCAAGTAAATTTGAAACAAACATTAAATATTAAAATCCTTTTAAATTGTGAACAGGTGTTATTCAATAAGATCACTGTTAATCAATCTTTTGACAAATAATATATTTCAACAAGGTAACTTACTTGATAATTTCTGTTGCTTCATGTTCAGCTAAGTCATCAACTGACTGTATCTGAGGTCTGTTGATGGCTGGAGGGGGAAGTGGCAATATCTCTTCCTGCTGGTGATGAAAGATGCACACATTTTTTGTTGAAGAAATTTCATACTCTATTTCGAGTTATTAATCCTCTACATAATGCATCTACTAGGAAAGTTGCATATAACCAGACAAAATCATTTGTAGATAAAATATTGATTTGTACAACTTTTTAATCAAACTTTTTCGTATACCTTCTGCAAAATTAAACATAAGATTTCAGAAGTATTAATCTAAAGGCAAGCTTTTCTTCTTAATGAAACTTTTAAAACAAACTTACCTCTTCCTCCTCTTCCTCTTCATCATCTTCTTCACCATCTTCTCTAGGGGCTACTTCATACCTTAATTAATTAAAAAAAAGTAAACATTCACATCTCTAATACATTTTGAGAGAACCTGCAAGGAAATACGAAATTAAAACATACTAATCGTTTAAATCTCACACAAAAAAAGTTCCATCGTATTGGAGTATTTTCTTACCCTGGATGCATTTCTAACCAGGCTTCAAGTTGACTGGACATTGGAGCATCTTCACCACTCAGAACTTTACCGGTGTTTGTTTCTATCACAGATATTCTTGGTTCACTCATGTTCGAACTCTCATCAGGATTCTGTAAAGCAACAGTACTTATTACCATCAAGCAACAAATACAGGATTCTATCATTATAGGAATCAGGTTTCCAAAACCTAAATATTGCAATGGAATACTTGTTCTTTTTGAGTCATATCAAATCTTTATGTTTTTCAAATATATTCCCTGTTAGTCTGAGTAACTGGCGTTTGGTAAATCATATTAGTGGTATTTGGTCCATTATATTATTGGTACATTAATAGATTGTACTACAAAAATTTTTTTTTAAAAATCAAATCATCAATAAATAACATACATCAGGATGATCACCAGGTTCCTTCTTCTTTTTGTTTTTTCTGGCCTGTTTCTTCTTCCTTATTTCCTCTTTATGTGCTGATACCAGAGACATGAGGTTTGTGATGTATTCATCAGTCTGGTGAAGGAGGTATGCCAGACGCTTGTCTTTCTTTTGATCAATGAGTTTTCTGTAACCTTCTTCATCTTCCGCCTATACAATAAACATTATCAATTTTATTTTCAATTCAGTACGACCGCACAAGATTGGCAATAAAAAAAATATTTGTAAATTTTATCTCCAGTTTAACTGATATTTTCACCCTTAAAGAGACAAATTCAGCAAGGTAATAAAGACATTGATAAGCCCGAACATAATTTCTACACAATGAATTTTCAACCAAAGGATGAAATGACACAATAATATTACAGATGAATTAACACACTTACCATGAGTCTTCTCATACGTTCTTTCTCTAGTCTTTCTTGTTCCTTCTTCTGTTCTCTTTCTGTGTTAGCATGATGTACCATCACAGCTTTGTTCAGTTTGCTGATCTTTGCAGATACATTGCGATGGAATTCTTTGAAATCCTTTGCATGTTGCAGCACAGCATTTAGATATTCCTGCAATTTTCCGTGGGGAAGTTAAAAAATTTGATTCAGTGAAATATTCTGTCAATAAATGTTTAAGACATCAATGTCATTAGCATATTTTAATATGTGATAACTCTTTCACTACATCTTGAAAGAATACTTAACAATGCAATCAATAGCCAAATTAAAAACACCTAATTATACCTGGCAATTGCCAAACTGAATTGGTACAGCAGTAATAAATATCCTAATCACCAATATGAAACTAAAATACAATCAAACATCATTATCTCCACCTTGGTAGGCCATGGGAAACTTCAAGAGAGCAGAGTATTTGATGTAGGCAAGTTCAAATGTTTTGTGTCAAGATAGGCAGAGACCCGACAAAATGCTTTGAATTAAATGTGGTCTTCGAGTTATACAAGTTCGACATAGCGAGGTTTGACTGTATCAAATAAATACTGGCATCACATTAAGAACCTGGATCCATATGTGTATGATGATGAATAGACAAATGAATTACTCCACAGACAGGAAGTTTTGACACTTCTTCAGAAGCTACATTGATTCATCTCCTCACTAACCTGATGTTTCTGTCTGCGTCGCTTTTCATGTTCCAGTTTCTGTTGTTTTTCAAGTTTTTCTGTGACACGTGCCTCCCTCAGTGACTGTCTCTTGCTTCTCTTATAGGCTTTGGTATTTAATGCAGTCTCCAGAGTTGTATCTTTCCTCATATATGCTACAACCTCTGACCTCAACTGTATTGATCCAGAAAACAATTCATTTATCATTCACATTCAACTCACTGAAGATATTTCAAAATCAAGTATTATTATTTATCAAAATGAATTTTATCTTAAAAACAATATGAATGAGGTTGCTGATTTTTTTTTTTTTACCTGTCTTTGAAAATTGAGTAATCTCAGAGCTCTGAACTCAATCATGGCTTTAACTTTCATATCTTCCTCCATTATTCCTGGCAGGTATTCAAGTTCTTTTATTCTTGATGATATTCTGGATGAAATTCTGTAATATGTATGGATCAATTAGAAGACAATATAAAATATTTGAGATTCACACTTTGTTTAAATGAAATTTGGTCGGTTTCGAATGACATTGATTATGTCTTCAATCTATACATTTATTGTAAAATCATAATTTCTGCGGAGGATTTATTTTCATTCACTTTGTGGGTACGAAAACTGAAACAAATGTAAGTACATTCATTGGGCTATATTTTTCTACAAAATTATGTGTCCATGAAATATCATTTTTGGAGAGATCACAAAAGTTGAGCTTCACAAAAATACATGTTTTCACAGGAGCAATAATGACCTCCATAACATCTACTTATCTGCAATAATCTTATATCAAAAACAACATCTAAAATAATCTAATCAAGGTGTATATAAACCTTACAATCAAGACTAACAGCTTTATTTACTTAGCACAATGGGTATTCCATAGGGCATCTTCAAAGCTTGTTCTGTTACTTTGATATACTTTGATCTTTAGTATATAAAAACAAGGTTCTAATACTGATTTTGCTTTTGTCACAATTCCAGTTTGCAGGAAATCTTACCTGTTTTCTCTTTCATTGAGGATCTCTAAAGGGTCCAGCCCCTGGGGTTTAGCAACAGGTGCAATCCGACTCTGCTTTTGTTGCATAGAAAGCACAGATTGGACAGAAGAGGGAGGTGTCTGTTGGGATTGGGGACGGGGCTGTGAGCCCTGCTGGGTAGGCTGACCAGGTTGTCCCTGGGGCATATTTTGCCCACCTGGGTAATGCATGTTTTGCGGAGGCATATGAGGTTGCGGCGGTTGTTGAGGAATTCGCTGTTGTTGGTTAGAGTCTGTAAAATTAAAAACATTTCATATCATGTAAAAGTTATTAGTCTGGCAAAAATAAACTTTAGTGCATTGTCACTTTTTGAAAATTGGTGTAATGATGAAGAAGCCATCTACTAAGATTGCTTAATAAAATGCACTCAGAAACAACATTCATGGCAATCATATTTTAGTGCAATATGTTTCAGCATGAAAAACACCAAATAAGATTGCCTTAAAAATATGTATGTTAAGAGTACTGATTAATATTAGTCCTTTCAAAATATAAACTTTTTTGTTTGGGTATTAAAATGAAAAGTTAGTATTCAATACAAGGAAAGGAGAATTACATTTTTTAGAAATTTTCATACCCATTCTTTTCAGATCATTTCAGAAAAGTAGCTAGTGAGATATCTGTATTATGAGGGAGCTGCTTTAATAATGTCCTCTGTAAAACCTCCCTATTGGATTTGAATAATTTTTTTTAATTATCTCTAACATCTCTTTTGTAGTCTTACCCATCATTGGTCTTGATCCACTCCCAAATTGGCGTTTTCCTTCAATTGCCATGCGTACATTTTCTGGAATGCTTTGGTTTCGTGCTAGAAGTTTGTAGGCCATGATCTGTCCCCGCAGTTGCGTAAGCTGGGGGGTTGAGAAGTTGTATCGTGATGGACCACCACTCTGGTTTGGTGGCATGTTCTGCTGGCCTGGAATATACACATTGTATCGATGTATTTGATGTAGTAACACACAAAAAGTTTTTGTCAACAATATTTAAACCTTATAGAAAATACCTAACTATAGACTGCAAGTATATTTCCTTATCTACCAATTTCAAAGTTCTTGTAACACAGTACTTAAAAAACTTTTAACATTTAGTACTTGTGCTATTTTGATGAATCTATTTTGCAATAGTCATAACACTTACCAAAATTTAGACAATTTTTAATCATGTTAACTATCAATTCTACAATTAATATCTACCTTGCTGATTTTGATCTTGATCCATCCTTGAATTAGGTGGCCCCAATGATGAATGTCCGTTTCCATGACTCATGGATCTCATGTCATCCATTGGCATAGAATGACCCATTGGACCTCCAGAACTACCACCAGACATACCATGATTTCCCATCCCAGAACTATTTCCAGTCATTGGTCCATTCATACCTGGTCCACCCATACCGGGGGACCCTCCACTGTTACTGGGCATTCCTTGACCACTCTGGTTTGCCATGTTGTATCCACCCATATTTGGTCCACCAGACATGTGTGGACCCGACGGCTGACTGACATTTGGTCCTGCACTGCTGGAGCTATTTGGCATGTTTTGAGGTAAATTCATGTTGGGTGGACCACTAGGAGGTGCTGTCATGTTGGGTCCTCCCAATGCAGGGTTTGGCATACTAGAGCCTGACATTCCCATAGACCCATTGGGCATACCCTGATTTGGTCCCATGTTTCCCATCCTGTGAGGCTGACCTCCACCCATGTTCTGGCCCCCAGGTCCAGGCATACTTTGCTGACCTGAATGCATTCCCTGTGGTCCACCAGGCATCATACCTGGCCCACCAGACATCCCCTGTGGTCCTGGAGGCATGTTGTGAGAGGAGCCAGGCATTCCTTGATGACCTCCCATACCAGGAGACGGGGACGTAGCCATCCTCTGACCTTGGTTTTGTGATCGAGGGCCCTGCATGCCATGGTGCTGTGGTCCACCTGGCATTCCTTGGGACATACCACCAGGCATTCCTGGAGGGTGCATGCCAGATCTGGCCCTGTCAGCCATTGCCATTAGTTGTGCATATCTTGGATCTTCTTGCAACCCCTTTTCTTCCATTTGATTCATTGCCTGAAAGAGTTGGAAATTCAATGACATGACTGGCAAATCATTTGAAAAATACAATTCTTGTGATCGAGTATCTTACGTCAAACATTAGAACATATATTCTCCCAAAAAGTCTCAATTCAAAGAGATGTTCACAACAACTGATACAAACATATATGGCCAAGTCAAGTTAAAGCATTAACCTTCTGAATCATTTGCATGTTATCTTGGGCCTGGTTCTGCTGTGGGTAACCTGGAACAGGTGGTGGGGGACCAGGCATCATCTTGTCTTCCCCTGCAGCCATCACGGCACAGAGGGGTAAGGCTTCCTGGCCTGTTACAAAACAAAGAAATACAATTTAAAAACATTATAACCTGACTTTCTGCCTGTTAAAATGTACTTTCTTCCTGTTCAATGGCAGAAGTTCTTCAGTTTTTCAATCACTTCAGAAAAACAAAGATTTTGAATAAAACTGAGTATCATATAAAGTTAAGCTGGTTCATGGTCAAAAACGAATAAATTTGTTTTGACAATTTTCAATTTTTTCACATTGTAAGGCAAATGCACGCCTATCCCAAAGGAAATAATAAACAAGTTTTTGAACCCAAGAATACTCTTCAAATCTTCCTCTCAACTAAAACAGCTTTAGATGACTACCAACAACATATTTGCTAAGGACATATTGCACTGGTTATATAAATATTTCTGTCAATAAGATAATACTTGATTATTTGCTGGGTTTATTGCCATATGAACAGTTATGGTCATTTTGAGACAATGTCTCCACGTAGTACCTCATTGATTAATACACCTGTCACATACAACCAATAACAATTAAGATAAAGCATCTTGCACCTTAAAACACAACAGTGGAACTGTTGTTTCTCAATTTCCTGTGAAACACAAAACGCTACAAATAGGGAGCATCAAAGCACACACCCCAAGTCTTCTCCACTGGTTAGTCAACTGAGCTATCACAGCTCCTACTCAAGTTGTAATGTTATACAATAGATTCTGTCTGTTAACAAATGCTATCTTTATACAGCAACACATGATAGGACATATTTTCTTATTACAAATCCTAACAATAAGTTAATTTTGCTTCATTTGCTTGTATCACAAATACAATAAAACAAAACACACTTCTAAGTCCATGAACAGATAGCTTTAAGCAATAGTAATGCTGTTCCTGATAAAAAATGTAATATTCAAATGTATAGTTTAATTTAATTTCTTATATCAAGGCACAGTAATTTCACTCTTTTAAGAATACCAAGTACAATTATTCTGGGCGATAGAACAGTTCACCACCACTGAACTCATTATCCAAATAGAATCATTAAATCTAATTAGAGTGATCAAGCAAAGAAATACCACTTACTTATAAAATAAAATCAATCTAATATTATTGTATGTACATATAGAATTTCCTTTCACAGATATGTCTCGCACAAGAGTATCCTACAACTTAAATTCTGACCTTTAATCTATGGACACTAAAGTCGTCAAACAAACCGATGGTTAGTGAGTGTAAATAAATAAAAAGTACAGTGATAATTGATACCGTTTCTACTAAATTTCTGATAAGTTTCAAAAAAAGATTATTCATGAGTACCCTATTTTCCCTTATACTGGCAATTACAGAATCTGCACCCAGACTGGCCACAGAGAGAGCCATGCCACTTTAAAAGTGTTAATTAAATAATAATTTTTAAACTTATGAAATATAAACTAAAATAGTACCAAAATCATCTATGGTGAGTTTCATAAAAATAGCGCGGCAGTTGGTCTACTTTTGCTTTGCCTATAAAATACATAATTAGGATCCTAAACAAAGTACATGGTCGATTCACATGTCCCGATAACGGTCGGCCTCCCTGGCATGCCGGTAATGAAAAATCGAAGATATATCTTTGTGTTATTTCAAAATTTTCCATGACAATAAGTCTTGTGTCGTTATATGACCTGAATTACATGATAAGTGTCTTTTTTCAGTTATTATCAATATCAGTTGTTCAGAAACAGGAATAGTAAAACGATCTTATGAGTGAAGAGAAACGCTAGTCAGCCATCCAGCCATGTTTGATCCTAGCCATGACAGGCTATTTTAAACGTATAAATCCGAACACATTCTGTGGTATCGAATAATCCATTACTCAGTGGTAGATATTCCTCAACTCTCACATTCTAGACAAATACACAAAGATATTTTTACATAAATATGAACACAACGGACACCACGTATGGAAGAATTCGACCGGAGTAGTGTCGGCCGACGATCAACAAAGACACAACAACGTCGCCAATAAATCCCAATTTTTCGTCTTTACAGACCATTTGGACCCAAGAAATGCTCCTGTCACAGTACCACAAGCTGCAATACACAACTTAACACTATGTTTACGCAGAGCGACCACGCTGCTTACCGGCTTTAGGGACTTTTCGTTCCTACAGTGGCACAGTGTAGATCAAAGAGTCGATCGGTAATATTCTTTATCGTCACACCGCGCACTGAGTGCGGCGCAGCCCACGCGACCTTGGCGTTTACGAAGAATAACTATAGTCTATTTCAAGATTACGTCAGCGAGGTCACCACCGTAACACGATCCTCGGACCTTAGCGGTCAGTAACATGTCGTAATGTATTATTGAAGATAGAATGCATTTACGGCAAACACTATTCAATGTTATATCATTCTAACGAGTCCAGTAAAGGAATCGGAATTTGTTGCGAACAACCGAACGTTGTGTGTAGATGCCGCGTGACTGTGCTAATGACCCAAATAGCACGTTGCATCTTTGGCAGCCGTCTGCATTTTTTCACGAATGTCTCGAATGAAAATTTGTCACCGATTGTTTTATATGTATATTTCTGAAGCTATTTGACACTTGTTCTTATTTATTGCATTAATAGTTTGTAATGTAGTTTGAAAAAATGCAAAACAAAATTTTCGACGATTTTCTGTATGGTTAGCTTAATGTTGAATAAAGATCTTGGGTAAAAATGTCGACATGCATTGAGTATGCATATGAAAAATGAAGTTATTTTAACTCACACTTACGAGAATTGACATTTTCTTATTCAACAGCTTATAAAAACAATGGATATTGATAATTATGAATGGAAATCTCGACCATATTAATTTTGTTACGTTGTGATCGGTACGTTTAGAATGAGATTTCATAACAAACGGCGATTGAAAACTGTAAAAGGTAAAAGGAGGCGGACGTTTTCTAAAGCTTTACAGATTGAATAGCGATTCCGTACGATTGTCAGACGTCAAACTAGTCTTCTAGTTTATTAAAGGCGGGCTTTTGAAATGCTTTGTCCGTGGTTTGACTATGTAATGTATGTGCTAGGCTGCGACCATGATGTACGGTAGATCTTATACGGAGTAAACCTATTTGCATCATCTTAGGAAGAGACTTTCGATTGTGAAATTTAAACTTAAAGCTTTGATTATGACACCAGTGTACAGCTTTTTAAATTTAATAATTAAAGTCTTATATGGTTCAATCATAATGGTTATAACTTCACAGTTTATCGACACAAAGACACTTTCAAGAACTGTATCACACCACATATTCATAAATCAGTCATATCTCAGTCCATCAATGCTTTCTTTATAGGGGGCCGCGGTTTCTCAGTCGGTAGAACTAACTCTAGTTGAGACCCTAGGTTTATGGTTCTAACCCTTTCACATACAGGCCTGCTTGCGGAACTCCTTTGTATATCTCTAGAAACTTGTTATGATGAACCTCCCGCATGCTGTTCAATTAAGAGGTCACCAGTTGCTAATTGATTAAAATATAACGAGACACCACCTTGCTGTTCACTTGACGATTAAAACAATGTATAAGTTATGTATGACTCGAGTGGTCAAAATGGGCACCACTGACTTCATTGTTTCTTGATGTTGCAAAGTCCAATGTTTTTAAAGTCATAGGCCTAACGGTTAAAGGCATATTTTTTGTTTGTTTTTGTTTTAACTTACTTTCAAACAATTGGTTTAGTTTTTGTTGTTGTTGTTGTTCCCTCTGCTCTCATTTTTACCATACGTTGCATAAGCCACCAATGCACCAAAGGATTAAGCTCAATTTCTTCCATGAGATAAAATATGGCAACTAATTCCTTTTTGTTCTCTTCTTTTGAAAGTATTGCGTTGTAAATTTCTTAGTGAAATCAATTTGAGAATACTATATAATATGGAGTGATGAGATATGATATCAGTTAATATGAGGAAATACAATTGATGTCCGATATGTGACACAATACAAATACTTATGATCCAGCTTTACATAATGCTTTGAATATTTCGGTTATCGTCTACCCTTTGCGTCGTCTGCAATTTTGACTTAAAGAAACAGACTATAACTTTTGCAGCGGATAGTCGAATCGATTTACGTCCCCTTCCACGGGAACCAATGAAAACACTTCCGTAAATGGCGTCCATGGAGGCGGGGGCTTTTGAGCTTTATATCATGTGCATCAATCTAATTTAGAAAGGTAAAGACGAGCACAGAATTTAAACTAAATGTCATGAATGTTATTTTCGTTATTTTACAAAGTAGAAACAAGATAAATAATGTAGTCAGTCTGATTTTAGCAAAATCTAGTAGCGTAGACATAAAGTATCATTAGCATGTCTCAACCTGAAACGGCTGAATATATGAACTACATAATGGCTTCTCAGTGGCATAACATGTGATAATTGTTGTCTTTGCCCCTGATCCTTGCAATCTGCCTATAAATTTTAAACGGGTTGTTAGATCTGTGGTTTATTGGTAGCTACGAATTTTCTAGGTTCTGCTGTTCTTGGCAATGATATAAGTGCATATTTGGTTATTGCTTGTGATTTTACTCCTCGAAGTGTTTCATCGACAAATAAATCATGCAATAACTATATGATCACGAATATTGTCACTGAATTTGGACTTACTGAAGTTTTCAATGGATTTTTTCATATTTTGCAAACAATAAGAATCTATTTGTGTGCATATGTGTTGTTTCAATAAACTTTGGTTTGATTATTTTTTTCAAATGTGTCAATTACGAGATGAATTAGTGCAGAGTCCAGATTTATTGGGGAATCTAAGTCTTCTTAAGGAAGAATTTTGTGGTGTGGATTATAAGTTTCCAAAATGAGAGTTTTAATAGTCCACGTTACATCTAACACTAATGTAGACCAAGCTTCCTCTGTCATGGGGACTGTAAACCTGTCAATCCGTCAATCAGTCAGTCTCCTGCACCATACTCAAAATATTTGCATTACATTAGGAGCCTAAGGAGACCTCTGACGGTGGTACATAGTGTACTGAGTATATATCAAATGAAATTTTGACAGACAATGAAAATGTACTACAGTTGGTATCAGGTACTCAACAAATTCTTTTTAATTAATTTTGATAATTCAAAGTTGATTAATTGATTGAAATTACTAGAGATAATTATAATATTTTCTATTAATCTCTGTTATCTTCATGAAATGATACATATGTCATGGTGTTGAATATTGATGCAGGTTTGCTCATAATTGAATATCAGCTAAATTGAAATGGTGTAAATAATTGGTACTATACAACTAGCTTCCAACATTAAGCATTTTGTGATATTGGATGTGATGTTTATATTAAAGCTGAGAGTGAACATTTTAAAAATAATTTCTTTCCACACATTTTTCAGATTTTCCTATTTCAGACCCTGTTTTCCTAGCCAAAAATGTCCTTTGTTAGAGTGCGTAGAACTTCTGCTATTCCTCGCAAGAAGAAACCTATACGACGAAAACCTGTATGGGATGTGAGTAATGTTAAATATTGCATAAATGTTAGCAACATAAATGTAGTGAAATGCAGTGATAAAAATTATTATTGACTTGCTGTAACAGAAGTTGAAAGGAAATTTTCTCTTTAAGACATGTGCGATATATTCTGATATGGTATTTGCTGGGTGGGTAGGTGGCATCAACCATCATTTGTATCAAGTGTATGTTTATTCTCCATTTCAATGTTACTGGGTTATCTTATTTACATCAACATTATTTGCTATATTTTTGTGCTTTTGAAAGTGTCCTAAAGCAGAGTTGTGTTTTGGTCTTTTCCTCTTTTTGTACAGACTATGACTTTTGACAGTTTCTGATTTTTAGTCATATTTTGTAAATATTTTCATCTCAGAATTGAAAAATGTCTCAGGCTAAAATAGTGGCACCCTCACATCTTTACTTATTGCTCCATGTTTCTTTTTCTTTTTTGAGACTTTTGGCTATATCATTTACAATTATCTAGACTTTGTAGTTGATATACATGTTCATCATGGTAAAGGTGACTATATAATGATGTAACTCTACCGAAATGGTGTTCTGAAGGAGTTATCTCCCTCTTTATCTGGTATGGACCATAACATTGCTACTTAATATTTAGTATACATTTTTTTGTATTTAAAATTACATTAACATTTTCAAAACTGTTTCCTGTGTGGCTCGAGCCCTCAATAGCATTATTGTTGACTTCAGTGTGATATACAAATGTCGATAGAATGTCAGAATAATTTGGATTATTTCATCTTGTGACAGAACATCTTAAGAATTGAATCAATTTTTTGTTTTATGTACTCATTTAAACTTTACAGAATATGTTTATGTTGTCATAATTGTTTTTAGATCCTCTGTCAGTTTTTGACAGATCTCTTTCAAACTTGGTAGACTTTGATTCCTTGAAGTTTGAAAAAGATTTGGAATTGTTGTTATTGTTGTTGATGGTGTTGTTATTGTTTACTTAGGCATATGATATATATATACTGTTCCACCACTCAGTGTTCTCATCCGTATTCATTCATTTTATTAAATCCCACCAAAAACTTGAGTGAACAGAAATCACCCTGTGGTATGTGAATGTTTGATCATTATAGATAGTAATTTCATCAATTTTCTTCTGAGTCTTAGAAACTTTGGGAAAAAAATTGAACATTGTTAAAATTGTAACACAGTTTACTGTCTGTAAGTCCTCACTTATTATTTGTAAACTCTTTATTAAAAGAGATACAGTCTTAGCTGTTCTTTTCTATTTTATTGAAAAATAACTCTATACAGTACTACTTATCTGAATGAGATATGTAAGTACTTGTAGATAATCTATGATTGTTTTCAATAAAGTAATGGTTTTTCTGTATGTTCACAGGACACAGTGAATGATTTAACAGCACTGAAGGCAACACCAGAAGAAATAGTAAGTTGGTCATATTAAATTTTTATTTAATTCAAAGAACAATTGAAAACAAGGGAATCCACTACAGTATCCTGGGGGAAACAGATATATACTAAAGGTATTGACTCTAAAATATAACTTAGTTACAAATGGTAAATTGCTGAGTTTTATATCAAATTATGTAAACAGTATATAACTATGTATTTATGTTATTTTTCTAATAATCTTGTACATATTCTAAAAATGATTCACCGTTTTTTGTTATTTAGGAATACAGAAAAGCATCTCACCAGTCAAAACATGCCTTGGCTGCTAGACTGCAAAAACAGAAAGACCTCCAAAAAAAAAGTAGGTATTTAGTCTGGTGAAAAGTAGGTACTTAGTCAGGTAAAAAGAAGGTTCTTAGTCTGGTGATAAATAGGTACGTAGTCTGGTGATAAATAGGTAGGTAGTCTGGTGATAAATAGGTATGTAGTCTGGTGATAGATAGGTAGGTAGTCTGGTGGAAAGAAGGTACTTAGTCTAGTGGTGAAAAGTAGGTACTTAGTCTGGTGAAAAGAAGGTACGTAGTCTGGTGATAAGAAGGTACGTAGTCTGGTGATAAATAGGTACGTAGTCTGGTGATAAATAGGTAGGTAGTCTGGTGATAAATAGGTAGGTAGTCTGGTGGAAAGAAGGTACTTAGTCTAGTGGTGAAAAGTAGGTACTTAGGCTGGTGATAAAAAGGTACATAGTCTGGTCAAAAGAAGGTTCTTAGTCTGGTGATAACTAGGTAGGTAGTCTGGTGATAAATAGGTAGGTAGTCTGGTGATAAATAGGTAGGTAGTCTGGTGGAAAGAAGGTACTTAGTCTAGTGGTGAAAAGTAGGTACTTAGGCTGGTGATAAAAAGGTACATAGTCTGGTCAATAAGAAGGTACTTAGTCTGGTGATATATAGGTAGGTAGTCTGGTGATAAATAGGTAGGTAGTCTGGTGGAAAGAAGGTACTTAGTCTAGTGGTGAAAAGTAGGTACTTAGGCTGATGATAAAAAGGTACATAGTCTGGTCAAAAGAAGGTTCTTAGTCTGGTGATAAATAGGTAGGTAGTCTGGTGATAAATAGGTAGGTAGTCTGGTGGAAAGAAGGTACTTAGTCTAGTGGTGAAAAGTAGGTACTTAGGCTGATGATAAAAAGGTACATAGTCTGGTCAAAAGAAGGTTCTTAGTCTGGTGATAAATAGGTACGTAGTCTGGTGATAAATAGGTACGTAGTCTGGTGATGAGGAGGTACGTAGTCTGGTGATTAATTGGTACGTAGTCTGGTGATCAGTAGTTACGTAGTCTGGTGATCAATAGGTACATAGTCTGGTGATAAATAGGTACGTAGTCTGGTGATAGATAGGTACGTAGTCTGGTGATGAGTAGGTACGTAGTCTGGTGATAAATAGGTACGTAGTCTGGTGATAAATAGGTACGTAGTCTGGTGATTGGTGATAAATAGGTACGTAGTCTGGTGATTGGTGATAAATAGGTACGTAGTCTGGTGATAAGTAGGTACGTAGTCTGGTGATAAGTAGCTACGTAGTCTGGTGATAAATTGGTATGTAGTCTGATGATCAATAGGTACGTAGTCTGGTGATAAATAGGTAGGTAGTCTGGTGGAAAGAAGGTACTTAGTCTGGTGGTGACAAGTAGATACGTAGTCTGGTTATAAGTAGTCTGTGATGAATAGGTACTTAGTCTGGTGATAAATAGGTAGGTAGTCTGGTGATAAATAGGTAGGTAGTCTGGTGGAAAGAAGGTACTTAGTCTGGTGGTGAAAAGTAGATACGTAGTCTGGTGAAAAGAAGGTACATAGTCTGGTGATAAGTAGGTACGTAGTCTGGTGATAAATAGGTAGGTAGTCTGGTGGAAAGAAGGTACTTAGTCTGGTGGTGACAAGTAGATACGTAGTCTGGTGGAAAGAAGGTACATAGTCTGGTGGTGAAAAGTAAATACGTAGTCTGGTGAAAAGAAGGTACATAGTCTGGTGATAAATAGGTACGTAGTCTGGTGATAAGTAGGTACGTAGTCTGGTGATAAATAGGTACGTAGTCTGGTGATAAATAGGTACGTAGTCTGGTGATAGATAGGTACGTAGTCTGGTGATGAGTAGGTACGTAGTCTGGTGATCAATAGGTACGTAGTCTGGTGATAAGTAGGTACGTAGTCTGGTGATAAGTAGGTACGTAGTCTGGTGGAAAGAAGGTACTTAGTCTGGTGAAAAGAAGGTACATAGTCTGGTGATAAGTAGGTACGTAGTCTGGTGATAAGTAGGTACGTAGTCTGGTGATGAATAGGTATGTAGTCTGGTGATCAGTAGGTACGTAGTCTGGTGATAAATAGGTACTAAATAGGTACAACACTAATGACTTCTTGTTCAAGTTACCACATGACAATCACACGGATAATGCCAGTAACCTAGAACTTCAAAGGAAGAGAGAAAATACGACTACAGAGAGAACAACCTTACCAGCCTCAGTAGTACCACACTTCAAAGCCTTACGCAAGCTCAGAATCCAGGCACTTAAAGGTCAGAACCACACCGACTATCTTCGAAAGTGCACACAAAACGGAATTGTACCTAAAGGACTACAGGTCACTGTAAGCCCTCAAGTACCAGAATTGAACACAGAGTTTAGCATTGAATGGGACAAATGCCACATGAAATTCGGGTTGGACCTTACTAAAGCTCTCCTGAACTATTGGGCTGACAGAAACACACAGTTGGCCGAGGAGATAGAAAAGGTCAAAGATCTAATTAAAGCAGTAACTACACCAGACATATCAGATCTGGTCTGGGATACAACTGAACTTACACTCACACGCATTAAGGAGTCAAGGAAAGATAAACAAGACAAGACAGATAAACAAACGGGATGGAACTCACGCGCAAACACCACCGGAAATTCATCCCGCGGAAAAAATTCAGGAAAACGCGCATAGAAAGTGATTATAGCGGGATTGTAAATTTATCAGATAGGGTATTAAATAAAGCCGAATTAGATGTTTTGTCCAAAGGTCTAAATTTCTGCCCGACTCCAGGGGCACCACAATTAGATAACATACTCACTCACACCTACCTTTTTAACCGAAGGGTACGCATCAACCATTTCTTCAAGGATACACCAGAATAAGAGAGAAGCCCGTTCCGCAGAACATCCGGCTGGACTCCACCGGCAGGAAATGATACTTTTCTAGATACTTTTTCCAATAAGGAAAAGGATGCCCTCAAATCACTGAGTAATGATGGAAACATCGTCATAAAACCAGCGGATAAGGGTGGCGCTATAGTCATCCTTAACAAAGAGGACTACATGCAAGAGATACACAGGCAAATACATGATAGTACTCACTATGAGAAAGTCAAATCAGATCTAAACCCATCAGTCACAAAAAAGATTACCGGTTTTCTTAAGTTCATAAAAGATAGAGAGCTATTAACCGACACTGAAATCAAATACTTAACGCCAAGAAACCCCCGAACCCCGATATTTTATACGCTACCTAAAATACACAAAGCAGGTAATCCAGGAAGACCCATAGTATCGCAAATAGGTAGTTGCACAGAAAAGATATCAGAATTTGTAGATCACCATCTTAAACCACTAGCCATGAAAACAGACTCATATTTGAAAGATAGCAATGATTTCCTACGAAGAACAATAAACTTAGGCCAACTACAGACGGGGAGTATACTATGTACAGTGGACGTATCTTCGCTGTACACATCTATCCCACACACAGAAGGAATTAGGGCAGTGAAATTAGCCTTAGATGGGAGAGGTCCGCAGGCACAACCCAGCACGTGGATCCTCCTTCGGATGATTGCATTAATATTAACAAACAACTGTTTTAGGTTCAACACGGACTATTATTTGCAGAAACTACCGCCATGGGGACCAAGATGGCACCTAACTATGCAATAATTTTCATCGATTACATTGAGAAGAAATTCCTAGCCACACAAGAAAAAATACCACTAGTTTGGTGGAGATATATAGATGACATTTTCTTTATATGGACACATACAAGAGAGGAACTTGCCTCCTTTTGTGAAGCCATGAACTCAAACCACCCAACAATTAAGTTCACCTTTGATATCAGTGATACCGAGGTCAACTTCTTAGACACCACTATATACAAACTACCGGACGGCAACTTGGGAAGCAAACTGTATAACAAACCCACTTATGCGTTTTTATACTTGCACTACCACAGCTGTCACCCCAAACGTTCCAAAACCAGTATCCCATACTCACAAGCATTAAGAATCAAGAAAATATGCAGTGACCCAAACCACTTCGAACAGGAATGCTCCAACCTAGTAGGGAGATTCAGAAAAAGAGGATACCCGCTTAACCTACTGACCGAGGCAGTCAATAAAGCACGAGCCGTGTCTAGGGAAGAATTATTAAACCCGGAAATGAAAGAGAACAGCCGCAAGGTAATACCTTTCGTCATCCCGCATAACTCAGCAAACCCACCGATTGGATTATTACTAAAGAAATACAAACATATCTTAGGACAGGGCCCGGGAACCAGGGGCCTGTTGAATTACAAAATGATAATGGCCTACACCAAACCCAAGTCCATCAGGAATATATTAGTGAAAAGCGATATCTGCCGTGACTCTATCCGACCGGGCAGTGGTCCGTGCGGAAAAAACTGCAGAATATGTGCGCATATGAAACCCACTATCCACTTCACAAGTCACACTACCAGATCAGAATATAAAGTACAGGGACAGATCACATGCCAAAGTGTGAACGCGGTGTACCTAATATCATGTAAAAAATGCGGTATGCAGTATGTCGGACAAACATCGACGACGATAAATACACGCATCCGCAATCATCTGTATAGCATCATTAACAAACACCCAGACAAGCCGGTGGCGGGACATTTCACGTCGCCAGGTCACAGTACCAGTGACGTCATAGTCACCGGTCTGTTATCGAACGTCAGTGATAACAACCGTCGCCTGAGAATTGAAGAGAGTTGGATCAGGATATTGAGAACAACGCAGCCAGAAGGTCTTAATATTATATCGTGATGGCGCGTACGAAACAAACACCAAGGAAACAGGCAACAGATCAAAAGACGCAAGTAAAGCCGAGAATACCGTGCATAAAATGCGGCAAAACGTACTCAAGTTTAGGAAACCTGAGAAGACATGCAGATAAAGTACACACCATGCTGAAAACATGGCACCGATGCAAAATTTGTAAACATACTTATGGAAGGAAAGGGGCGTACAAAGAACATTTAAAGAAAAAACACCCAGGATACCAAGTGGAACCTGAAATTTTCCAGGATAACACCAGAATG